CGAATATTCAGTTAGATAGAAATATTTCACAATAATCCAATGATTTCATTTACTATATTTATTGAAATTATTTCAAAACAAAGAAATGTGTAACTAAAAGTGGCTAATGTACAGTTGAGAGTTAAATGTATTCCAATCCTTTACAAAATTTCTTTACAAGAAATATGCATTTCAAAGTCATTCAGGCACTCACATAACAAGCCTGGTTATTGTTCAATGTAAACAACTTTTTTAAAATTAGGATTTATGGATGAATCAATCGCCAGTGGTTATTTAAGCATTATATTTACATTGTCCTTCCATGTTAGAAATTTATCAGTTTAAAAATCCCTGTGGTCATCAAATGCAAGTTCTTCATAAAAGTAAATACAGAGGCTTCTATATTGGTGGGCTGAAAAAAAAAATACATATTAATTATTAGTATGTTTGAACATAATATAATGTTTCTTCAGGCAATTTCAGTGTCCACAAATAATTTTTACACCTGAATTAATAAAAATTCAGTTTTTGTTATAAGTTATGTCTAAATTAAAGGCAGTTCTCAGATTTCATAGGCTACGACTTTACAGATTGATTTATAATCAAATCAAACTCAATGCCAAGAAAGTACAACAGAGTTCAGGTAGTTCGAATTTGCACAAGACTTTGATAAAGGTTTTTAAAGAGTTCCTTTAGGCTTCAACCAGCATCTTTGTATTTTCCCAAAAAGGCCCTAATTTATGTACAAATCCACCCCTTTCATGACACCAATCTGATATTCATTGTAATGTTATTCTTCTCACAAAGAAATAATATTCCAAATTCCACTGATATTCTGCTTAGCTGCACATTATTCTCCAATGGCAATTGGTTAAAATTATTTAAATTTAATTTAAAAACAAAATACTCAGCTAAATCTACATCTTATTATTTTGCTTTTTATTAATTCCAAAACTTTGTAAAATAATAAGTATAAGGGTGCTCACTTCAATATATTACTTAGAAACACTTTTCGAAGTTCAGTGGTTTGGGAAGTGGATGAATGTGTTTATGACTATTCCAAGTCAAGAGACAATCCGTAATATATTATGCGTGAATGAATGCAGTAAACAATAGTGCTTGGTATGTAAGCGTAAGCCGCTCGATGTGACAGCCCAAGCCTAGTGCTAGTACTGTTTTGTATTTAACTTTATATATTAACCAGTCACTACATTATTATTATTCAATCGCTTGATTTATATGGGTGGTTGGATGACTGAATGGTTAGCGTGCGCGCGCTGTATTATAACGTCTGTCATTGAGTCGACTGGCGTGGTTTCGAAGCCCCGGTTGTACGTGGCAAGGAGTAGGGTCGCCTGTCCAACCTCGTGGGTTTTCTCCGGGTCCTGCGGTTTCCTCCCACTGCTAAAGACCCCTACGCGCAAGCGAATTATGTAAATAAAATTAAACCATATGTTAGTCCCGAAATGACCTAATTTGTGTCGAGTGGACGTTAAACCCCATTTCTCTCTCTCTCTTTGATTTATATTTTCTCAAATAAATGAAACGATGACTAGATTGTACAAATTATAGGCCTAACTAATGATAATGGATTTTCAACATACCTGCTTGCAGGACTCAACGGAGTTTAATCGTGCAGGCAGACGGCAGTCAGTCGATCGTCGCTTCGTCATTTTTACAGCTAATAAATCTCCACAACTCTCCCTTTTGCATATTTTATGACATTGTTTTTCGTATAAATAATTACTGGTGAGCGAAGATCACAACATTGTTTGGAGTAAGGCACAAATAAATAAATATTTAACCCGATTCACTCGCTTGCTTTCACCGTGTTATCAGGCTAAAAAAAATCGCGTGATATTGACACATGTCACCGGAAGTTCATTTTCTCGTGAAATCTCGCAATTTTGCGGGATTTACTTATCGGCCCTATTGAATGTAAAACAGTTTATATAAATTCATATGACATTATTATACGTGTTGCGATCCATTTGTGCCAATTTCTAGGTCCAAAGGGGGGGTGGGGGGGGGGGTGATAGCTGAATGGTTAGCGTGCGCGCGCTGTATCATAGTCTGTCATTGAGTCGACTGGCGTGGTTTCGAATACCCGGTTGTACGTGGCAAGGATTAGGGTCGCCTGTCCAACCTCGTGGGTTTTCTCCGGGTCCTCCGGTTTCCTCCCACTGCTAAAGACCCCTACGCGCAAGCGAATTATGTAATTAAAATTAAACGATATGTTAGTCCCGAAATGACCCAGTTTGTGTCGAGTGGACGTTAAACCCCATCTCTCTCTCTCTCTCTCTCTCTCTCTCTCTATCTATCTCTCTCTCTCTCTCTCTTGCCATAATAGTTTAAAAATAGATAATAATAAATAAATATATTGAATATATCATCCAAAGTACTTTTATTATGAGCGAAGTTATCACTGTTTGAAGTTTTTAAAAAAGGTGCCACAGATTGTTATCGTACCAGCGGTAGTTGTTTTTCGAGTTTGGAGATTTAACATCGATTAGCCATTTTTAAATTAAATCATTAAATGGCGATTGAAAATCCAAAACTATACTATAAACCGATACCTGATTTTCATTTCGCTATATGGTTTGCACCGCAGGTTAGTGCTAAATGATAAGGCCAGCTCAATTTTTCGTCATAGGTCACGAAATATAAACAGGGCTAGCGCTAATCCCAACTCTTACCCTAACCCCAATGCTTACCATAACCTTAACCTACAATCTCGCCAACAATCACGTACCCTAACCTTATTAACATCTCAGCGACTTTGACAAAAATTGAGCTGACCTTAACAAATAGATTTAGCATAGGTACTACACCGATTCGTATGATTATTAATTTATAGATTTGACTGTGGTAAAATAAATATGTATTTAGGCTTCTGATACCTGGAGAGTGAAAGTTTCATATTTTAGTCTAGATAGATAGATTATTTTTATTGCTTGGGACAATTGCCTTCACGCATATCGGGGGAGGGGGGTGTCTGGTTTGGAAATAAGATTTTAGGCCAATTAGGTATCCTGCAAATAAACTGGGTCAGTGACGAAACAATATCTGATAATCCATATTTGATCAAGGTTTTGACACCCACCATTAGTCGCTCCCCTACTGGCCAATTCTTAGTAACATGCGCACACACGCAGTGCCCATATCTATACATTTTGTTGGTAATTCACCGTATCTATCACCTAAACGTGCATCGCCGATCTTGGTCGATGTTTAAAACAGCTGAGCGGGCTCCAGTACGTCAGCTTTGCTGTGTTACTACATGTTATCTATGAATCGCGGGATTAGCGGGGAAGCTACAATGTCCGTTGAATGGGCAATGTTTTGTTAAATTTATAACTAAAACAGTGGCCGTTGGTCGCAATAGCAACAAGTGCCACTAAGGTTCACGAATCATCGCAATTAGCAATTTCAACGGAACCTCTGTAAGTTATGGAGCTGACACCAACGATGCATTATGTAAAAGCTAAATCTGTCTAATGCAGCTCTTTCGCTCGGCTTCAAATGTTATATAAATCATTAATTAGACATTTATTCACATGCCAAGCCCATAAACTCTCTAGACTGTCGGAGGTTTTTGTTGTCAATTAACACAATTGCTAGTTAATAATTTTATTAAAATATTGGATAATGGAAAACAAATTTTCTATCGTGTAAACGGTAGCAATGACAATCGAGACTATGCTGCTCTTCAAACCGCTACAACTCTACCCAGAATGAGGTAATTTGAATGAAATATTCAACATATTCCCTTTTCATTATCTTATTTTTAACTATTATAGCGAGACCTTTCGGCTCTTTATCCAAATCTTACATAATATATCTTTAACATAAAGACTTGCCCAACTGTCTCGACTATCCAGTTTCTTCTTCAAACACAATTTAATAATTCAAATTTAAATTCGCGTTTTTTTTTTTGTCTTAAAATATAAAATCCCCAGACACTGTATTTTATAATTCAAATCATATCAAATATATCATTGATTTTAACAGATGTTCGATTTTCTTCTGGTCAAAAGAATTCTCGATTTATTGAACGCGTATAATTTATACACTAAAAATTAAATTTACATATTATCTACCAATGGATCTTTTACGTGCACGCCAATGTGTACATGGGACCTCGGTTTTTCGTCCCATCCGAACGACTAGACAGCTGTCCTTGTCAGCCCCTCCGCCCTGCATCACTGACAAGGGGGAACCACGCCGGAGAATCGGGATGAACTTTCTCGGCCAATGCAGGGATCGAACACCCGACCTCCAGGCTAGCGAGCCAACGTCTTACGCACTTAGCCACCTTGACCCCCCCCCCCCCCATAATCATGAAGACTCGTATACATAATCTACAGATATGAATAAAAATAAGCAGCACTATATTAAAAATATATAAAATATGTCACCACACTGAATAAGGAGAATAAAGATCGATCTTGAAAATTGCAAAGAAAAACCAAACATCTGTCGCTGTAATCCAAATTTTGAAAGTAAAATATTATTCAGCTCACAAGATCAACCAATGAGATTTCTCAATCCTTTCAAATTTCGGACAGGGATCGATTTATATCGATATATTATATGAATATATATTCGCAGTATAGCAACTATTATTTGTTATGTCTACTTCAGAACAATTAGAGTAGTGGAATATATGTTTCATGTATATATGGATTAAAATAAATAAAGAACAAGTACTTTTATGTTTACGGAAGAAAAGTACATAAAGCAAATTAGATTAACCATGTTTTTAATTATACACCGGATGTAAAATATTTTATCATCATACTTCGAAGTCTAATTATGTAACGGGTCGAAATATGAAGTAGCGAATGTCGAGTTTTTAGAGGACACGTGAATTTAAATGTGAAATAGTAAATCGTGTTTTAGAGGACACGTGAATTTAAATGTGAAATAGTAAATCGTGTTTTAGAGGACACGTGAATTTAAATGTGAAATAGTATATCATGTTTTAGAGGACACGTGAATTTAAATGTGCAATAGTAAATCGTGTTTTAGAGGACACGTGAATTTAAATGTGAAATAGTAAATCGGGTTTTAGAGGACACGTGAATTTAAATGTGAAATAGTAAATCGTGTTTTAGAGGACACGTGAATTTAAATGTGAAATAGTATATCGTGTTTTAGAGGACACGTGAATTTAAATGTGAAATAGTAAATCGTGTTTTAATTTAAAGAAGAAATCTAAGGATGTCTAGAGAATTAGGAAATTATAATGTGAGTGTTGCCTAATTAGGTTTTATGTTACTCAGTAATACAGACCTTTAATTATCTAATTGTTTATAAAATTTACGTTACTCGGTAATACATACCTTTAATTATCTAATTGTATATAAGGTTTACGCTATTCGGTAATACAGAGCTTTAATTATCTAACTGTATATAAGGTTTACGTTATTCGCTATCACGGACGTTTAATTATCTAATTGTATATAAGGTTTACGTTATTCGCTATCACTGACCTTTAATTATCTAATTGTATATAAGGCTTGAGTTACTCGGTATTTACAATAGGGTTTTTTTGTAACTATTTAATTGGTAATTATGTTTTTGTTAATATATACAAGTTAGTTTTTATATATAAGAAATTAGTAATTTGGGTCTTTATATAACTTCTGCAAAGAAACGACGACAAGCGAGCTAGTATATGCCTGGCTTAATGGCCTCCCCCCTTAAAATTTCGAAAACTAGATCTACCTTTGATTGCTGCTGGAATTGTTGAGCTAGTCATAAGGAAATCTGCATCATATGTTCGTGGGAGTGATTGTCCCCGTCAACGAAACCGTGTACGCTTTCATTATAGATCAATCCTTCCGGTGGATCGAGGGCTATGACATCAATTAGTTTATTTGTTTTACTGGGTTATTAGAAATATCACCCTTTCGGTTGCCACCAATCTGATTAAAATACAGATCTATATTTCGTTTCGTTTTTTTTTATATACTTTCGATGGCCTAAACTACACGAAGATCTGAGCGGTTGTACTGGAAGGTCGTGTCATTGGTCGTACGAGCGGCTTTTGACCCTATGACGTCAGACATTAATTAATCAATCAACGTTGATGTTTCTAGTGGTTTACTCACAGTTCCGTACAACGCACGCCAAGAACTCGCCGTAGCAGACCGTTTCATTGACCAATCCCTCACTTCCAGATCCTAGTGTAGTAAAGACAAGTAAAACGATATTTTGAACTATAAAAAACAAAACGAAAAAGGATCTGTGTTTAAATCAGGTTGGGTTGCCACCAGTTTTAAGCGTCGAACAAGGGGATCGTCTTACACTACAGCATTATAGGTTCCCAGGTAAAATAGTTCACTGGACGGAGCCACGGTGGCTAGGTGGTTAAGACGCTGGCTCGCTAGCCTGGAGGCTGGGTGTTCGATCCCTGCATTGGCCGAGAAAGTTCATCCCGATTTTCCCACGTGGTTTCCCCTTGTCACTGGTGCAGAACGGAGGGCCTGACAAGGACAGCTGTCTAGTCCTTTGGATGAGACCAAAAACCGAGGTCCCGTGTATACATTGGAATGCACGTAAAAGATCCCTTGGCAGTTGGAATTGGAATTCGATATAAGAGTAGGCGATAGTGCCGCTGCCTGGGCAAAATTTCCCTCATAGACACTGTATGGCGTATGCCCGTCTTCATTAGCCCAGTATAGGAGCAGAACAGTGGGACGTTAAACCCCATTTCATTTCATTTCATTTCAGTTCACTGGAGCTCCTATCTACATAACCACTCACAGGAATAAAAACTTGATGCCCGTTGATTGTATTTTTACTTCGAAAAAAAAAAACAATTAAAACATTAAAACATGCTGTTCAACGCTTTATCAAGTAAACGTTTTGAACAAAAATTAAACTCCGTGGAACATGCTTTCAAGGGCATATGGCTTTAAATTTGGAACCTTGAAATAGACAGAAATGGTTCTAAAAACACATATTAATGTAATATGAATGTATGTAAAAGGATTTATATTCAATTTTTGAAAAAAATATTGTAATTTCTAATCAATTATGTTCGGTGAAATACGTGAACAGTTCAAATTGAACGGCGGTCGTTTACGCCTGCTTAGTGCATTCTACATGTTTTTAAATTTATATTTTATCGTTTGTGAATCAGCCTTTACTAATTACTTCCACATTGTGTTGTAGGATATGTTTTTATTTGTTCATAACCGTGGGGTACACGAATCGTGTACTGATTATAACAGGTTGATTGTGTTTTAAATATTGGATATTACGATCGTATAGTTTCACGACAAGATAACAACATCAGTATTGATTAAAATTGACCAATATTGAATTCTAATTCGTGTTTTAATTTTCGAATATTATGGAAAATATTGGTTAGAGACTTAGCTCCTTTAATTTCCAGAATTTTATTTTTTATTACAGAAACCAAAAGAGAATCGGATATGGACTAAGGGTAAACGTATAAAGCTAGTTATGTGTGTAACGATTGTACCCATCTGGTTAACCAGTATGCTCTACAATCTGGCCTCTCTTCAACGAGTTATGTTCGCTACTAAATTAGCTTCAACATCCAAACACTCATTTTCCCTATCGCATGATCTTCAAGTAATAGAGCCTCAAGTATGTGACGTATTACTAAAGAATACAAGTTTGACTAACCGATTCATAGATAACGTTATGAGCTTCATGAAATTCCATCCTAGAAAAGCAGTTTTACCAGAAGCCTACATACCTTTAACTTCAAGCTGTTCAAAATATATTTCCAATAGGGGGTTCCTGGTTCATAACAGTACAAAGAGGGAAGAGAGTTTTCCAATCGCCTTCACCCTCATGGTTTATAAACACGTGGAACAGGTAGAACGATTGTTAAAAGCTATTTATAGACCCCATAACGTATATTGTGTTCACGTGGACAGCAAATCGTCATTGCTCATTTTTAAAGCTATAAGATCCATCGTGAAATGTCTTCCTAACGTGTTCTTGGTTTCTAACAGAACCAACGTAATCTGGGGAGAGTTCAGTGTCCTGGAACCAGAGATAAATTGTCTTAAAGAACTTGTCCTGCATAAAGTAAAATGGCGCTATGTGATCAATCTAACTGGTCAAGAATATCCATTAAAAACTAACTATCAACTAGTGAGGATTTTACGGTCATATAAAGGAGCTAATGATATAGATGGATCCGCAGCAAAGTAGGTACTACCATTAAATTATCAACCAGTAATGTATCCAAGTCGATGTATTTAGCTATAGATCGAAGTGTATTGAGTCCACACATATATATATAGAGAGAAAGAGAAATGGAGTTTAACGTCCACTCGACACAAACTAGGTCATTTCGGAACTAACAAATGGTTCAGTTTTATTTCAAAACCTATTCCTTGTCACATACAACCGGGGAATCGAAACCACGCCAGTTGACTCAATGACAGAACTTATGATACAACGCGCACGTCCTAACCATTCGGTCATCCACCCCCACCCATCTGCATCAACAGTGAAAAGGGGGCATATTCCGTTTCATACATCCTGGTTGCCTTACCGTAGATGCGAAAGGTTATTCCCCAGTTTCAAACCTCTAACGTTACATATGGCTTATTTATTTATCGTACAATGTCTTTTTTTTAAAAACAAATTATGAGGCTCTCGCGGCCCAATCAGCGCCACCACCCCAACGCTCTTGAATCCGACATTTCTAACACCCATACTCCTCGCAGTGTTTCGTTTGATTATACCTAATCCAACTAAACACTGCTTTAAGGAAAGCAAATTATGAGGCTCTCGCGGCCCAATCATCGCCACCACCCCAACGCCTTTGAATCCGACATTTCTAACATCCATACTCCTCGCAGTGTTTCGTTTGATTATACCTAATCCCACTAAACACTGCTTTAACGAAAGCAAATTTATGTTCCAAATTATGAATGGTCAATGGTCCGATTAACAACCAATAGCTAATTGCATTACAAAAGTATTACGCTTAAAACAGAGCTCCAATTTGGACCAAATATGTTTACATAACGTTACGTCATGACTCACGATTTTATTATGCCAAATTAACCAGTGCATAGCAGAATATTGCAGAAAAACTAATAGCGTGACAAACGAGGCTATCGAATCGAAAACAATGTAAACAATACTGTTTGGAGACGAACATACTTTCACCGTTTTTAATACCTTAAATCACTGTCCAAAGTTTTAGGGAAGACCCAGATTAAACGAAGGCCTGCCATGTTGCTGTACTTGGGATAGATTTGATTGAACGGGAAGAATAGACAAACTCCCTCCCTCAAAAGCTGGGGGGTTGGATGGCTGAATGGTTAGCGTGCGCGCGCTGTATCATAAAGTCTGTCATTGAGTCGACTGGCGTGTTTTCGAATATCCGGTTCTACGTGGCAAGGAGTAGGGTCCCCTGTCCAACCTCGTGGGTTTTCTCCGGGTCCTTCGGTTTCCTCCCACTGCTAAAGACCCCTACGCGCAAGCGAATTATGGAAATAACGTTAAACCCCATTTCTCTCTCTCCCCTCAAAAGCTCAAGTATCAGAAACCAGTCCAGCAATGACCAGAGAGGGATTTCTCGGACCATTGCCTCAGAAATATGCTAACACCATGCTATGTTACAATTAAAGAACGATACGTATTACCAACCGATCAGTTTAATATCACTAATCATTACTTACCCCTTCCACTTTCAGGATGGGATCAAAAGGTTACTACTACTCCCGAATTAAAGGTCGACCTCCTCCTCCTCATGGAATAACTCCGTGTAAAGGACTGGTACATTTGGCAGCTTCAAGAGAATTTGTTGACTACGTTCTACATAATAAAACGGCTTTAGACTTTCTAGAATGGTGTAAGTCAATGAGCATACCTGATGAAACCTACTTCACTTCTTTAAATAACAATAAACACCTTCAAAGCCCAGGATCTTACACAGGTAAACATATAATAGAAATCTGATGAGTGCTGTTATATAAACGCCATCTCTGGCGACCAGTATTCATCCAGAATTTCTCCGTCGTCAAGAGCAGTAGTATACACCGTAACCGTAAGCCACCCAAATCATACAGCTATTAACTTCAATCTGGCAAGTCAATAGGTAACTCTGGCATTGTGACGTTGGCAGCAGTGTGCCCTCTACTTGCTTTTCATATGGGGCTCGAAGTGCGTATGCTTATATCATATCTCAAAGATGTTCTAGTTTCTACATTACTAGATTCATTTAAATTTAAGCATCTCAAGCAGGGGCTTGATTTCCTCGTGACATAAATCGCCCGGCCTATCAAGGCTGTTCGCTTGTCACTTCACCAGTTCAAGAAAAGCCCTTTCTGAAAATGTGAGTTGATTTCCTAGTGACATAGAATCCCCCGGCCTATCAAGGTTGTTCGCTTGTCACTTCACCAGTTCAAGAAAAGCCCTTTCTGAACATGGCAGTTGATGACAGTCAATAATTAATGCTAGATATTTCTTGTCTGTCCTTATTTTGTCAAACACCTGGGTTGTGTCTATAGGACTGTATTTTGATTTTAGAATCCAAAGCTACATATAAGAGCAGGTGCCCTCGGCCAAGTTACAAACTATTGTTAAATACAAACTTAAAAGAAAACTAGAGTTACGTTTGGGCCACTGTTTATTGATTTGCCCAGCTACTAAATGCACGTACTAGAAGATAATTTAGAGTAAATTAATTTGCATATTTGCCTTTCTGGGATTCAGTATTTTTGAGGATTGCTTTTTTTTCAGGAGACATAGAAGATGAGACAAGGGACAGTTTTATTCGTTACAAGATAGTTGATAATGACTATGGTAAATGTGGCAGCAAATATACCGTTCGAGGTGTCTGTATACAAGGCATCCCTGATTTACACCTAATGACAACCAGTAATAAACTATTTGTTAATAAATTCCTTTACGAGTTCCAACCTCTTGCCTACGATTGTTTGGAGAATTGGTACTTCAACCAAGTGAAGTTAGAAATGGCGGGAAAATTAGAGTTTAATACAACTGTGTATGAAAAAAGTACAATTGTAAGATATCGCTATATACCACCGGATGTTGTTTGAATTTTATAAGGTGTGTGGATATTGTCATCAACCCTGTCCAATGTTTGTCGGGCCGTCTGTCGTTACATGTGTCATACAGCTGGATATCACAGATATTTTGGTGTCATGAAACTGAACAGCAAGATTTCTGTAAGTTCGTGGTAAAACTTTCAATAACAACAAAAAGATTAGTAGCATTTTGCGTCCAGTTTCTGGGCCACAAATACATAAACCCATTAAATTACTGAACAGCGTCATGAATAACTAGAATTTCCATGGACTGGGCGCCAGCCTACTGTGCGTTTTCAGGAACGCGTTAATAAACAACTAGAAATAAACAGCCAATAAAATGCACAGACCACCATTATATGAAATACATTTACTTTTTATTATTTGGGGGTTGGGTGACCGAATGGTTAGCACGTGCGCACTGTATCATAAAGACTGTCATTGAGTCAACTGACGTGGTTTCGAATCCCCGGTTGTACGAGGCAAGGAGTAGGGTCGCCTATCCAACCTCGTGGGTTTTCGGCGGGTCCCCCAGTTTCTTCCCACTGCTAAAGACCCAGGACGCGCAAGCGAATTATTGAAATAGAATTAAATCATATGTTAGTCCCGAAATGACCTAGTCTGTGTTAAGTGGACGTTAAACCCCATCTCCCCCTCTCTCTCTCTATCTCTCTCTCTCTCTCTCTCTTTTATCTCCGATATTGAATAGATTAGAACAGTTCAGCAATATTTTGATTCAAGCTAAAAATGGAGTCCGAGCGAGACTTAGCTTCGAACAACCAGTACGGTGGTTGAAATTATTGCACACGTCTTATCAAACCTTCAAAGACTAATATCTTCATTTGAATGAAATTTTCAAATTATTCATTTTACATTATCTATTTTTGAACTATTATAGCAAGAATGGCTGGCTCTTTATCCAAATCTTACATAATTAATCGGGGGTTGGATGGCTGATCAATGGTTAGCGTGCGCGCGCTGTATCATAACGTCTGTCATTGAGTCGACTGGCGTGGTTTCGAATCCCCGGTTGTACGTGGCAAGGAGTAGGGTCGCCTGTCCAACCTCGTGGGTTTTCTCCGGGTCCTCCGGTTTCCTCCCACTGCTAAAGACCCCTACGCGCAAGCGAATTATGTGAATAAAATTAAACCATATGTTAGTCCCGAAATGACCTAGTTTGTGTCGAGTGGACGTTAAACCCCATTTCTCTCTCTCTCTCTGTATGTCCTTTCACAGAGTCATTAAATTTTATTTCAATAATTCACAGACCGCATGAAAACGGTTCAGGTTGGACAAGCACTTTACTCCTTCCCACTTGGAATCGTGAATCGAAACCACGCCGCTTGACTCAATGGCGGACCTTATTATCTATGACAGCCTCTGTATCCCCGCCACTCAGTAATAAGCAGTAATTGCATTCTATAGAAGCTCCGTAATAAGCAGAAATTGTATCCTATAGAATTATGACCAGTTTCATTACTAAATGCCATTAAAACAATTTCCAACTAATGGAATACTTGGATTTGGTGGGGCATGGGTGTTTGGGTGGGGGCATTTTATTCAAAATCGGATTAATTGTGATTTTTAATTTGTACATAATTTGTTATTCTGTGATACAGAACTACCTAATAAACACAATTAAAATATAAGGTGTTTGGTTTGTTTTGTGTGTGTGTGTGTGTGTGTTGTTGAGGAGGGGGAGGGGTACCCCACCAATAAGATGGTTCGTCTTTAAAGGACTTTATACACTGCACTGGAATTAAGTAGATTCATGTCGTGTTGTTGACGATAATCATGACTAATGGGGTTTAACGTCCTACTTTTCTTCACCAACTGCAATGGGCTAATGAACACGGGCTTACGCCATATAGTGTGCTATGAGGGATGGGGGGTGGGGTGGATAGCCGAAAGGTTAGCACGTGCGCGCTGTATCATTGAATCAACTGGCATGGTTTCGATTCCCCAGTTGTATGTGACAAGGAGTAGGATCGCCTGTCCAACCTCGTGGGTTTTTCTCCGGGTTTTCTGGATTCCTCCCACGGCTAGACCCCTACGCGCTTGCGAATTATTACAATAAAATTGAACCATACATTAGTTCCGAAATGACCTAGTTTGTGTCGAGTGGACGTTTAACCCCGTTACTCTCTCTCTCGCTATGAGGGATATTTTGCACTGACAGCGGCGCTACGTACAGTGCCAATCCTTATTTCAGGTTCCAATTATCAAATTATCTGTTACGTACGTGTATTCGAATATGTAAGCGGATCTAGTTTTTCGTCCCATCCGATCAACTATTTAGGTCCTCATTCCTGCACCACTGACAAGGAAAACCCCTAGAGGAAAATCCCTCAAAATGACCCTCAATTTAATTGTCACATAGTTGCTTGAGCACACTAATTTTATAGGCAAGTACAATTGTGGTTTTTTTTCCTTTTCGGGGCGGGTGGAATTAGGGTTCTGCATAAGATCAGGGGCGCGCAACTTTTTTTTTTTTACACATCCAATCAATCCAAAATGAGACCTACAATATTCAATCAATCCAAACTGAGACCTACAATATTCAATATTCAACTCCGGCTTGATGACGCCCCCACTCTGCGAAAACATGTTTGTGCGCCCCTGCTTATAAATGATAAGATCAAACTATTTTAACACCTTATTTTAAAATTAAATAAGCTTATCCATAAGATATGATAAGATTTTATTGTACCAAATCACCCATGGAGGATAGCATACAATAGAAACATACGGTCCATATAAATTATAGTGCACTTTATCAGAGAAAGCAGGAAAAATTGTCTGGATACTTTAAGCAAAGGGGATAACTCTGTTGGTAATTTTAAGGAAGGGAATTAACTCCGTCGTAAACGAAAAAATTTAAAATAAAACTAGACTAATGTGTGGTGAATTCAAGATGACATTTTGTCGACAGTTATAGTTATTTATCTGCAACAGCTGAATGACCCATTTTCATGTATCAGTTCAAATGATCTTAAGATACTGAATAGTTCCACATTTTGTTCAAGAATGCAAGAAGTTACTAAAGATGAGCCAGTCCCAGTTATTTTGCGACTTTTTGCAGCTTTATTTTATGGAGGCGCATCGTTTTTGATAACTGTTGTCAACAAAGTAACTTTGACATCATACAAGTAAGTTATCCTTTATCATTAAAGATTTTGAAAAAATGAAGAAATTAAAAGGGTAGCCAGATGCCTAGCCTGTATGGATATAGTTTATCTTTGATAGTTTAAATAATTTTGACACTTCATTCATAAGATAAGAACTTACAAACTTCCTTTGTCGTCCTTCCTCCCCACCCAACCTTATCCTAGTCTCTCGGTTGGCTCTGCTGGCAAGAATCATTTGTCTATCATATCACCTCGGTGGAGCGGACCTTCATACCTGAAGCCCCTTGAAAGATCATGACATTTCTCATTCATGGCCCCTTGACAGATGTGGAACAACTAACTAGATGTTGGTGGCAAAAAGTGGGTGTGGGTCAGTTCATCCCACAACCGTTTCCCCTCGGCTGTTTGTTTCATCCCAACCTATTTTTTTATCGGGCTTTTTCATCCCAGGCTGTTTCATCATAACTGAGTTGTACTTATTGTTAAATAAACTGTTAAACACTTACTTATTGTTAAATAAACAATAATGTATGGAATAAATAAGTTTTACTCGTCGTTTTTTGTTGATTACCGATCACAACCGAGATCAGTTCATGCTGTATATTCGTATTGTTTGTTAATTGGCGTTATGATTTTAGATATTAGGCCAGTTCACCGATGTTTTTGTAGTAAAGTATATTCGGATTATTAGTTAATTGCCGTTATGATTTTAGATTAGTTCACCGATGGTTTTGTAATAAAGTATATATACTCGTATTGTTTGTTAGTTTATGATGTTTAACATCATTTATCTTCTTTATAAAAAGGTATTTTATAATTACATATTGATAGCTTAATCACTCGCCAAAATACATCATGGACTCTACGTATTATCCAATAATCAACTAAATTGCGCAGTAGCCCGTGGTTTTTACGAAAAATCACGTTTTTAGCTTGTGGACACTCTATCTAGAGGTCACAATTTTGATCGGATTTTGATGAAACTTGAAATGCTTGTTTATAACCCAAAGATCTTGGTTCCTGTCGTTATACGCGCATATCGGATCGTAACTTCCTGAATTATGGCCCCTGATTATACTTTTAGCTTGTGGTCCCTCTAGAGGTCACAATTTTTATCCAATTTTTTAGGAAATCACCGTTACACTCTAATGATGGTTGAGTTCGAATCTCGTGAAAATCGGACCAAAACTGCTGGACAAAATGGCCGCCCCTCGTACGCAAATAGTGTAAAATATGGTATATCAAGGTTATGGGCCCGATTTTGATGAAACTTTAAATATATATTTTTTTATCATAAAGATCTTGGTTATGGCCCCTGATTGGTCGAAAAATCACATTTTTAGCTTGTGGATTCGCTAGAGGTCACAGTTTTTTTTTCCGATTTTAAAAACCATTTAGATATATCACCATTCCACCATAATGAAGGTTGAATTGGATCTTCCGGAAAATCGAAATGAAACTGACCGACAAATGTACGCAAATTGTGTATAGTATGTAATACAAAGGTTATGGACCCTCTAGAGGTCACAATTTTTATCCAATTTTGATAAAACTTAAAACATTCCATTATATTCCAAAAATCTCAGTCCCTTTTGATAATTGCGCATTTCAGACCATAACTTTCGGGATTATGACCCCTGATTGTTCAAAAATTCGTTTTTGGCTTGTTCTCTATCCATCTCTGCGTGGCAGCTGCTGGTTAAATTTGTGGGATGAAACGACCCGATATAAGTGGGATTAAGGGACCCGTGTAAATTTGGGATGAAACAGCCCGAGATGAACCGGTAGTGGGATGAAACGATCTCTCCCGCAAAAAAACAATATCATATGTCCGCAAAAAAGTTAAAAGTTAGAATAGAAATTCCTATCACACTCTGACAGAAATTGTAAAAATAAGATTGACCAGGCATGATTGGAAAGGAAGATAATATAAGCTTTCGACTGAAAAATTTTCAGTATTGCATTATCTTTTTTTGAACTATTATAGCAGCTCATTATCAAAATGTGGGGTTGGATGGCCGAATGGTTAGCACGTGCACGCTGTATCATGAGGCCTGGTTTCGAATCCCCAGTTGTCCAACCTCGTCCGGTTTCCTCCCACTGCTAAAGACCCCTACGCGCAAGCAAATTATTGAAATAAAATTAAACCATATGTTAGTTCCGAAATGACCTAGTCTTTGTCGAGTAGACATTAAACCTCCATCTCTCTCTCTCTCTCTCTCTCTCTCTCTCTCTCTCTCTCTCTCTCTTTATTGAAATATTACATATTGCATCTTTAATATGGGAGTAAGCACTTGCTGTTTTTTCATCTGAGTTTTGTGTGAGTCTCTTCATTTAAATTATATAGTTCATTATTATTTTTTGGAAAATTATTTTTTATTGCAGATTTCCTTCTTTCCGGTTTCTTGCATTTGGTCAGGTAAACAATTTAACAATATATAATATTCTGTTATTACTGATATGATATAACTTTGCATAGAAAATGATCTCAAACCAAAAGAAATACAGATTAAGAGCAGTTAGTATTAAAAGACAATATTGGTGCCAGTCATTATCACATATGTGATAGAGCAGGTTAAACAGATTCCAAATATATCCTCTCACAATCTCACACAACAACTTTTGGTCTTCGAAGAAATTATTAGTGAGCAGAATTTTGCCCATATATCCGTTATCACTCGTCACATCAGTCAGTTATATAGAGAGATGACTCTGTTTTCCTTTGGTGTTTGTCACTTCCGATTCAGGAAACCTGTATTACTCAGCTATCGTAGCAATGATCTCTGTGTTAAAATTATATTTGGAATGTGTTTAACCAGCTCTATCACATATGTGACCAATATTGTGTATGCAATGTATTCTCCTCTGACTTTGCCCTACTGAGAGAGGTAAGTCATGTGACACAAACATGACCTCTTTTGATCGATTTTTTTATAGTAAGGGTATTCCTTGGCAATTGCAATATTTTGAGAAGGATTTGAAGCAAAATTATGATAAATTGATCAGTTTTAATATGTTTTTAGTTCAAATATATCATCAAATCACCCAGTTTGTACGCGGGAATTTATCTTTAAAGATGCATGATGTAAGAGATAAATCTGCCTATCGCAGGCTTTCTTAAATCAATTATGAATTAAACATATGACCAGCCTGTAATCAACTCTCTATCGGATGTATTTACACACGTGCAATATTGAAAAATTTAAAGATAAAATGGATAATCAAAACTTAGTCTTGGTTGACAAGTACCTTTGTTATGGGGGGGGGGGTGGATGGCCGAATGGTTAGCACGCGCGCGCTGTATCATACGGTCTGTCATTGAGTCAACTGGTGGGGTCCTCCGGTTTCCTCCCACTGTTAAAGGCACCTACGCGCAAGCGAATTATTGAAATAAAATTGAACCATGTGTTAGTCCCAAAATGACCTGGTTTGTGTCAAGTGGACGTTAAACCCCATTTCTCTCTCTCTCTCTCTCACCTTTGTTACGATAATATACAATCTATGCTTCATTTTCAAATAGTGATAACTATGCACAAAATAAAGTAATTTGTATAAAATTTCGATACATTCATTTTTCATTAATCTATTTTTGAACTATTATAGCAAGACTGGCTAGCACTTTATTTAAATCTTACATAATGCTTCTTTAATTAATACACGACTTGACATATGTATATCGAAATGGTATGAAATGGGGTTTAACGTCCTACTGTTCTGCTCCGAACTGGGCTAATGAAGACAAGCATAAGCCATACAGTGTGCTATGAGAGAAATTTTGCCCGGACAGCGACACTACAGCCTACTCTTATATCGAATTCCAACTGTCAAGGGATCTTTTACGTGCATGCCAATTTGCATCACTGACAAGGAGGAACCACGCTGGGAAATCTGGAAGAACTTTCTCGGCCAATTCAGGGATCGAACACCCGACCTCCAGGCTAGCGAGCCAGCGTCTTACCCACTTATCCACCGTGACCCCCGTATATCAATGGAGCACTATTGACTGTGCCTATAGCCTACTGGTTAAACATGTGCGCAATAGCGTACGTAACTAACGTAAGAAAATTAAATGGTCGCTGGCTTTTTTTTCGCACGTATACAGTGAATGGCCATTTTGCTCAGTAATCCCAGCCAGAATTTGGCTATTTTTTTAAAATTGCGTTAAAGTTTTAAATTTTTGTTTAGAAGTGAAATAAATTAACTTTTAGTCAATGCCCACGCTAAAAACATTAACAGAATTGATTGTGTATATCTGAAATAGACACGACCGAAGCACAAAATAGTGCCAATATGCCAACGTCAAATCTAGAGTTGTAGATGATGTTTTTTTATGAAAAATCATTGGAAGAAGCGATAAGACGTTTTGTACGGATTATGCAGTCCTTAAGGCTGCAAGAAGGCTATTGTTTACAATGTAACATTGTGTCTTGTAAATGTTGATAATGATCGTAATGATGGTGTTTACATTTGTTTGTTGATGTGACCTCATGACCTGTGACGTTTAGATAACGTCATATGGATATCATGGCTATTCACTGTGTCAGAGTCACTTCTCTGCAGGTAGGGTGAGTCTGTTGTTCAGATTGGTGCGATAGATCACAAAGTGATGTGGACGATGTGGTTTTGATTCCCCGCTTGTACGTGACAAGGAGTTGGTCGTTTGTCCAACCTTTTGGGTTTTCTCCGGGTCACTGCTAAAGATCCTTATGTCCAAGCGAATTATTGAAATAGCATTGAACCATATGTTAGTCCCAAAATGACCTAGTTTGTATCAAGTGTGTGTTATACCCCATTTCTCTCTCTCTCTCTATCTCTTGTAAGGCTCAAAAACTTGAAAATTATTCATCACTTTGTAAATATACATGTATATCATATTGAATAACCAGAGGATGTAAATAGCAACAAGTTTAGTCAGTATGTAAGTGATTGGCCATCTCATTCATAATAGACCCGGATACATCAATAATAATATCTATTCAATTAGATAGAAATGTGAAGTCTTTATAAGTTTCAATAGATAGGTGTTAAGTCATACATGTAGCTTGTTACAGTAAGCATGCTTGCATATTATGTAATTGAATACAAAGCAAACAGAATCAGATTTACGATCAGGAGTAATGCCTTTTTTATAGATAGTAATATGAAATTCAAGTTAAAATTATATCTTACATTTACGCCCTTATTATTTATGATATATTAATTATAGAATAACATGGGGTTTAACGTCCACTAGACACACACAAACTAGGTCATTTTGGGAATAACACATGGTTCAATTTTATTTCAATAATTCGCTTGCGAGTAGGGGTCTTTAGCAGTGGGAGAAAAACCGGAGGACCCGGGGGAAAACCCACGGGGTTGGACATACGACCCTACTCCTTGTCACACACAACCAAGGAATCGAAACCACGCCTTTTGACTCAATGACAGAATAACATTGGATTTAGCATCCTACTTCTCTTCAACAGCATGATTGCATGCTGTGTACATGTTGCGGAAGCTTTGCACTGACAGTTGCCTTTATCACATTTTAACTGTCTAGAATTCTTTTACAAGCACACCTATACACAAGACCTTGTTTTCATCTCATACATGTATGAAGAACTGAGACATTTAGCAGATCAACGTTAGAAAAAAACAAATATAAAATAATAAGTGACTGTGAAAATGAACGAATACTTCTGCTTAAAATACGGATGTGACGTCATCCATAGATGTTGACGTACCATTATTTCAAATAATGGTACGGGCAATGTGCCAAGCGTACTAGTTGAAATTTCGGATGCGTGTGACGTATTTCTCTTTTTTTAAGTTGTTTAAGGCATTGTGTAATATATTGAAACAACAGCTCGGGACTAACGTCACTCAATGTCTTGCTCTCAACCATTAAACCACACATAAGATATATTGTGTCAGATGCGAGAACTGTTTCAGAATCTGTAAGTGCTTTATATAAGGGTTAGTGCTAAATGATAAGGTCAGCTCAATTTTTCGTCATAGGTCACGAGATGTAAACAGGGCTAGCTCTGTACTCCCAACCCTAACCCAGGACCTAGCCCTAATGCTTACCCTAAACCTAACCTACAATCTCGCTAACAATCACGTGCCCTAACCATATTTACATCTCAGTGACCTTGACAAAAATTGAGCTGGCCTTAACAAGTAGATTTAACCCTAGTATAAGAGTATAAGACTAAACAAAAGCGCCCTTTTGTTACCCAAAAACATGTGACACAATAGCTGGCCATAACGGCTCTGGGTGCAGGGATAGATCTTCAGAAATTTTTAATAGGCCTAGAATGACCAGCATTTGCGAAACATGCAGAGATAATGTTACAGTCGTAAGATATACATTTCATAAATATTGCTAATAAACAGGATAACCTTAACATCTGGCGTGTTTACGGGTATATGTGGTGTTATTATTAATGAGCTTTTCCACACATATAAGACAGATGTCATATATCTAAGGACTTGGTAATAATAATAATATTAATAATAATAATAATAATAACTTAATTTAAGAAGGGTAAAGGATAAGGCTGTAGAAGCCTTTCTACCAGTACCATCCTGCCCTTCATGAAAAAAATATAATACAAAAGATGATAGCACAACATATATAAGAGAAGGATGAACACAGGAGTATAAAATAATCAGGATGAAATTATAATACAAAAGATGACAACACCAAAGGAGAGAGATGTCAGATATAATAACATATAATAATAATAATAATAAATAAAACTTACGATAGCAAAGGCATAAAAATGTGAATCAAGGAAAAGTTCCCTATACATTATTTTTATATATGGACATAGAGGGTACCAGTATTATTCTTTGACAGTAAAATATTTGAAAAGTTGTTTCTTGAAAGAATTTAACAGATGTATACAGAAAAATGAATAGCTAAATAGTTCAACGCATGAGCTTTGGATTATAAGGCATATCATTGAGACCAAGTGACGTGGTTTTAATTCCCCGCTTGTACATGACAAGGTGTAGGGTGACCTGTCCAACTTCGTGACCTTTCTCCTCTGGTTTACTCACACTGCTAAAGACTTCTTGCACTCAAGCAAAGTATTTACATAAAAATGAACCATATGTCAGTCCCAAAATGACTAGTTTGTGTCAAATTTCGTGGTAATCGGACAGAAAGTGCTCGACAAAATAGCTGCTCCTTGTATGCAAATAGTGTAAAAGTATGTAATACAATGTTGTGAACCCTCTAGAGGTCAGAGTTTTTATCAGATTTTGATGAAACTTAAAATATATATTTATATCTAAAACATCTTGGATCCTTTCAATATTCACGCATATCAGACCATATTAAGTTCCAGGATTATGGTCCCTGATTCTACGGAAAAATTCGCGTTTTTAGCTTGTGGACTCTCAATAGGTCACAATTTTTATTCGATTTTGATGAAATTTAAAATATATGTTTTTATCCCAAAGATCTGTGTTCCTTTCGATACTTATGCATATCGAACTGTAACTTCCTGGATTATTGACCCCTGATTGTACGTAAAATCGTTTTTTAATTTTTTTAAGCTTGTTCTCTGTCCATCTCTTGCAAAATATAGGCGTATCATGCATGGCAACTGCTTGTTAATTGTTATATTTGTTTTGTAGATGCTGATGGGTATTATAGTTTTATATATAGTGAAAAAACTTAGTATTATTCAGTTTCCTGATTTTACAAAAGGCACAATTAAAAAGGTAAGGTAACACAATAGATGTAGGTATACAGGCTTTCATATTTCGTGTTTTTGGGTATTCATTTTCTATGTGTTTAGCGTAATCATCATTTTCAGTTTTGTAACCATTTTCTGTGTCAGAGTTGTAATCATTGCAGTGTCAGTTGTAATCATTTCGGTGTCGTAGGGTAGCCATTTCCTGTGTTTTACATAATGTAGTTGTAACCATTTCTTGTGTTTTAGTTATAACCATTTTCTCACACTGATCAGCAGTTAATACAGTGAATATTCGCTAGGTCGCTACAATCACTTAATGAACCTCAGATATTAACTTTTTCCTACAACAAATTAAATTCTAAAACAATTTTTTTATGTATTAGAAAAATAAATAAGACGTTTGAAGTATTTGTAGGTAAAAATTATTTCCGATTTTAGTGTAAATGGGTATTAAAATGAGTAAAAGGCACCATTCTGCCCGAGCCAGTAACATCTTATGAAAACATTGCACCCGCCATTGAGCCAATGATTAACACTGCGTGATGTGACGTCATGTAGACAGTCATCTTTTACAGAGATATTAGAAGACTTTCGTAATCCTCTATGAAACAGATTGGCATTTTCTGTGTCTTTGTCATAATCATTCACATTATTATAATGTCGACATTTTATTTCAGGTGTGGCCATTACCACTTATATTCCTAATAAATCTAGTAACAGGTCTAGGAGGAACAAAGAAACTCAAGTAAGAATTCAATCTTTTCAAATTTATACTTCTATCATACTGTATATATAGTAAGTAGTATGTACAGGATTACTTCATCACACATATATAAACAATTACACAAGACAGAACCAGTGATGGGATTTCAAAAATTTTCTTGTCAGACATTTTTACCGAAAATAAAGGGACATAACTCTTATCGTTATTTAAGCAGGCATGTTTTAGACCACACACAAAAATCACGTGTGGACAAAATATTCAAATTTGTACGTAATAAAAAATAGGTGCATCTCGTTATTTTTCATATTTAATGCCCGTACGGTATTCAAATTTATGTCAGTAATATTCCTGCAAAATTACGTGATGTCGTAATACGATAGAATGAAAGCGTGCCGACTACTGGCATACTGCCAATCCGTACTGTTTCGAATTCCTCTAAAGTTACCGTATTTTTCGGGTCATAAATCGATACAATTTTCAACAGAAGTCCGGCATTTGTCTTATACTCCGTTTCGACTTATATATGGAGGTTAAAAAAATAACATCCAGAAATTTATTTGGCAGTAAACGTCGCTCTAACACAACGAGCGAGTGACACCATTTGCTAAATAAACCCTTGACAGGACACAGGCATTTCAAACAGACAAATATATCTTAGCAAGGAAATGGATCCTGGGGCTAGCCGTAATCGCTCAATGTGCAAACTAATAATAAGGGAAGCAACCAAAGAAAAAAGGAAATGGAATGGAGTTTAACGTCCTACTGTCCCGCATGACTGGGCTAATGAAGATAGGCATACACCATGTAGTGTATCTTTTACGTGCACACCAATTTTTTTGTCCCATCCGAACGACTAGACAGCTGTCCTTGTCAGGCCTCTATCCTGCACCACTGATAAGGGGAAACCACATCGGAAAATCCTTATGAACTTTATTGGCCAATGCAGGGATCGAACATGCGACCTCCAGGCTAGCGAGCCATCGTCTTACCTACTTAGCCACCGTTGCTCCAGAAAAAAATGGGTAGAGAGAGAAAAGTGTTATTGTAAAAGAGACAATTTTCATGCAGGTTAATTAGTTTGTCTGATTGTACCACTAACAAATATTAATATTCAAATGGTCTTTATATATATTAAAGTAGCTAACTCAATATCATCCAAAGTCTTACACATTGAAAACACGAAATATTTGTCAATTCAAATCAACATTGATGTTGTAATCTTCTGATATCCAATATTTAAGACAAAATAAACATTTTACCATTACATAGTGCGTTTGAGCGTCATATGTAACAAGTGACCAGAAAGAACGAAGCTAGACATATTCCATAACTCATGTTATGCGCAATAGACTAGAATAACCAGACGCTAGAAATTGTAATTCAGTTGAGACTCCTGCCATATTTCGCTGGACATACTGATTTGAAATTAGTGTCAAAATGGAAACAATTGAATATAAATCAGTTTATATACAATCAGATTACATTATTATATGCATTTCGACCCATTAACGTCAATTTCTAAGTCCCAAAGATTAGCGATTTACCTCCTTTAATCTGAAATCCAGTCCAAAGACAATAGAGAGGTTTCACAACTTTACATTTACAGTAGAATCTGCATTAAGCAGCCACCCAAGGGAATTTTCACAACTGACCGCTAAACGGGAGTGACCGTTGAATAAAGAGATGAAACAACAGAATTTCTACGGGGGGAATTTATCGTGACCGCTTACAAGGAGATGTCGCTGAATAGGAGTGGCTGCTCATACAGATTCTACTGTACATGTAGCATAGTCTGAAGGTTTCTTGTTCAATCCCTGCATTGGCTGAGAAAGATTATCAGGATTTTTCGGTTTTGGTTTCCCCTTGTCAGTTGTCTAATGGTTTGGATGGTACAAAAAAACAAGGCCCTGTGTATACATTGGTGTACATGTAAAAGATCCCTTGGCAGTTGGAATTCGTTATAAGGACAGGCCATAGTGCTGCTGCCTGGGCAAAATTTCCCTCCTAGCACAATGTATGGCGTATGCCCATCTTCATTTGCCAAGTCGGAACAGAACAGTAGGACGTTAAACCCCATTTCATTTCATTTCATTTCTTTGGAGGCCTTACATAAAATCCTTAAAGTTGCATTGTGTAAGAGCTAAATCTACATGTCTTTTTTTTGGCTTAAAACTGGTTTAGGCATTTATTACCATAGCAAGCCTAAAATTAGGGCTGTACGATATTCTTGTTATAGTCATTTATCGCGATATGGTATTTTCAGACCCAACTACGATATCATGTGGCCAAAAATCGTTGATATAGTGGTTTATCGAATATCGCCAAAAACTTCAAATATCGAAAAAAATTATCATAAAAATAGATAATAAATACACTATACAGCAGTGGAAATTAGTCGACGGCAATAAACTATAATAAAACTAATGTTTTGAGAATCGTTAAATGTTGAAAACACTTGCGCAGTGTCCACATCCGTTTTTCACTGCATCGTGTATGCGTTACTTTTACTTTGTTTTTAGTCGACAATAAATTGTCAGTTGTTACTACATGTAAAGCTTAGGCCTACTCAACGCCTGAAATTTCCCACAACCGCAGCTAATTACCAGGCTATAAATAGGTTTTCATATTTTTAAAAAATGAATATTTTTAGAAAACTCTACAAAACTAAATTTCTGAAAGCAAGAATAAAACGATCTATAAATAGATTACTGTCACTGTTAGGCCACGAATACCGCAGTCAATCGAATGCTTGAATGGAAGATAGTCCGGATCATTTAGTATTTTAAACTGTTTGAGCTTACAATACAAGACTTGAAGACCGCACCTACGTACTTCTGCTGCAGGTGATATTTGAGAATTTTCTTACACAAGGTCACAAGCAGACGCTTTTTAAACATCAGCGGTTGTATTTAATTTTTATCCAAAAAGGATGTTGTTTTGCTCATTTTAATAAATCTATATTATAAAAAAAGCAAAGTTTAAAGTGTATGAATAAAGCAATTCTTACCCACAAGTCTTACTCACACTGTAGTCAGCTTTAATGCATTTATATTTAATTTATTTAATAGCAAAGTGACATTATTATTAAATATCGCGATATTTAACTATATCGTTGAAAAAAATACCAATATCGATATCGTCCCTTTTGCAATATCGTACAGCCCTACCTAAAATCAACTGTCTTGAACATCAGATGGCCGACGGATGACTAAAAATTTAAATGGATTTAAACATCTGCATGATTATAAGATTAAATGATAAAATGGACAACCAAGGCTGAGTCTCAGTTGTCCAATCCCTGCATTGGCCGAGAAAGTTCATTCAGATTTTCCAGCGTGGTTTCCCCTTGTCAGTGATGCAGGGCGGAGGGCCTGACAAGGTCAGCTGTCTAGTCGTTCGGATGGAACGAAAAACCGAGGTCCCGTGAACACATTGGCGTGCACGTAAAAGATCCCTTGGCAGTTGGAATTCGATATAAAGGTAGGCCGTAGTGCCGCTGTCCGGGCAAAATTTCCCTCATGGCACACTATAAGGCATATGCCCGTCTTCATTAGCCCAGTATAGGAGCAGAACAGTAGGACGTTAAACCCCATTTCATTTCATTTCATTTCAGTCATTGCTACAATAATGAACGATCTACGCTATATCTACAAACAGTCATCACTTCGCTTAGAATAAAGTAATTTGAATGACATTTTCATTATTCATTATTTATTTAGGAACTATTATAGAAACAATGACCAGCTCTTTATCTAAATCTTACATAATGCATCATTTAAGTCATGATTTACCACTATATATGTTTATTTTTTTATTTTATTTGACAGTTTACCAATGTTTACAGTTTTAAGACGTTTTTCTATTTTATTTACAATGATAGCAGAATACTTAGTTTTAAGGTGAGTGTCACGGTTTATTGCTCTTGTCAGTTTTTTATGCAAGTATTTATTAGTCATTTTATACTTACAAGGAGGAGTTGCAGTTCCTGGTTTGTTGTGCAGAACGGGGAAACCAGCACGCAGGGACAGTTTTTGGCTCATTTGACCAATTTCCCCAAATGTGTCCCTGCAGCTCACCAACTTAAAACTTTTGCAGGCAATATGGCAGCAGGACTGCCAAGTGGGACTACTTTTAGGTATTATTAATCAATTACTAATTGTGAAGTAAAGATTAGTTCGCCTTAAATATGAATGGCTTATAGGCTTTGTTAAAGTTGTTGATATCTTGCAATGTATTTCATATCCTGTAACTTTCGACCTCCCAAATTGGGCCCTGCATTTTCTACAACTGGCCCTGTCAGCAAGTGTCTGTTTGTTCAAATGGGTAAAAAAAACCTGAGCCTTAGAGGTCCTGTGTGCACATCAGCATGCACGTAAAAGAACTCTTGACAGTTGAAATTCAATTGTTGTGACTCTATACAACAATTAACGTACACTCTTAAGTAACATAAATATGTTGAAAGCTGCTGATGGGTATAGATTTGTTACCAGACTGTACTATATTTAACATCATATTGTTTATTTCAGAGTAAGGGCAGATTTATTTGTTCAGAGTACTGTTTTTCTCATGATATTTGGTGCCTTAATAGCTGTTAGGTGAGTAATATTCATTATTTAGATGGCTTTGTGTGCTTTTTGTGGGTCAGTAGGTAAGACATTGGCCAATAACTAATCAGGAGGTCCTGGGCTTGATTCGGTTGATTCCCCAAGTCCACGTTACAGGATGGTGGGCTTGGCATGAAATATGATGAAAAACCGAGGTCATGTGTACACATTGGTGAGCCAATAAGAGAACCTTGAGGGAAAGAGAGATAGAAATATGGTTTGACAAAACACTCGACACAAACTAGGTCATTTCGGTACTAACATGTAGTTCCATTTTATTTCAATAATTCGCTTGCACGTAGGGGTCTGTAGCACTTTAGCAGTGGGAGGAAACTGGAGAACCCGGAGAAAACCCACGAGGTTGAACAGGCGACCCTACTTCTTGTCAGGTACAACCGGGGAATCGAAACCATGCCAGTTGACTCAATGACAGACCTTACAATACAACGCGCACATGCTAACCATTCGTCCATCCAGCACCACCTTATAGTTAGAAGCCAGTGAAGAGGATGTTGAAACCCCACTGCCTGGTCCAAATATCCCTTATATCACACTTATATAGCGTAATGTTTGTTATTTTAGTGATGATTTAGCGTTTGATGTATCAGGCTATTGTTATATTTTAATGAATGATGTTGCTACAGCTGCTAATGGTGTCTACACAAAGAAAAAATTAGATTCAAAGGTGAGTTGAAATGAAATGAAATGGGGTTTAATGTCCTACTGTTCACAAAGGTAAGTTGAAATGAAATGGGGTTTCACGTCCTACTGTTCACTAAGGTAAGTTTTTATCTCAGAATTTATATTATTTGAATTAAACAATGGTTAAAAAAATATGACCTTACTGTATTAATGACAGCGTGGTGGATTGGATGTTATTCGTAATCAGATTTTGATGTGTTGTAGATGTTTTCATTAATGACAAACGAAAAAATATGCGACAACCCTTGTTAGCTACCCAGACGACTAAGCTGCTGTGTGCATATGTTTTGTTGCCTGGAAACCTATCTTTAAATGTTGTATTTGAGAAATGTTGGAAATTGCTTGTATATGGCCATATGTATGGTTCAACTCTACCCAAAGACTGGACTTGATTGGCTTATAGAAATTAATAACTAAAGATACTTTCCCAGAAAAGTATTTATCGGGTGGTTATTTCCAATAAAAGTATGGTAATTTTGGAATATATGGATAGTAGACCATCCAGTCTTCCTAGAAAAATACTGGATTCCCTGAAAATTAGGAATGTCTGGTCGCGTGACGTCAAAGGTTGCACGCGCAGATTGTCTGATCTCCCAGCGTTAGTGAGCATTTGATGTATATGTTGATAAACTTGATGAAGAGCTTAAACGTACAACAGTTTCTGATATAAAAACTACAGAAAATGACTTGGGCAGTGAACTTAATTTGCCTTTTGGGCAGTGAACTTAATTAGGCTTCGATATTTATGATAAATGGACAGCGATTCAAGACAACATCGTCCTCCGACTTCACACCCGTTGCTAGATAGTGCATCAGCTAAGTCACTTGACACAAACATGACTTCTTTTAATAGACTTTTTATAGCAGGAGTATTTCCTTGCAAAAACAATGATTTGAAGCCAAATTTTGATAGATTAATTATTTGGAATATGTTTTTAGTCCAAATATATCATCAAATCACCAAGGTTGTACGTGGGCAGGTATCTTTAATATGGTGGACTAAATTACTAATCATTTTACTTGTATTTGATTTCAGGAACTAGGAAAATATGGTCTATTATTTTATAATTCCTTGTTTATGACTTTACCTATGTTCTGTCTCGTTTATTTTCTTGGGGATATAGAAAAGGTTTGTTTATATTTTTTTTACTCTTTTACATATTTTTATAAATTATTCATCCAGATTTCTTTTGCATTACAATTTTAACACACAAAAAAAATATGAACAAAGAATGAATCTGGACCAGGTTTGCATTAATCCCAGCGATTATAAACATTGTGACGAAATAAGTGCAGTCATAAGTTTTCTTTCTGCGAATGATTTTAAAGGTTTGAAAAGATTTGTTGTCTAATGTGTGCTCATTAGATCATTACAGTCTTGTCATTGAGACAAGTGACGTGGTCTTGTTCCAAGATTTGTACATGGCCGGGTGTAGGGTCTGCTACCAATCTGATTAAAATACAGATCTATATTTCGTTTCGTTTTTTTTATACTTTCGATGGCCTACACTACATGAAGATCTGACAAGTTATAGCGATAAGTCACGTCAGAGGTCAAAAGACCGACTTATGACCTTTTTGACGTCAGACATTTGATTAACCAATCAGCATTGATGTTACTAGTGGATTACCCACAGTTCCGTGAAAAACACACCTAAAGCTCGCCATAACAGACCGTTTAATTGGCTTATCCCTGACAACATTCAGAACACGAGTTAAATAACAACTCTTCCAGATCCAAGTGTAGTAAAGACAAGTAAAACGAAATTTTGAACTATTAAAACGAAACGAAATAGGATCTGTGTTTTAACCAAATTGGGTCTTCTACCAAACCCCTTTGGATTTCTCTGATCCTATTTTGTTATAACAGGAATATCAGTCCGAATATCATTCAATTCCATTCAATATTAACAAAGTTATGATAAATCAAAATTTCACCAGTGACCAATCTGTGCTGCTCGCTGCTACCAGAAAATGATGCATCCATCATTAAATTTATAAATGGCTATTTTTCTATCATCAAGACCCCAAAGACCAGAAAATCAAATTAGTGTGACCTTGCACTTTTTTAATGGATGATGCCACAATAAGAGTTATGCCCCTGTATTTTTTTGTAATAATGTTTGTATTCAACAGACTAGAGTGATTATATTTTTATTATTTAATACATTTATCTAGCTGATCTTTCACTGAAGTGTTCAGATGCGCTTAACCATTACAAAGTAAAAATACAATTTATGATAAAAAGAAAAGTTATAAAAATATCAAAAAACAGTAAAAAGAGAAAGACATGTCTTTTGCTTGATAGGTTGTCAACTCACTATTATACGATCATAGGTGTCATTCTCACACTTAAAACTCATTTACACCGGAAATAATAACACAATTACCTCCCTTGTTTTATATACTCCACCATGGAGTAGCTAACTTCAAACGTTTGAATTTGTTGATGAAAATGATATTTTTGCCAATTTCTCAACTGGCAATAGTGAATTAAAGGATTAATAGGATTATTCTTTAACAAGGTAGGACTGTTTATAGATACCATCTATTTTAAGGCTTTATTTTAATAAATTTTAAAAATATAACTTAAAAATATGAAATTGCAACTTTAACTACACATAAAACAGTCAAATGTATAAAATCAGTAAAAAACCTGTTTGAATAAATGAGTTTTCAAGTGCGATGTGAATGTAATGATTATATATCATGAATGTTTATATTGTTTCAGGCGTTAGAATTTGATGGCTGGAGTAACCCATATTTTATAATTAGTTTTACCATGTCATGTTTTATGGGATTTGTTGTAAGTTATTCTATCATATTATGTACCATGTACAACTCAGCTTTAACTACCACCATTGTTGGGGTCCTAAAGGTAAGTACTTAAAATCATCTAAATTGTCTTGTCATTGTAGGTAAAATGTGACATTGCTATCATGGGTCTAAATTGGCTGTTTTTTGTCGGCTTTAGCCGCTTGAAGTTCAATCAAGCCGATTGGTAAAACAATGAACCGGCCACTATGGTATCATAAATCTACTTTCGGCTAAATTACAACTGCATTGTAATAGATAAATTGTGACATTGCTACACCCCTTCAGAATGCTTAAAATCCTCTGTATTGTCTTGTCATTGTAATATATTAATTCTGACATTGCTACACCCTTTAGCATGCCAACCAGGCAGATTCCACCTTCAGCATACCACGGATGTAAATTGCACCCCTTCATCATATCACCTATGTAAATTTAACCCATTCAGCAAATCACCTATGTAAATCTCACCCATTGCTACACATGTAATTCTCACCCCTTTAATGACATTCAAGACGATACTGTGTACAGATCTTACTATACATTTCAATCTCGGTGTTGGCCGAAAATGTTCATTAAGATGTTCCGAAGTGGTTCACCCGTGTCAGTGGTTCAGTCATTCGAACAGGATGAAAAACTGAGGTCCTTAGAACACATTGTCGTGCACGTAAAAGAACCCTAGAAGTTGGAATTCGAAATAAAAGAATTCCGTAGCTCCGCTGCCTGGGCAAAATTTCCTTCTTAGCACGCTGTATGGCGTAAACCTGTCTTCATCAACCCAGTTGGTGCAGAACAGTAGAATATTAAAAGCCATTTCATTTTAATTTTTGCATATTTTCGTGTCACACTTAGTTCTCAGAATCTGTTACCCCTATTAATGGCGTCAATTGGTCATATAGTTAGGTCACTCGGCAAATCTCAGCAGATTCCAGTACCCTACAGCTAGCCTCAGCTGTATGACAAAGTCCGCCATTGGAACTACTTTCAAGTTCACAGATTACCAACAACGTTGCCCATGATGATGGCTTTGAAGAATGTTTTATCATACAAATATTTCAAAGTCTGAAGCTGTTTTTCTTTCAAGTTCATCCGATTTTCTTCAAACAAGGACTACTTGGCACTGAAAATTCTAAACACACTTCGAATGACGCAATTTTGATAACTTCTTTTTAAAAGCTGCAAGTTTTCCTAATAAGTAAACCAGTGCCGCATCACAATTGTATAGGCGTAGGTACATATCACTTACCGTCATACAGCCGAAGCTAGATGTAGAGTAACGAAATCTGCTCAGGTTTGCCGAGTGATAGTTAGGTAACTGAAAGTCTCATTATATGATTTATCAATCTAAAACTGATCATGTTTACATAGACTCTTTATTTATCCTTTATTTCAGAATTTATTGGTTACATATTTAGGAATGATTTTGGGTGGTGACTACATCTTTTCATGGGTGAATTTTACAGGATTAAATATAAGGTAAGATTTAAACAATATCATTGTTTCCTATGATTTTTTATTGTTTATCAAAGTGTTAAAAGTTCCGTAGCAGTAAAACCAGAATAAATTACAGTTCGACTTTTTTAAAGATCTAAACATGTTTTTTAGTGTCAGGAAGTATATTTTTTTTGTATATTTTTCATGTTTGGGAAGTATATTTTATAGAAAATATTTTTTTGTGTTTTTTCAGTGTTTTGGGAAGTATTTTTTATACAGTTGTAACATTTAGAAGAGTATCAAAACAACAAGCTAATGAAGATAAAGCCAAAACACAGACAATAAGTGTGTAGACCTCACTTATTCTTTTTTTTATATGTCAACATCGTATTCATTATCACCCTAGACACCCATCACGCAATCCCATTTTACTGCTCACTCAAATTTTTGAATATTTCGCGTCTGATTTTTTAATATTCATTATTCGAAGTACGGAAATTGATCTTGTATTTTTGTCTTTTATTAAATATGCTGATATTAATTCAACGATATCAAAAATAAATAAAATATATTGATTTGATTGAATGATTTACATTGTCAAGAAATCTGAATAATGCATCAAAAACGGTCCAAAAATGTTTTATTTCAGTTCAAACAAATATTTGAATGAATAGAATTTCAATTAATGACTTGGAATATTATATCTGTTTTTTGTTCTCGTCTTAAATATGCTGATATTGATTCAATAAAAACAAGTAAAAGATTTCATTGAAAGATTCACATTATCAAAAAATCTGAAAAAGCATCAAAAACGATCCAAAAATATATTATTTCAGTTTAATTGAATATTCACATTAATAAAATTTGAATATTTGAATAGTAATATCAGTATTCAGTGTGAGCCCTATTCCATTTAGTTGCAATACAGTGATGGGATAGGGTATGCTTATCCTTTCTGGAACACTTTATGTCATTTGTTGTTTGTATGGGCTTTTATGTTTACATGTAGCTATCAAATTTAGCTTGGCTTTTGTTTTATACCTCAAAATACCTGTATCTGTTGGTAGTTGTGATAAAAAAATATTGTTACCAATTCTTAGAAAGTATTATTAATTTTTTTATGTATTATTTTATATTATGAAATGTAGCAAGAGATTTGAAGCCCTCCCAAACCATTAAGATTCTCTTGGTTATGTATATTCTTTATGACATTGTATAAATCTTGAACATGGAGTAACATATTTTGTAACATGGATGGGAAATCTTCCTTTGTTCTTTTTGTTGAATAAGCAGATTATTTTCCCTCTAGTAGATTGGGTAGAGCTTAACCGTACAATAACTAGACATGTTCAATGTTATTGCACACTTTTGCTGGTTTACACTAGTTTTAGTAGAAATCATATAGAGAAGTGGGGTGGGTTTTCTGTGCAATAACAATAAGCATGTTGAGCAGTTGTCAATGTTACAAGTCATTTATAGCACGCTTCATTCGTTAACAGGTTTAAGCCGTGCTATAAATATAACCAATCTAATTAAAATATTTATCTATATTTCGTTTCGTTTTTTATACTTCCGGTGGCCTACACTACATGTAGATCTAACAAGTTATAGTTGGAGTTCACGTTCTATGACGTCAGGTACCAAGCAACCAATTAGCGACCGCCATGTATTTTTTATCTACTTTTGCTTTGTTTTCATTTCTATTGCCGCTAATGTCTACCCACAGTTCCGCGCAAAAAAGGTCACGCTCGATTTGACAGACCATTTGATTGGTTGACCCCCTCATTTCAAGCAGAATACGAGTTAAATAACGCTTCCAGATCTGAGTGTAGTAAAGACAAGTAAAATCAAAATTTTGAACTATAAAAACAAAACGAAATTGGATCTGTGTTTTAATCAGATTAAAATATAACATAAACACTCTGTGATCGGAATATGCTCAATTTATTCCTATAAACAAATCAAACCTATTTTTTATTTTTCAATTTTAAATTAATCAAATTCCCAAAGTGATGTGATTTATTGTTCATGTCACTTATAGAAATTCTGAGCATGTTTCTATGTTCATTCTATTCATGAACACCTTGGACTTTGGGTGGTTGAATGGTTTAACCTGTACGCTTTAGATCATAAGGTCTGTCATTGAGTCAGTTGGCGTGGTTTCGATCCCACACTAATATGTGACAAGGAGTAGGGTGGCCTACCCAACCTCGTGGGATTTCTCCGAGTTCTTCGGTTTCATCCCACTGCAACCTCATGGGTTTTCTCCGGGTCATCCAGTTTCCTCCCACTGCTAAAGACCCCTACAGGCAAGCAAATTATTGAAATAAAATGGAACCTTACGTTGGTCCAGAAATGACCTATTTTGTGTCAAGTGGATGTTAAACCCCATTTCTCTTTCTGTCCCCTTTCCTCTCGCTGCTGAAGACCCCTACGGGCAAGCGAATCATAGAAATAAAAGTGTGGAGTGGATGTTAAACCCCATTTCTCTCAATTCACCATCTTTAATCAACAACAGGAGTTTGTTTCTTTCACTAAGTGTTTATCTCCTAAGGGGGGAGGGGTGTTGGATGGCTGAATGGTTAGCATGTGCGTGCTGTATCATAAAGTCTGTCATAGAGTCAACTGGCGTGGTTTTGATTTTCCAGTTGTACGTGACAAGGAGTAGGGTCGCCTGTCCAACCTCATGGGTTTTCTCAGGGTCCTCCAGGTTTCCTCCCACTGCTAAAGACCCCCTACGCGCAAGCGAATTATTGAAATAAAATTGAACCATATGTTAGTCCCAATATGATCTAGTTTGTGTCCAGTGGATGTTAAACCCCATTTCTCTCTCTCTCTCTCTCATCTCCTAAATGTTTATAATTTTTTGTACAATGTCCTTTGTAATATATTTTTGTAGGAAATGTGTATGGTGCAACCCAATATAGGTATAATTTAGTATCAATATGGTTGAGTTTTTAAATATGGACCATGTTTATAGAGATTGTGGGAATTATTTATTTTATTTTGTTTCACTCTGATTAAAATACAGATCTATATTTCGTTTCATTTTTTAATACATTCAATGGCCTACACTACATGAAGATCTGATCAGTTGTACTGGAAGGTCGCGTCAGGGGTCGTACATGTGACTTTTGACACTATGACGTCAGTCATTGATTAATCAATCAGCATTGACATTTCTAGTGGTTTACCCACAGTTCTGTGCATGGCACTCCAAGAAGTCGCCTTAACAGATGATTTCATTGGTTAATCCCTCAGGCCATCCAGAACGTCTGTTATATAACAACTCTTCCAGATCCTAGTATAGTACAGACAAATAAAACGAAATTTTGAACTCTAAAAAATGAAACGAAATAGGATTTGTGTTTTAATCAAATTGGGTTTGTTTTTATGTCGTGATGTTTATCTTTATAATTCTTATATATTTGAAGGACTATGATCAGGGCTCTCGATTCAGTCATACTGGTCAGTCTTGACTGACTGGTAGTCATTTTGACCAACTAGAAAACATACCGGTCAGTCAATTTGCATGCTATAAAATAGGAATTTCAAAAAAATTAACCTTCAGATATAATAAATGCAGTTAAATTATTAGTTTTTATGTTTAAAAATTCTTCAAAATGTATACAAAAATCAGGATAATTGCTAATATTTAAGAAAACAATTGATGCTAATCCAATGTCAATATTTGACCGGTTGACAAAATTTTGAAGTGAGAGCCCTGACCATGAGTCAGTATAGTTTGCACTGTCACCTACATTTAAATTTGTTCTCAGTCTGTCAAAGAAAGCAGGGACCTATTAAAATGGATTTGTTCATCAGACTTATTGGGACTTTGGTGGTGAATTGTTGGAAATTTATAACCCAGGTTTATAAGAGTGGATCTGATGGGTATACTATAATATAGCGTAGAATCAGCTAAAATAAACGTAATGAAAATAATCATTGATCAATTCACAAATGTTATATTTATAGTGCCATACTGTACGAGAATATATGTACCTTAACATATATGCAGAGGTAAGCGCATGTGTAGATGTTAAAAGTACTAGAATATATCGATGTCAAATCTCCAAAATACCAGTGGAATAACAGTTAAATATAGATTTTGAGACCATACAGTATGATTACACAATCAAAAGTACTTTCAATAAAGATAAATTATGGGAGATAAGATAAACAGCTGGCAGTTCTCACTGTAATAATTAAAAAATAGATAATGTAAAGGCAATTTGCTGAAAATTTCATTCAAATTGATCCACTATGAACCAAGAACTAAGCGATTGAAATTTCCGGCTATTGATTTTACATAGCCATTATTTAGTGTCATAATGACTATATTTTTTTTCGTGCAAGCCACCCAATTCGTTGTGAAGGTTGTAATATACTTAGACATAATGGTACATATTTTTTACTTTTTAAGTGTATTTTGAAGATCTTGCATGTTGTGTTTTTAATATTGAAATTATATAGTATCAGTTATCTACCCTTACTTATGGCATGCTTCGCCTGTAAATCTTATTTTGTAGATTTCATATCAATCTGATTACAATATAGATCCTATTTCGTTTCGCTTTTATAGTTCAAAATTTCAGGGGGGTTGGATGGCTGAATGGTTAGCGTGCGCGCGCTGTATCATAAAGTCTGTCATTGAGTCGACTGGCGTGGTTTCGAATCCCCGGTTGTACGTGACAAGGAGTAGGGTCGCCTGTCCAACCTTGTGGGTTTTCTCCGGGTCCTCCGGTTTCTTCCCACTGTTAAAGACCCCTATGCGCAAGCGAATTATTGAAATAAAATTAAACCATATGTTAGTCCCGAAATGACCTAGTTTGTGTTGAGTGGACGTTAAACCCCATTTCTCTCTCTCTCTCTCAAAATTTCAATTTACTTGTCTTTACTACACTGTTATCATTGACGTGTTCTGAATGATGTGAGGGAATAGCCAATGAAACAGTCTGTTACGGCGAGCTTTAGGCGTGTTTTGCACGGAACTGTGGGTAATCCACTAGTAACATCAATGCTGATTGGTTAATCAAATGTCTGACGTCATAGGGTCAAAACCCGCTTGTATGACCTCTGACGCGACCTATCACTAGAACCAGTCAGATCTTCATGTAGTGTAGGCCATCGAAAGTAAAAAAAACAAAACGTAATATAGATCTGTATTTTAATCAGAGTGGTTTCATATCTGTTTTAGTTAAATATTCATTATGCAAGAGCTAAATCTGTCTATTGCAGGCCTTTTTTTAGGCCTGAAATCTTATCTAAATTATTAATTAGACATTAATTAACTTTTTCCAGACCATAATCAACTCTCGATGCCATCATTAACGTAAAAATGGATAATCAAGACTTTATTTATCATCGCACCAAAGTTAGTAATGATGTTCGAGGCTAGCCTAAAATTCACAGTGAAGCAATTTGACATTTTTAGCATATTCTGTTTTCATTATCTATTTTTTAACTATTATAGCGAGAACTATCAGCTCTTTATTGAATCTTACCTATTGCCCTATTAAAGAGGCATTATGTGAGAGCTAAATTTGCCCCTAGCAGGCATATTTCTGGCTTTAAATGTTATAACGATTATTATTTAGACATCTATTCTATTCATATAATCAACTCCCTGGGCCCATAGATGGCTTAGATATTGAGTTTATTAGACTATGCCTCCCATATCTGTATTAAACTTGAATGTCTCCAACCAAGCCCAAATTTTTAGAAAATGCATGACCTCACTCACTCACTCACTACTCACTGCTGATAAAAGACCTGACAATAGAGTTAAATACAGTGTTCTATATATATTCTTATATAATAAAAGTCTTAATTGTATTAAAAGTATCCATTTATAAACTTTGCACAGAATAAAGTCATTTTTCATTATCTTACCTTAGAGATAGATTATGTAAGATTTAGATAAAGTGCTAGCCATTCTAGCTATAATAGTTAAAAGAATAATTTGAAAATTTCATTCAAATTACTCAATTGCAAGCGAAGATATTAGCCTTTGAAGGTTTGACAAGATGTGTTCATTAATTGCAACCACCGTACTGGTTGTTCAAAGCTAAGTCTCGCTCCTCCATTTTATGTTAAATCAAAATATGGCTGAACCGTTGAGTTGATTATGGTCTTGTCATGTTAATAAATGTCTAATTAATAGTTTATATGACATTTCGGGCCTAAAGAAAGACCAGCCACAGGCAGATTTAGCTCTTGCATAATGTATGTTTTAACAAGTATTGCAAGAACGACCACCTCTTTGTCTCCTGACTAGTTTATCATAATACTGAATTAAAGTTATGCTTACACTCAATGTTCAATCTTTATTTTTTAACATAAGGAATTATATTTTAAAATCTAGTTATTTTAGCTGATGGGTATTTATATTATTTTGTTTATATTTGCATGCATAGTTGTATTAGGCAGGACTGCATCTCTCCCACATGAGAACAGACGAGTGATGATTTTTGGGTAAATGGGCTATTTTTAGACAAATATGACCTAATTACCAATGTGATTAAAATACAGATCTATATTTCGTTTCATTTATTTATACTTTCGATGGCCTACACTACATGAAGATCTGACAAGTTATAGCGATAGGTCACGTCAGGGGTCAAAAGACCGACTTATGACCCTATGATGTCAGACATTTGATTAACCAATCAGCATTGATGTTACTAGTGGATTACCCACAGTTCCATGCAAAACACGCCTAAAGCTCGCCGTGACAGACCGTTTCATTGGCTTATCCCTGACACCATTCAGAACACGAGTTAAATAACAACTCTACCAGATCCAAGTGTAGTAAAGACAAGTAAAACGAAATTTTGAACTATAAAAACGAAACGAAATAGGATGTGTGTTTTAACCAGATTGACCTAATTGCCAACAATAATCAATGGGTTTTCTGGCAATTTTCGTTGATGAGTTTGAGAAACTATTTTAAAATTATAAAGTCGTCACTGTGATACAGGGGCCTGTCTGTACACCTATGTTTGCATGTAGCATTTATTTCATTTATTTAATTATACTGCCATTGTTATCACGAAAGTAAATAGAAATCCAGTACTACAGTTTACAGGTAAATTATACCTGTCAAAACTGTAGTTGATGTTTTGGTGTTCTTTGTCCCACCCCCTTGTTCACAGTGGGCATTATTCATAAGGGACAATCTCAAACTTTCAACACTTATGTCCAAAGATAAACCGAGGTCCTGTGTACACATTAGCCCAGTTGGAGCAGAACAGTAGGATGTTAAACCTCATTTCATTTAATATTTTCCACTTCTTTGAGTGGCATTTAGTAAATGAAGTGAAATGGGGTTTAACGTCCTACTGTTGAGTGGCATTTAGTAAATGAAATGAAATGAAATGGGGTTTAACGTCCTACTGTTGAGTGGCATTTAGTAATTGAATAGTAACGCCCAACCACCAAGTTTCACATGTTATTCTTTTGGATGCAAGTGTTGAAATTTTTCGACGGCCCCTTGCAATGTCTGTGTTTTTGTGTTGCTTTTGTCTGTTTTGCTTGTGTTTTTGTCATTTTGTTTATTTTGGAACACATGGCTTATTATCAAAATTAGCATGGTTTAATTATATCATGGTAAGGATGAACGCTATCAACTATATAAAGGCAGCCCATCCCCATGTTTTTGTATTTGAACTAGTGCTGTTACTAGCATTTTGTTTTTCAAACATAAGTTTTTTTTATGTCAACAATATATATATATATATATAGAAATGATATATCATAGTTACAAGCGACGATTTTGATATCACCTTCACAGAGATACGAATCAGTGTCATCATTTAATGAATGTTAAGAATTAATTAAATACACCTTTGAGATATGTCTAATTAAGCTCACAATATTTAGATATTTAATTCACCATGAACTGCCAATTTTTATATTTTATAGTAAATCTGCCCTAAAACTACTGCTTTCGAATGATATGTTCCAGTTCTGGGAATACTAAGGCTAGTTATTCGTTCCTTCTTCCCTATTACAAAAATCTATAAATGTTACCCTCCTATCTGATTACACTATTTTGATTGAATACACTATTTTGCCTATAACGTTTTTTAGGACTTCGAATTCTGTCTTATGGTTTGGATTGTTCGTACTTGGTTTTATTTTAATTCTATTTTGGCTAACCATTTAAGCAATTACTTCATCGAAATAATCACCACCATTTGAAATTCTCTTGGTATTCCAGACGAAAAACCCTTGGTATCAACATTTGTTAAATCTGACTGCCAAGATTTATCCACTTTGAATACTCTGTCAGAGGATATTGACAAGGATCCCAAGCAAACATCTTGTGAACTTGCTCTTGTCCACAAACTTACTGCTGACAATTGATCCTGAACCGAGACAGTGTTACAATGTGTTGTTCCCCAGGGTCCTATACTGGGCCCATCACTGTTTACAATGTTTACCAGCTCGAATACCTCTTATTTAAAGTTACTGACTCATACTTCTTGGTTCTTACATGAAATGACATACTACATACAGAATGCAAAATCATGGTCAAAATTAAATTAAATGAAAATAATACAGAAGCACTTATTTACTGACATGATCATGACTCAAATAGTATGACTGCAGTACAACCAAGTTCAGCTGTTCACATTGTAACTGGGTGAAAAGCTGAAAAAAACTAATTGGTTGCCTGTTCAAGCCAAGTTTAAGTTCAAAATATTATCTTTAGCCTATCAGTATCTGAATGGAAGTGTTCTGACCGAAGTAGCTGTGCAATGTTTTTAGATATTACTGCCAATTCTTAGTGAATATTATAATTTTTGTGGTCAATCTTTCCAAGTTGCTGCATCCACAAAGTAGAATAAACTACTATCAAACGTCCACTGAAATCCAACCCATTTAAATCAGTTTCAATAATATTATTAAACACTGGTGTTTTGTGAGCCATGACGACATTTTGTGGATTTAGTACATTGTAAATGGACATATGATTATTTGCTGACAAAAAATAATTAGGTCATGTGAGATGAATACATGTGAGCTTCTGCTTGTTTTGAAATCCATTATAACAGTATTGTATACACTCATGACGTCCTCAAACCAAAAGCATATTTGATGGTAAAAACACTGGGTTACCAGTTGTCTGATTATGTGTTAATCCTAGCAAGTTATTTCTATTGTATATTGTTTATTTTAGATTGGGGTATATTAACTATATTTTGTAGATTTTTTAAAATATTTTTATATAAGGCAATTGATTCAATTATTAATATACTGTAACCCAGTCCACTATATTGACTAAATTATTTACAATTGATGACCCAACACTTACATTAAAGTTGTGATCATCATTTGCTTTTGACTGCTTAGTCACTAAGATTGAATATTTAGTATTTAAACATACATTATACAAGAGCTAAATCTGCCTATTGCAGGTCTTTTTTTAGGCCTGAGATGTTATCTAAATTATTAATTAGGTATTAACTTATCCAGGCCATAATCAACTCTCGATGTCATCGCTAGCCTTCGATATTTAGAGGATTGGAATACATTTTGTGATGGATAATTTAACTTACAAATGGATAATCTAGACATGGTTTATTATCGCACCCAAGTTAGTAATGACGTTCAAGGCTAAGCTAAAATGAAATCGCTAATATCTTGCTTCAGAGTGAAGCAATTTGACTGAAATTTTCAGCATATTCTGTTTCCATTATCTATTTTGGACTATGATAGCGAGAACTGTCAGCTCTTTATCTAATCTTACCTAATGCCCCTTTAATCCATTTTTAAACCAACATTACATCGAGAGATTTAACTTCAGCATTATTGTAGTTTGAAAGGGATTAACAATCAATTAATTGATTCTCAGAGGTTTTAAGACTAGTGATTTTGATATATTTATTATTTTTGCTTTACATCATTTATCTTAGTATTTTGTATCCGTCCTGCCTTACTGAACATTTATTTCTCTAAGGGACTGTTGCAAAAAGTCAACACTTGTGTCCAAACAACCTGTGGAACTGGATGGATGGGTTCAACAACAACCTGGATAGAAAAACAAAAGCTAAAGTAACGATGTGCTATTTGCATAAAATTTCTCATGGATTGATCTAGGTTTATGTGTACACAGCTTGATTAATTAAAGTTTAATTTAGTAAACAAATTCAAAATACCAACAGCTACATAATGTCCTAACTTGGATTCACTCAGATTTTAAAAAAAAAAGGCCTACCAATAAATTTTCGTGGACAATGAAATGATGTCTGGCTTATTACATAGCGGAGGAACATAGATCGATGAAATTTTAATTCTACATATATTTTCGTAAATACTAAACGAATTTGGACCATTTTTAGATTTTTTGAGTGATTCCTATAGCACTAAAATGGCACATCAGGCCTTGTTTATTTTTAGTATTATTGAATGATTAATGGATATATGTGAAGTCTTACTGTGTCGCACATTGATCATCAGTGATTGGGATGACATCGATTCAGCTTAATGAGCCCTCAATATTAAACATGCATTATGCAAGAGCTTAATCTGATTATTTCAAGTCTTAATTTAGGCTTCAGATGTTATAGAAATTATAAATTAGATCTTTATTTAAACAACAAGACCAAAATCAACTCTGTAGACCCACGGATGGCTCGGCTACAGCTCGGATTTAAATAGGATTTCACTAATTGATTAAATCAAATAAGGGGTAACCTGATGAAAATACGTCAGTTAGATCGAGGCTAAATGATAGAGTGTACTTAGCGAGGCCGCTGTAAAGCGTTTCCGTATGCCATTGAAAACTTTACTTGATAATCGATATATGTAGGTGGAGTTAACGCCTGTCAATCAAACGATCGGGCGAAGGTGAAGACACATTTCGCTACCATTTCTAGGCAAATATTACAACGATGATAACTTTGTTCAGAATGAAGTAATTTGACTGAAATTTTCAATATATTCTTCTTTCATCGTCTATTTTTGAACTGTTATAGCATAAATGGCCAACTCTCTATAAAAATCTCCCATAATGTATCTTTAATATTTCCCTTTCTAGAAGATTGTTTATAAGACTAATGCTTAGCCAATGATTGACGCCATCATCTTTTACAGAGTTATTAGAAGACTTTCGTATTACTCTGTGAAAAAGATCGACTCTGTCGCTGCAAGTGGGTTGAGATCTATCGGCATGTTATTTGTTTTGACACAAGTGTTGAAAATTTTATTATATGTAATCTTGTCATGTTCACATTTCATAAAATCAAAACCATGTTGTTATCATATTGTTCAGATGCAATTTAGCTTGTTATAAAATTATACTTAATGGATATGTATATATTTTTTTATTATGTTTGTGGGAAAAAATAAATGAATGCAAATGGGTTTTAATGGTGTTATTTGTTGAAAATTTGAAAGAAATTTAATTAACTTGGGTCATATCACATGATATTGGTAGACTTATCAAATTATTGATGAACCTGGGTCATTTGATGACTAAACACGGTTCAATTTCATTTCAATAATTCGCTTGCGCGTAGGGGTCTTTAGCAGTGGGAGGAAACCGGAAGACCTGGAGAAAACCCACAAGTTTGGACAGGTGACCCTACTTGTCACATACAACCAGGGAATCAAAACCACGCCTGTTGACTCAATGACAGACCTTATGATACAGCCCGCACATGCTAACCATTCGGCCATCCAACCCCCTCAGACCTTTTAGAACGGAGGGACTGGCATTCATGTAAAAGAACCCTATGGAATTTGTAATAGCACACTGTATGGCGTATGCCCGTCTTCATTAGCCCAGTCGGAGCAGAACAGTAGGATGTTAAAACCCCATTTCATTTCATTTCAAACGAACTAGAGTTTGTTCAAAATGGTTCCTCATTAGGACTAGCTGAACAAAACCAGTAAGTTAGAGTAAAACAACCTTTCAAAGCTGATTTACAAAAATTGTGGACAGGTGAACATGGGTTAGACAATATATACTTCAACATGAAACAGGAGAGAGAAATCACACAAACTAGGTCATTATGGGACTAACATGGTTCAATTTTATTTCAACAATTCACTTGCGCATAGGGGTCTTTAGTAGTGGGTGGAAACCGGAAGACCTGAAGAAAACCCACAAGGTTGGAAAGGCGACCCTACCCTTATGATGCAACGTGCACGCATTAACGATTTGGCCAACCAACCCCCAAAATATGATGCCACACTGGCTCACATACAGGAAATATTCTCAGTATTTTTCAGTTGTGCATGACTGGAAAGGATAAGTGTAGCACTTTGGATGGTATGAAAAACCAAGGTCCAGTGTACACATTGACGTTCTTGTGATATAACCCTAGTACCAGCGTCCAAATTTCCCACACAACACAATGCTTGGTAATATGCCTGTCTGCAAAACAGGAGGACTTTAAATGTGTTGTTGACATCGATTAGACATAATACCCAACTTGAAATGACAAAAGAGAGATAAATAGGGTTTAACATCCACTCGACACAAACTAGATCATTTTGGGACTAACACATGGTTCAATTTTATTTCAATAATTGGCTTGCACGTAGGGGTCTTTAGCACTGGGAGCCTGGGAGGAAACCGAAGTTGACTCAAAGACAGACCTTATGATACAACATGCACACGCTAACCATTCGGCCATCCGAATACGCTAAGTGCGTAGAGGCCTTTAGGAGAAATCCCATAAGGTTAGACAGGCGACCATACTGTACTCATTGTCACATACAAGCTGGGAATCGAAACAATGCCACTTGACTCAATAACAGACATTATGATACAACACACAAACGCCAACCATTCGGCCATCCAACCCCCAAAATAACAAAAGACAAAGCAGTAATTGTTTTCATTTTTAGTCAGTATGTATAACTAATCATCTACATATATAATATATGTACAATAATAAATAAATAAACTGAACATAATTCTTACAAATCTCATATTATCATCATAATCATACCTAGCGGAATATTCAACTGGGATGATGGACTGTACACATCACTGTACAATCTATTTATAGAAAAATATACATTACGCTTTTCATATATATTACACGGTTTTATAAATCAATCATTCTTATTATGTATCTTAAAGACTACTGAGTGCATATCTGAGGGAAATATTCTACTAATAGATAAAAATTTATTCATTTTTAGCATTCATGGACAAAAAACCTTTGTGCTGGGTGTAAAAATCCTTCTTGCACACTTAACTAATGAGTTCCTGGTTTAGGGTTGTAAACCAAGAGAATTCCAGGGTTAGGGTTACAGAACAATGAAATTCCTGGCTTAGGATTGTTTATCAATGTAAGTCTCGGCTTTCGGGTTGTAGACCAATGAAATTCCAGGCTTAGGGTTGTGGACCAATGAAATTCCAAGTTTAGGGTTGTAGACCAATGAAATCCAAGATTTAATGTTGTGAACCAATGAAATTCTCGGCTTAAGGATTGGGCTTTGATTTGATCATCCTATAAACGACCTGGAAGACAGGTGGTTATTTTACACCAATCAAAAACAAGTCTTTTTTATGACTTCCATGGCAAGTACCTACATGTACAGAAGCATGAATCTACTTTTCCAAAGATACATTATGTAAGATTTAAATAAGAAGCTGGCCTTTCTTGATACATGTATAAATGGATGAACATATGGAAAATTTCAGTCACATTAGGAATTATGAGCGTTTTAAAGCGGAAATTGCAAATTTTCAAGTTATATTTTTAAAATGTATTAAAATAAAGCCCTAAAATAGATGGTATCTATAAACAGTCCTACCTTGTTAAAGAATAATCCTATTAATCCTATAATTCTCTATTGCCAGCTGAGAAATTGGCAAAAATATCATTTTTAACTTCAAATTCCAACGTTGGAAAATGGCTGCCCCATGTTGTCAATAGCAAAACAGGGGAGGTAATTGTGTTGTTATTTCCTGTGTCATAGATTTTTAAGGGTGGGAAATAATGCCCATGATCATATAATAGTGATTTGATAACCTATTGAGCAAAAGACATAGAAATAATTATGTTTTGACTTTCTTAGAAAATTTCAAATTCTTGCTTTAAGTGGATTTACAGAGTAAAAACACAATCATACAAACATAAGGCCACACAAATTTGATTTCCTGTTCTTTAGAAACTGTCTGTTAAAATTTTTTTTTTTAATTTCTTAGGGGAAAAAGACTAATTTAAAAACTGAAAGTATTTGGTTCAGCTTTTCATAGGTCTTATTTCCAAATTTTAAGATTTGAAGTGGCTATTTATTTATCCAGACCTCCCTCCAGAAGAACAGGAAATATAATTGGTGTGGTCTAAGACACATACATGTAGACCGGGTGCTAGTTTCATGAAAGATACAATGGCGATTATAACACTTTCTACTACTATATCTAAGGTACTGGGCCCTTATTTACGAAACTTAAACTAAGATACAATTGAAATTTTAAGAAATACTGCAATTCGATTGGCCGACCAGTAAAATCAATTTGCATATATCCAATGAAGTTGCAGTATTTCTTAAAATTTCGGTTGTAACTTAGTTTAAGTTTTCGTGAATAAGGGCCCTGTTCACAATATTTCACCACTTGCATTCAAACGAATAACCCGCAGACCTGGGTGAGTATGTTGAACAACACAGCAGATAGAAAAGGAGAAAGAGAGAGAGAGAGAGAGAGAGATGATTTAATGTCCACTGGACACAAACTAGGTCAATACGGGACTAACATATGGTTTTTAATTTTATTTCATTAATTTGCTTGCACATAGGGGGCTTTAGCTGTCGGGAGGAAACCGGAGGACCAGGAAAAAACCCATAAGGTTGGACATGCGAGATAGAAAACGACAAATTAAACCTCGGTTGTTATTGAATCAAGAATGGAAATATGTCAACATTTTTTAACTCTGTTGACACAGAGGGTCATGTGGGTGGATGTGTCGTTTGGACACCGAAGTGTTGAAATTGTGCGACTGTCGCCTAATATATCTAATCAACATGTAGTTTTATAGTACACCATTCAAGCAGTGTGTACACTATCAACTTCTCGGCAACTAGTTGATCAAATTTTTGGTCAACATAAATTTGGGTCAAATTTTTGGTAATATGATGGGAAAAATCTCAGTTTTCGGACATTTGAGTCCATTTTAAATTTTGTCTCAATGTCACATGACTTCAGGTGAGTCAGCCGATTTTTGAATCATGATAACCGGAATTGTATTCGTATTCATTCGGCAACATGTTGACGCACTTTTTACAGTGTATACACTTGTCAACCGTTGATCAACATAGTGTTGGATTTAATATGTTGGTCAACATGTTGCCAAGAATTTGATAGTGTGTACAGACCTTCATATAGGTCTAAACAAAGTTAATAATAATAATCAGGGGTAATTTCACAAACACTGAAATGTCTTCAAATACTAACATGTACAACAAGTATTAAAAGTTTAACTATAGATTTAAAGAAATTTGAGTGTTTGTGAACATAGCCTTGATTGTTTTTCGGACTAGTAGGTGGACTAACTTAAAAAAAAAAAAATATTTTAAACATGCAACTTTCACCTGATATTTCACAGTTACTGAATTTACATGTAATGCTGGTAAAAAAATAAAGACGTTATCATAAAATTTAGATAAACGGAGTTTATATAACAAAAAATATCATGAGCTTACATTTCACATTTTATAACTTTTTAACCTCATGGAATACAGATAACTTTTTCTAATTGGATTTCAATTTCATGTACCTCTAGTACATTTATGCACCTTTCTTTATTATTCGGCCAAAAAACAAAATACCTGTGTTTACAGTTCATTACTGACCGACCATATTCTTTCATGCCAAAATCACCAACCTAACCCCTTTTTCTCTTATTTTCCTTGCCCTATAAATCTGTCTTGGTGTGATATTCTCAAGACAAATTGTAACATTGAAAGTTCAATAGTATTTTACAGAGTTAGGAAACGGATAATACAAAAACAAACGGAGGAAAAAAAAAAAAAAAAAAATCTTTGTCTTTGTTTATTTCTTTAACTAGATTTTTGTGACAGATTCAAATCACAACAAAACATGGATAAATTTAATGTTTTGAATTTTAAGTAATATTTTAATTTTTATTTGACCGCAGTATAAAGAGAATGCTGACCTGTACTTGAGACAATAAGTAAGTAAATATATTTAAATAGATGAATATTTTATGGATTTTAGTGTATGCGTGTAAATACGATTTCTACAACTATTTTATTCCGACTTGCATGTATAAACACCTGAACTAAACTAAAGACTACGCTAATGTGTATTAACAACTGTACAGTAGAAAAATACAATGTACAATTTTAATATTCTTTTGGTACAATTGTGAAACTTACTCTCTAAATAAACTCTTAATAAACTAAATAAAACTAAAAAAAAGCACTATGTCAATGATTTCATATTGAATAGATATTCTATATACATGTACACAGATGAAATAATATACAAGATGAATAGCATCAAATATAACCTGTATGGTTTAAACACCATTTCATTTAGTAATTAAACACAAATTGCTACTTTACATTAAACAAAGTTATTCTGCCTCAAGTTATAAGACGAATCTCAAAACACACTATTTTAATATGCCTTTTAAACCGATTCCTACTTTCAAATTTTAAGGAGTGTTTTAAGTGATTTTAAACATTAATCTGTGCACCACTGAGCAGTTTTACTGAATGTACCAGAGCTGTACAAGATGGATTATTATTATTAAAATAAATACAACAAATCTAATGATCTATTGAAAAAAAATTACTATATTTTAATTGTAGCTACATGTACCTTAGTATTTTTGTGTTTGAAAATGACAAGAGAATAATACATGTAGCTCAATATTAAAATATATTAATTGTTTTCCAAAGAACTGTGGCGTTTGTTTTAAATTCAACATAGATACATCTATTATGTGGCTAATTGACTTAAAGTTGCTGATGACCATTTGAAATTTTGAAGTGGACCAAACATTCATTATCATTTATTTTTAATCCATTACAAATTACAAGGTTCCAAAAAAAGGACTTTAAACGGAATATCAGTCTTAAAATTGTATAATTTCATTCAGTTTGTACTGAAAATTTGACATCTAATCTACTGTGAGAGAGATAAATGGGGTTTAATGTCCACTCGACACAAACTGGGTCATTTCGGAACTACATATGGTTTAATTTTATTTCAATAATTCACTTGCACGTAGGTGTCTTTAGCAGTGGGAGGAAACCAGGGAACCTGGAGTAAACCCACAAGGTTGAACAGGTGACCCTACTCCTTGTCAGGTACAAGCAGAGAATCGAAACCCAATACGTGTTGGGTTAATTATTTTGATGGGATTTTTATAACCTGATGGAATCTAAGGCAGGAAATTATCTACATGTATCATTGATATCTTGGTTCCGTTTTCTTAAATAATGAATATGGGTTAAACCATGAAATATTAAGATGTTTTCGGAAAAAAGGACTAAAGATAGTGACTAGCACATGTATCTGTAAATACTGTCCAAAACACACTTCAAAAAAACAAAACTAAATTTAATAATTGAACTAGAAACAGACGAGGTGCGTTCTACTGAATATTTCAACTGTTTATTTCCGAGCGGTTTTATCCTCAAGATGATCTATTTTACTTGATAAAAACTGACTGAAATGTTGTCGATCAACTAATACACCATTCAGACGCTTATCTTTAAACCAGTTCAAAATCACCGGGGATTTTAAGACAGGATCGAGTTATGTTCACACATACTATAAGCCAAACCGGTTCAACTATTCTGACCTCTTCGGTTGAATTTTAGTGTTAAGTACTAATGGGTAACAACAAAACACATACTTTAAAGAACATACTAATGGGTAGTTTCACATTCTTTATTCGGTTCTTGCACGCTTTCGATAACACTCGCACTGCCTGACCGACATTTTCCCAGGAATGTTACTTACTGCATACTGCGCATGCCCAAAGCGAGCTGGAGCTGAGGTTTTTATTTTACGCCAAACCGATCAGGCAACAAAGTTAAACTGGTTTAACAATCCCCTGGGTTTTTAAATCAGTTCAACGTAAGCGTCTGAACAGGCTATAAATCTATGGCAATTTTGTTTTCCACTTTTTGTTTTCTCAACATATTTTAAACTACATTGTAATTACAAGAAACTAACTTTTCAAAAGTATCGAGTTGGGATGGAGGAGCACGATCTCCCCATTCCTCACCATGGAACATCACTGATCTCAGAACAAAATATATTGGTACTTAATTTACTAAATAACCAAATTTTAGCATGCAATAATTTGAATAAACCCAGAAAATATGACTGATAAAGCAATCCCTTCCATTTTGAAAAGTGGACTATTAATATCTACTTAGTACATGCACTTCTAATTGGCAGTTAATCATTGTAGATACACTTGTATCTATGTATGTGACCCACGACAGCAAATTGAGTCGGACATTGCAACATTACTAAATGCCATTTAAAGAATATTGCAACTTATCGTTTAAAATAGATAAACAAAAATGTCAAAATAGGCTAAAAATAAAACAAAAAATTAGTTTGCTGTATTTGTCAAAACCCTACTTCCACCATTTGTGTGTTATATCATTAAAAATATATATTTAGCCTATTTTAATGTTTTAGTTGACATAATAAAAGACTTGCGACTTCCAACTCATTTTGATATCCCAACTCACACCCCCAAGTATAAATGAAGTTCAATATAATATGAATGATTATGGATTTACATCATGAAATGTCACATTAATTATAGGCATAAAATAAAAGTAGAAAATATGATTTCAAAAACTTAACAATTCAAACAAAAATATACATTTATACATATTTCTCTTGTATTCATCAACTTAAACAATTAATATTATTAATATAATCCTTTAGTGGCATTTAGCAATTGGAAACATAACAAAACTGACACAGTTATATGGGACAACAATCACTGGTTTATTATACATAAGCACAACGTTAAGCTTGATAACGATAAGAGAATACTTATCGAAACGTTGTGCTTGTGTATAATAAACCAGTGATTGTTGTCCCATATAACTGTGTCAGTTTTGTAATATTATTAATATCACTTCTTCGTGATTTAGACTAAGTATACCAACTCACTGCACTTCTTCGTGATTGAGAATAAGTATACAAACTCACTGCACTTCTTGGTGATTAAGAATAAGTATACAAACTCACTGCACTTCTTTGTGATTTAGACTAAGTATACAAACTCGCTGCACTTCTTCGTGATTGAGCATAAGTATACAAACTCACTGCACTTCTTTGTGATTGAGAATAAGTATACAAACTCACTCTGTTGTTTAATGGCAGATAACTGAACCATTCTAAAACTATGATGAAATGGATCATGGTATTCTGGTACTATGATAGTGGATCAGAACACTCATGCAAGATGACAGTTTGTTAACTAATAACATCCGTATTATTAAATAACTCACTTTAATTACGAATAATGAAATCTAAACATCTGCACACACTATGCTGCATCGTCCATCTTCCATGCTACTAACATATCACCTACCCGGTATGGTATTTGTTTTGTTTTTTTAAGCCTGTAGAAAAGCGCAATAAAAACACAAATTTGCAGACAAAAAATTGTCAAAAAAACGCTGGCCTTTAGAGGAAGATTGGATATTATTCACTATTATAACATTGACGAAATACTGGAACTGTATTTGAACAAATCTTCAGCTTTGATCACTCAAGTCTTATGTTTGATTCTGTACTTAATGACGAGATGCATGTATATTGCACAGTTTATATAACAGTTTAACCACGTCACTGCGCTATTGTTTCGGGGGTTGCTTTATTAATAAGTACGTTTTCCGGAACCAGGAGATCAAGAGAACCTACATTCGGGGCTGATATATTTTCAATGGTGGCCTCGACTGGTAAACTATCAGCTGGATGCTCAGCCGGCGAAACAGGAAACGAATGTTTTGAGTCACTAACATTGGATTCAGTTTTTACTTTTTTAACTACAGGTTCACTACTGACATTTACGTTTTCTAAAGTACCGTTCACAAATGTTTCACTTGATTGAGACCTTTTATGGGATAATGAGGAGATTGAATTGTCTGAGTTTGTTGATGCTGTAATCGTCGCGGTAACATGAATGTTTACGTCCCCACCTGACTTTGTTTCATTTTCTTGTTTTATATGAGATCGTTTTAATTCCCCGTAAACCAGACTACTTAAAGAAGGACTATCCGACCTATCTCTAGGGGGTGGTGTACTGTCATCTAGAAAACGGTCCATATAATCTCTGGAAAAAAAAAAAAAAAATTAAACCGAATTAGAGAATATAATTCATCAAGCTACTTAAGCTTTGATTATTACAATTTCTGTACCTGGAACAGTAAACTGGACATTTGTGACACGATTTCAAGAATCGTTGTTGACACGATCAGACTAACTCCACCAATTTTTTCAGAATAGGGTTTTTTCATTATTAATTTTCCGACAGATTTCTTTCTCCAAGTAATAAATTAACAATTTGAAATGAAATGAAATGAAATGGAGTTTAACGTCCTACTGTTCTGCTCCTAACCTGGGCTAATGAAGACAGGCATACGCCATACAGTGTGCTATGAGGGAAATTTTGCCCGGACAGCGGCACTACGGCCTACTCTTATATCGAATTCCAACTGCCAAGGGATCTTTTACGTGCACGCCAATGTGTACACGGGACCTCGGTTTTTCGTCCCATCCGAACGACTAGACAGCTTTCCTTGTCAGCCCCTCCGTCCTGCATCACTGACACCTGTACAAATTGTAAATTACAATAGAAATAAAGTGAATAATATGTAAACTGTACTTACGTTACACCAGGATGTAATGCATATTTTCTTTTTTCTAATCGGGTTTTATTAGCGAAGGCGTCATGTCTTTCTGTTTTCTTCCACAAATAATAAAACTGAACTAATTCACCTACCGACCTCGTTCTCACCTAAAATATATACCAGTATAATACAAACAATTTCTAGAATTATTAATTAAATCACGATCATCGAGTCCAATGTATATGTTATTCTATAAAGAATAAATTATGGATTTCATTAATCTTAAATTTTGAACTCAACTCACCTTGTTTTGTTGAATAAGATAAAAGTTTTTTCCGTAAGTTCTGATGCCATTTTCAAAATTTCTACATTCTTCCTCTGACCATAAGCTCATTGGATCGGATGTTGCTACGGCTGACATTTTTCTCCGTCGTAAAGCTTCATCCATGTTATGACCGCATTGTAATAATAAATATAAAGCCTGTAATATAAAACAAACAAATCTATCTTAAACAAGTCTACAAATAAAGTACATGCTGTCATAGACAATGTCAGTCATTCAGCCATGACAGAGAGAGTTAGATGGGGCTTAACGCCCACTCAACACAAACTAGGTCATTTTGGGACTAACAGATGGTTAATTTTATTGTCATTGGGATCGGACAAAAACTGAGGTCTTGTGTACACATTGGCATGCACATACAAGAAAGAGAGAGAGAGAAATGGGGTTTAACGTCCACTCGACACAAACTAGGTCATTTCAGGACTAACATATGGTTTAATTTTATTTCAATAATTCGCTTGCGCGTAGGGGTCTTTAGCAGTGGGAGGAAACCGGAGGACCCGGAGAAAACCCACGAGGTTGGACAGGCGACCCTACTCCTTGTCACGTACAACTAGGGATTCGAAACACCGCCAGTTGACTCAATGACAGGCCTTATGATACAGTGCGCACATGCTAACCATTCGGCCATCCAACCCCCCCTCTTGATAATAATAACACAGGATAAAACTGAATGAACTTATAAAATTAGAAAGCAGAATAATTACCTGTTCATCATCTTTAATATGTACACCTGTTGGTATAGAATTAACACCAGTTGCTGTGGCTAAATTCTCCTTTTGCACTTCTTTTAAATATGTTTCAACTGAAATATAATTACATAAATTCCAGTAAGTTAATCCTCAACATTTTTAAATCACTACAAAAACTTCATTCATGTAGCATCTAACTTAAAGATAGATTACGGGAGATTAGATAAAGGGCGGACAGTTCTCACTATAATAGTTAGATAACAGATAATGTAACTGGAATATGCTGAAAATTTCAGTCAAATTACTTCACTCTAAGCCGAGAAATACTCATTATAACATTGTAGCCTTGATTATCATTGTTACCACTGTAACAATAATAATAATAAAAATCTTGATTTTCCATTTTTGGTTTAGCCATCAATGCTGTTGAACAGCAAATAGGATTCAAATGTAATGAAAATCGGAAGCATCAGATGGCATCAGGAATTGATTATGGTCTTGTCATGCTAATAAATGTCTAATTAATAATTTATAGAACATTTCAGGCCCAAAGAAAGACCTGCAATAGGCCGATTTACATCTTTTCTGCCCTGACTGGGCTAACCGTTCAATATATATTGCAAAACTCCAGAAGTCAGTACATAATTTCTTATCGACATTAATATCTTCTTCAATAATACGTCAAACTTACTTATATTATCTTTATCACCGTCAAGTTTACTAGGATCCCATAATAATCTATCTTCATTTTCATAGGCTGTCATATAAAATAAAACTGATTGGTGAAGTGGTGAAATGAAATGTTATACAGGGCCCTTATTCACGAAAACTTAAACTAAGATACAATCGAAATTTTAAGAAATACTGCAATTCGATTGGCTGACCAGTAAAATCAATTTGCATATATCCAATGAAGTTGAAGTATTTCTTAAAATTTCGGTTGTAAATTAGTTTAAGTTTTCGTGAATAAGGGCCCAGATTTAAATGGACAAAATGAAATGAAATGAAATGGAGTTTAATGTCCTACTGTTCTGCTCCTAACCTGGGCTAATGAAGACAGGCATACGCCATACAGTGTGCTATGAGGGAAATTTTGCCCGGACAGCGGCACTACGGCCTACTCTTATATCGAATTCCAACTGCCAAGGGATCTTTTACGTGCACGCCAATGTGTACACGGGACCTCGGTTTTTCGTCCCATCCGAACGACTAGGCAGCTTTCCTTGTCAGCCCCTCCGTCCTGCATCACTGACAAGGGAGAACCACGCCGGAAAATCTGGATGAACTTTCTCGACCAATGCAGGGATCGAACACCCGACCTCCAGGCTAGCGAGCTAGCGTCTTACCCACTTAGCCACGTGATCCCCTTTAAATGGACAAAATGAGAATAAAATACAATATATTAATGTTGTATAAATGCTATTAAACTTATTTACATTCAATTATTTATATTAATTTCTAATCAGTTATGTTCGGCGAAGTATTTGAGCAATCTGAATTGAATGGCAAGTCGTTTGCGTCTGGTTAGTTCGGACTGAATCGGGAGTATGGTTTGACATTTCACTTTTGCCCCATAGTTTTTCCACTCTCATCAAAGCATATCATTTCAAATGACGCTCAACGCCTAAAGAAAATGATGTCGCATTAATTTCAAAATGTTCACTGTGTCTTTAAGTAATGGATATTAGGATCCCATATTTTCACGGTTAGATATCAATATTGAATGAAATGGGGAGAGAGAGAGAGAAATGGGGTTTAACGTCCACTCGACACAAACTAGGTCATTTCAGGACTAACATATGGTTTTTAATTTTATTTCAATAATTCGCTTGCGCGTAGGGGTCTTTAGCAGTGGGAGGAAACCGGAGGACTCGGAGAAAACCCACGAGGTTGGACAGGCGACCCTACTCCTTGTCACGTACAACCGGGGATTCGAAACCACGCTAGTTGACTCAATGACAGGTCGTATGATACAGCACGCACGTGCTAACCATTCGGCCATCCACCCCCCTCCCCCTTTGAAATGGACCAATATTAAAGTCTAATTCGTGTTTTTAATATCATAGATTACGGATAATCCTGCATGATAAATAAAACATTGTATAATAACATACCTGGTGCATCTCCATATTTACATAAACCTTCTGGTACTTTAACCTGATAATCTCCACCAACTTGTATAGTCTATAAATAGTGTTATATAAATACTGAATAAAAGTTGAATAGTCTGTAATAAAACTTGTATTAGTCTGTAATAGACATTATAATAATAATGAATAAAACTTGTACTAGTCTGAAATACTGAAAACAAAGCTTGTATTAGTCTGAAATACTGAAAACAAAACTTGTATTATTAGTCTTTAAAGGGACCATCCCGATTTTAACACAGTCTCAGAAATAAAAGTCTGTGTCCGTGTACTTTGTCTCAAAATTTCAGCTTAAAATATTGAGTCACTTGGACGCGAACGTCAAAACCACTTATCCTGACACGTAACCCTTTTAAGATTTCGGATCAATTTTTTCGTTGGGTGACCCGATAATTTATTGCCATTCCTTTTGGGGTCTATATACAGTGCATGACCCTCGAAACGTTCTGTATTTGATAACGAAAGGTAAATTTCACCTACACGTTATTTTTATCAAATGAAAGTCTGGTTTTTATAATACAGCTTGGGAGACTGGTCTCCATTTCCAGATGAAGACTGACGGGTTTAAGTTGTTTGAAAATGTATCAAATATATTGAGTTAGTTGCTCGGCCCTAAGGTAGAGGATTTAAGAGCTTTAACACAAAATTAAGGCAGGACACTACCTTATAAAACACTCTGTATAGATTGATCTGTCAAATTTTGATATCAGCTAAAATTGCCCAAAATAGTTAAAATTTGTTGATTTTTCAAGTCGTGTCCAGCCTTTATATTATAAAGTGTTAAATATTTAGTCATTTGTATAGGTAAATCAAATTTTTAACTTTTAACTTGCTTTTTTCCGTACTCAATTTTTCACCCATATCAGGTCTTAGAAAACCAAATTCTCAAAATCTATGAGAGATAATGGTCTCATCTTTGGAATACGATTAGTGCTATAGCTACTGTTTGCAATAAGGTGATTTTCAAAGTGTTTGTTATACATTTGCACATTTTATTGTACAAAATCCTTTTAGTGGTGTATTCGGCCACACCCACTTGTTTTATGTGGGATGCATAATGTTCTTTATTAACATTCAAATAGTAAAATTTATGCCTTATTGCACTCTTTAATGCCTATATATGTTATTCCAAATCACAAATAGTTTGTTTCAATAAAATTGTTGAAGATTTTGATTTCCTAACCATAGCCACCGTGAATATATAAAAAATCCAATATGGCCACCATTTCCATGACAACAAATAAACATTTTGCGCTCAAATTATCAAATCTGATTTGGGACATCATATACTAATATTACACTAAATGGCAAGTTTCTGTTATCAATGTAAAATTCTTAGGTAGTGTCCTGCCTTAAGTAGTTGTATTCTCCAAAATATAACCAAGATTGGCCCCTCAATAAAAGTTATAATACGATTTATACCGAATGAGGGATTTGTGATTGGCTATCAGACTATACCTATAATAGGTCTATTTAAATTCAGTCTAAAATGTCTTTGAAGAAAAATTGTATTCTTGCTCACCTTTTTCCAATCTTCTTCAGCTATTGGATGATAATCAACGTCATCTTCGGAATCTGTGACATCATCATCATCATGTACACTACTGCGATGAGGAACTTTAGCTGAAAATACAGGTTACATTTATTAGAGAGACAGAATTATCGTCTCAAATTCAATTTGCTTATCTCTGCTGAACCCACATCAAACACAGTCAAGGCATTCATCTAATGAACATCTACACCAAGTTCGAACACTCTACCTTCATTAAAAGTTCTAAGAGTTCTTGTGTTCCAAAAGATGGGACCACCAGACAAGGGATAGACACAAATGGGGTTTAACTTCCACTCGACACAAAGTAGGTCATTTCGGGACTAATACGTGGTTCAATTTTATTTTAAAAATACGCTAGTGCATAGATATCTTTAGGAGAAAATCCATGAGGTTGGACAGGCAGCCATACTCATTGTCACATACAAGCTAGGAATCGAAACCATGCCACTTGACTCAATAACAGACTTTATAATCTAGAGAGCACACCTTAGATCATTCGGTGACCCAATGTACCAAGAAAATATCTTTTCCAAAATGGACACTGAATAGAAATGTATACTTACATCTAAGAAGACGCGGAGTGTGGGAGGACGTCACGCTTTCTAATAAATCAGTAACAGTCGTCTCTTTGTCATCGTCATCACTATTGTTTTTTAACACATCTCGAGCGATTTCATCTTTATCTAAAGTTAAATCATGATTACTGAGAATCTCCTCTTCACTACTAGAACGTGTATTATCCTGATTGTCTTGGTTTTCACTGTAACCATAAATAGCCAATAAATCTTCTATTGGCATCTCCCCCTCCTGCAACAAAAAATTAAAAACATCAAAATTGTCCACCGGTTAAGAGTAGTTCCCCCCTCCCCTACATGTACATGTACATTGACGATTTTAACCAGGACCAAAGGTCTTGATTGCCCACTGTTAAAGAGCAGCCTACTTCTTGCCACGTACAACCGGGGAATCGAAACCACGCCAGTTGACTCAATGACAGACCTTATGATACAGTGCACACGTGCTAACCATTTGGCCACCCCCACATGTCTGTCCCTTTGAGGTCAAGTAACTTTATTTTAAAAAATCGGACAAGCATCCAATTCAACATACCGGTATCTACGAAATTTGATGGGAGAAGAGGTTGAAAATGCACAAATCTGAGAGATCAAGGAGCTTATCCGGAAATGTAACCCCTTTTAGATTCCGGGTCAATTTTTTCGTTGGGTGACCTGATAGCATATTGCTGTCCCTTTAGATGTTTATACAGTGCTTTACCCACGTCTTGAACTTGATAACGAAAGGCAAAATTCACCTACATGTTATTTTTATAAAATAAAATTTTGGTTTTTATCCAGACACCGTATAATACAGCTTGGGATATTTCCAAATTTCCACTTGAAAACAAATCATGTATATTGAATTAGTTGCTAGGCCCTAACGTAGGGGATTTCAAGGGCTTTTCACACAAAAATAAGCAGTTTTATTCTCCAAAATATAATACAGATTGGCCCTTTAACTATATTTAGTGATAGTTTTATAAGCTTAAACATACATTATGCAAGAGCTAAATCTGTCTATTGCAGGTCTTTCTTTAGGCCTGAAATATTATCTAAATTATTAATTAGACATTAATTAACCTATCCAGATCATAATCAACTCTAGATGGCATCGCTAGCCTGCGATCTTTAGAGGATTATGAGTCGATTTACTGCATGACTTTCCTTCACGATTTAACGATTAAATGGATAATCGAGACTATGCTGTTTATCGTACTGACTTTAGTAATGATGATCGAGGCTAGGCGGAAATTTCAATCGCTTAGTTCTCCGTTCATAGTGGATCAATTTGAATGAAATTTTCAGCAAATTGCCTTTACATTATCTAGTTTTCAACTATTATAGTGAGAACTGCCAACTCGTTATCGAATCTCCCATAATGTATCTTTAAGTATCAGATATCGGTTTTACTGATACAGTTAGCGGCTCCTACATAACAATAACATGTCACAACATCCCAAAAGTTCACCTCAAAAATCTCAAGACAGTGACTACAAGATTTGGATGACAAGCTTAAATCAGTAGGGTTCGATAAAATTAGGAAGTTAATAAATTCTCATTTAAAAATTACTATGTGGACTATTTTGTTAATCTCAGAGAAAATAATCGACAATGGTACAGTTCATTTCAAATTACTAACAGAAAAGATTGATTCCAAGTGATTATTTATGGAGCCAGTCATCTAATTCTGGGTCAATTTTTTCGTTGGGTATTGCCGTCCCTTTAGATGTTTATCAGACACAAATTTATAATAATATTTATAATCATATTTTGTGTGTGTTTTTAATGCAAAATTTTACTTGAAAATAGTATTGAATTATTATAAATTGTGTCAGCTGTGGCAAGATGTGATTCCTTTGGCAAACAAAGAAGAATCACGGTGAAAAATACATGTAGAAGATAAGGATTCCAAAACAGCTTTAGAACATAGGTGGAGAAGAGAGGTATTTCAATATTGCAGCTATATAGGGACGGATCGGAACTGTCAGCGGACATCGTCCGATCAGAGACAGTTCCTAAAGGAACAAGTGATACCCACGACTGTACATTACGTCATAACGTGCGAAATTTATTATGCTTAATAAACCATTCCATAGCAGAATATTGCAGAAAAACTTATTTAGTGACAAATTTAGGCCATCTGAAATGGATACAAATGTAAACATTCAGTAATCACCACATTTTATTGTTTGTAAAAATTGATTCTAATTAATCAGGTATGGTACTTCACCTTTTCCAAATCATTGAGCTCGTTTGAACAACTGTCACCACTCATATTTTCTTCTTCTTCAAGAGTTTGTTCGTCATCAAAGTCATGAACTAACATATCAGCCGACGGATCAAAGTCACGATCTGTATCTAAAATAAACACAGAGATCAACTTAAACATGGTTTATATTGTATTATGACAAAGCCATGGTAGCTTGTCGATGTTGAAACAATCAAATGACCCCTTTGGACAAGTCATATCATACGTAAGTCATAACATTTATCAATTTACTACAGAGAAAAGTCATAGCACAAGTTATGGCATTTATCAATACTACTTACATGTGCAGTGACAAGAGTCTGTGGATAAACCAAGGAAAGTAACATTAAATTTTGTAAAGATTTAACTAACCATTTAAAACTTTTTCTTAAATTGTTACAAAACCATTTTTCTGACACGCACATAGCCTACAAAACACTATAATAATTGATTGAAATAGACTAATACTTGATAGGCTACATGGGCCAATAGTTACCGGTCTTCTTGTATAAGTTTCTAAATAGAGAGAGAAATGGGGTTTAATGTCCACTCGACACAAACTAGGTCATTTGGGGACTAAAATTATGTTCTATTTTATTTCAATAATTCGCCTGCGCGTAGGGGTCTTTAGCAGTGGGAGGAATCTGGAGGTCCCAGAAAAAACCCACGAGGTTGGTTAGGAGACCCTACTCCTTGCCACGTTCAACCATGGATTCGAATGTCAGGCCTTATGATACAGCGCACACACGCCATCCAACCCTGTTTCTAAATAAAATAAAATGCATCTAAGACAAATAATACATGTCATAGTCACTCATAGTATTGGGACCTTTCATTTATAACCCTAGGCATATTGTACGATATAAAAAAAAAAAAAATAATTAAAACTGCTAAAAATCAAATTGAACTAAAGATAAAATGAAAGTTTAAAGTAAAAACACAGGAAAAAAATACAAAAGCAGAGTTTTATCTAATAAGCTTAAATATATATACAGTACTAAACTTAAAATTTATTAAATACCAGTAACCTATTCTAAGTTTTGGGATCTTGGTCAAATGGTCAAAGTTTAAATTACTTGAACATTGTAAACTTAAATTTATTAAATAGCCTATTCTAAACTTTTAGATCTTTGTCCAAAGTCTAATTTACTTATGTTTATTCTTTTTAAATTTCTTTGAAGCTTATTCAAATGCACTTTAACTAATGTTCTGTAAACTTATTTATAAAACACATGATTTAAAATATAGGAAATAAATAATTCTAAAGTCCAAAAATGCCTCCTCTCTGTCAGAATAATTGAAAAACGCGAACAAGTAAATTGTCTAATTTCAATTTTGTTCAAATCATCTGTCAAAATAAATAACAAGTTGAAGTTGATATAAAGATTAGATCAAAATCCTTAACATGTAAAGTAGTAATGAAAACGGGATGGAAAATGTTTTTCCTAATACAAATTTTTGAAGCTTCAAAAATGACAGAAAAACGTGAATTTTTGGAGTTTCCCCAACCTCCAATCATAAGCTTCACATTGGGCTATCCCAGCTAGGTTGACCTAATTTGCATAAGCTAGGGCGCGCGGAAGTTTCTTCATTAGTATGTAAAATGCGCTCACCAGGGCTACTTGATCCGCTTCCAGCACCCTGTAATAGAAATTTTGAATTATAAATATTTATAATATTTCGCTAAAATGTCCCATCTAACCGTATTTATGTTGTTTCGCGGTAAAACAACCCTTGGACCATTTTTCCTCGAGCCGTCAGTCATGTCAAATTTCCCGTCTAAAAATCTTCGAAATAAAAAGCGACTTAACTTAGTCCAATTGGCATGCAACAAAACAAAATTCACAATAAATATGTACGGGGTAACTATACACATAAATCTATCACCTATTTTAAAATAATCAAGTTGTACAATAGCCTATTCAAGAAATTCCATCAAATGATCTGAAAGGGATAACACAAACCTCCATTTTTCATGAAATTATGGGATACGTAAACGATAACCAAAACGAGGCTGGGGTCGAAAAAGAGGGGAAATACCTCTCAAAAACAGCCATTTTGATTGGCTGTGACAAAATTAGATAAATATTTACAAATTGGTTTAATATATTTTTTAAACAATATAAATGTTAGTTATTTGTGTAAGTTCAATCACCAGTGATTGTTCGTTCGCACTGATATGCTCTACTTGCGCTGTGAAGCAGGAACAAATTCGAACTGAGCAAAAAGGGATTTTAAGCCCATATTATGTCCGCCAATCATGTGACAGGTAACAACCAGTGCTCGTTGCCCCAAGTAACCATTTAGATTACTAATGGACGATAACTCTTGGTGAAAGGTCCAGGGAAGATTTCTTGAGCGATAAGTTTGATGAATTTCATTAATTTTGCTGAACAACATACACAGAAAAGACAGTAAACCATACACGATGTCAACAAGTAAAAACAAGAAGCATTTAAATGCTCCGTAAGTTATTGACAAAAGTTCTTCAGCTGGACCAGTGGTAATAATATTATTGACAATTGACATTGGTCATCAATCATATTCTGACAGTCATTTGTGTTCTCCGTTCTCTATCCAGTCTCAAATTTATAAAAATTGGCTATTTCAATTTCCTCTAAATCTGAGCAATAAACTGTTATAAAACTCACACAACTACTAATCTTGTTGTCATCTCCAGTTTTTTGGGTTTTTTTTAATAAAATCTAATCTATTAAAGTAGCTAAGTCTCTAGATCTAACTCAATATCATCAAAGATTTTCGACATTGAAAACACAAATTATTTGTCAATTCAAATCAACATTGATCTTGTGATCTTACAGGGAAAACTCAAAAGGTGGGCTTCTGATATCCAATATTCAAGACAAAATAAACATTTTACCATTGGTACACGAATCGTGTACCATAAAATCGGCATAATGCGTTTCAGCGCCATTTGGAACAGGGGACTCAAAGAACAGGGCTAGACATATTCCACAAGTCATGTCAAATGGTGACGCTATATTCTTATCTGGAGAGCATGCGCAATAAATACCATCGGTGTAGACTGGAAAAAACTGACGCTAAAGATTGCCATTCACATGAGACTTCTGGCGTATTTCGCCGAACATAACTGATTAGAAATTACAGTAAAAACAGTAACAATTGAATGTAAATCAGTTTATATACATTCATATTACATGATTATATGCGTTGCGACCCATTTTTGTCAATTTCTAGGTCCCAAATATTAGCGATTTAGCTCCTTTAAGTTGCAATGTCAAATAATTCCCATCATAAACAAATAAAAAAATCTCTGAACCATCCATAATTTTAAACAGATTTCTTCGATTATGAACAAACTACTTAACTTTGGTTATTTTAAACTTACTTACTTGTATGTTTGAAATCACCTCCCGTTGAATAAAATCTGTTGTAAAATTGGTTATTTTAAACTTACTTACTTGTATGTTTGAAATCACCTCTCGTTGAATAAAATCTGTTGTAAAATTAAAGATTCCAACGAAAAAAAAAGTTCTCTCTTGAAAAATTTGATGTATTTTCGATTGAGTACAAGACAACATGGATTTCGTCACGTGTTGAATGAAACCAGTGAAACTGTTGCTGGGGTGCACATGGTTTAACTTTGACAGAGATTTTGATAACCAAGTGTTGCAATCAAAACAAAGCGTGATCAGTTTGAGTTTGGGCAATGAAAAATATCAATTAAACTTTAAGACAAATACAAGTTTCTGAGTGTACCGGTATTGTCAATTTGATATCATTCTTTCAATCCAATAATAACCATTTTAATAACATCTATAAGCATGATGCAGTAGCCCTGAAAGTGCCTATTGAGCATATAAAATGTACAAGCATGTCTAATTGGATATTATTGTTTCAAAGTTTATTATCAAGGTTCGGAAACATTCGAACAAAGAAAAGTCGAAATGCTACGAATCTTGAGTGAGAAAATTCTCCGCCGTTTGTTTCACTATACCAAAAGGCCCTAAAGTGAACGTAAGCATCTCTTACAAATGAAATTGATATTTCTATCATTCTTCAGTGATTCACATTCTGATACCCTTTACGGTACCTGAAAATAACATGTAGACGCAAAACCTTAGTTTTTTAGTTCAGTCGTGTGACGAAGATAACAGAACGCACATAGCTGTGACGTTTTCTTTGATAGTTAAAGAAATTTAACTTGATTACCCAATAAACAATTTTAATCTCTTGACCACTAAAGGTGCTAATTAATTGATGATATTAATAGAAGTTATAATTCTCATAAAAGTTATGATATACAAAACATGGGTTACTAAAGTATGGATAGTATTCTCATTTGTTCTAAATTGTAACACTGTCATAGGAATTTTTTTTATTAAACCACTAAGTAAATAGCAAATAAATTGCCTGGTTGCTATGTGATTTTGTTTCGGAACATACCGTCATTTTTAACTTGCTTTTTCTCAAAACTTATTTTCCCGACTTGGGAAGTTTCAAACCGACACAGCTCAGTCAATTTTTACCCGAATCAAACCACATCATTTTCAAGGTATTGGATTGGAGAATGTTAAAACATCAAAAACTCAATTTTCAAAATTTCCTCATTGCGACTCATAATCCCAGCACGGGTCACATATGATACATTTTTCAATTCAGATGCTACGATATGATTTGTATTGCGATTCATAACCAGGTCATTATTTACGCAGAAAACAACAGAATAATGAGTAATTGAATAATTAATATTTTTATTAGTAATAATAGTAGCGTCATTAAAACCTGGAAAGAAAATTACAAACACTGTGTAGGATTTGAAATGTTCGAGTATCTACTTGTGGCTAACAGACAATTTTTATGTGTGAAGGGGTGTAAGTAAAGGTGTACTGGATTTTATATATAATATCAAGTAACCTGACTCAAGACCACATTATTCACATATCAGTGTATCACATCAGATATATTTAATTATTCCTTTCCATATAAGAATTAACTACCAGTACAAATACTTCGCCGAATGGTTAACATGTGCATGCTGTATCATAAGGTCTGTCATTGAGTCAAGTGGTACGTGACAAGGAGTAGGGTCGCCTGTCTAGCCTCGTGGGTTTTCCCCGGGTCCTCTGGTTTCCATCCACGAGGAAGCGAATAATTGAAATAAAATTGCACCATATGATAGTCCCGAAATGACCTGGTTTGTGTCGATTGGACGTTAAACACTCTCTCTTCGGTTTTATTTATGTGTAGTGTGCTTACGTTGTTTTGAAAAATTGTTGACCAAGTACCATATTTACATATTGATATTGCAGAACACCAAATCCCAATGCTAGTATGAAAAAAGGGACACTGACACATTCAGTTACTCGCAGTAAATATGGTGGTGGAGGTGTAAGGAATACAACGTTTGCTAGTTCCCGATCCAATATTGTATCATCAGCCAGTAGAAAGAGCATGGGAGCACAAACCGGAGACAAATCTAGTCATATCAGACCTCCAGTACAGGTAAATTAATGTTGAGAATATTTATAAAAAATAATTACGTTCAGTGCACGGCAAAAAAGTTGGTCGTATACGCATGCAGATGTACATGTAATGGGATTGTTTCCATGTTACCGACGAAACCTAGCGCAGAAACACTGCGTAAACACATAAATGTAAATATTGTATGACAGAGGATGGTTGGGTAGCTGAATGGTTTAACATGTTACCAATCGGGTCTTGTCATTGAAGCAAATGGCGTGGTTTTGATTCCCCTCTCATACATGACAAGAGTTCGGTCATATACAATTTTGAGTAAATTCTTGACTTAGGTCTAAGAATACTTTGTGAACTTGGAGCCAGGTTGGTCAAGTTTCTAGGCAAATTTAATATACATTTGATGTCAGAAGAAAGACAGAAGCATAGGCCTGACTTCCACTCATCAATGTGATTTTGATGGAAGGTAAACTAATATAATACCATTTTTTATTTCATATCATTGTCAATATCTGTCATCATTAGCCCAGTCAGTGGAGAAAAGTTTCATTTTATTTCCATTAAAAAAAAAGGAATTAGTTTAATATTTTATCTGTTTTAGGTTTTTGATGAAACTGGAATTGATGTCACCCCAATACCTTTACAACAAACAGATCCAAATGTAATGAAGAAAAATCAGAGTAATATACTAGGAGACAGTACTGCTGGCACTGTATGTTTATAATACATGATATTCTCATATTCATAAGTGTTGTAACAGTGGGGCAGGAAACTATGTGTCCATTTTATTCGGGTCGGCGGAAGACTGGGGGGGGGGGGTATATATATATATATTTGCCACACAAAAGATAAACTTTACAAGGATCATGTAGTGAATTTTTTTCTGTTGTCAATAATCGACACACGTCCATGCTTTTCGAGCAAAATGCAACTCATAGTGCACTGGATGGTGTATGCCCATCTTCATTAGTCCATTTGATGGGTGCAGAAAAATAGAAACTTAAACCCTATTTTATTTCATTTAAGAAACTTTTGTTGCCATTTTTAAGATTAAAATTCACACCTGACAATTAAAATGTTTTGAGTTAGTTTGAATATGTTTTTAGTTCAAATATATCATCAAATCATCCAGTTTGTACGTGGGAATGTATCTTTAAGAAACTTCTGTTGTCATTTTTAAGATTAAAATCCACACCTTTCTTTTTCAGCCATCTGATTTACTATCACAGAATTCCTTCATGTATACAACCGGTACAGCCAGTATTTATGGAGGATTTTCAAGGTAATGTACAGGAGCTTATTTAAACATACATTATGGAAGAGCTAAATCTGTCTATTGCAGGTCTTCCTTTAGGCCTGAAATGTTATCTAAATTATTAATTAGACATTAATTAACTTACCCCCAGACCATAATCAACTTTCGATGTCATCGCTAGCCTGGGATATTTACTGGATTAGAATCCGATCTGCTGCTCAACGCTCATTGATGATTAAATCAAAAAATGGATAATCAAGACAATGTTTTTTTATCATACCGACTTTAATAATGATAATCAAGCCTTAAATTTAATTGCTAAATTCTGGTTCAGAGTGGATCAAATTGACTGAAATTTTTAGCAAATTTCCTTTACATTATCTAGTTTTTAACTATTATAGTGAGAACTGCCAGCTCTTTATCTAATCTCCCATAATGTATCTTTAAACTCTTGATGCATCATTTCACGGGTCATACTGGCGACTTTTGACCCTATGACATCACGCATTTGATTAACAAATCAGCATTGATGTTTCTAGTGGGATACCCACAGTTCCGTGCACCGGCGCCGCACACCAAGAATTCGCCGCACCAATCGACAAAGTAAAAAATTCCAATATAACTATAAGTAGTTGAATTAATGGGTTTATTAATATTTGTAAAAACTGTAACTAACCTGTGATTCTGTGATAAAAGGCATACACTCTTTCTCTTGAAGCACCAATCGACTCCGTAAAAACAAATTCCAAGTGTATGAATTATTATTATTACCTAACTTGTAATTCTGTGATAAAAAGAAACATTTAAGCCCACATACCTCTTTCTCTTGATGCACCACTCGACGAAGTAAAAAATTCCAATGAATGAATTAATATTTGTCAAAAGCATATACCTCTTTCTTTTGAAGGGGGTTGGATGGCGAATGGTATCATAAGGTCTGTCATTGAGTCAACTGGTGTGGTTTTAATTCCTGGTCTTTCGCGACAAGGAGTTGGGTCCCCTGTCCAACCTTGTGGGTTTTCTCTGGTTTCCTCCCACTGCTAAAGACCACTGCACACCAGTTGACTCAATGATAGACCTTATGACTGAGTCAACTGGTGTGGTTTTGATTCCTGCTAAAAAAAAAAAACCTACGCGCAAGCTAATTTTTGAAATAAAATTGAACCATATGTTAGTCCCAAAATAGCCTAGTTTGTGTAGAGTGCACATTAAACCCATCTCTCTCTCTCTCTCTCTCTCTCTCTCTCTTGATGCACGAATCCACAAGTAAAAAATGCCCATATAAGTGTATAGATTAATGTGTTTATTATTTTCAGATCTGTATTTAGTCAGTCATATGATACAGGATCTGGTATGGATGAAATAGCTGAACCATCACAAGAACATTCTTCATGGGCTGGTAATAAATATATACTTTAATAAATATAGATTTCATTCTACAGTCAAAAATCTAGGCCTGCTGTGGCCGACTTTCTGTTCACACATAATTTCGGAAGCAACGACTCCGTTGAAACATAATTGCTAGGATCTAACTGAGACCTCTACTGTGCTTCAGTCCCCAACAACTATATAAAGGGAACAACCCCACAATCTGATTTCGCGGTGGGCCCTATAGGACCCGGCTGACAGTCAAACCTAAATTTACCTACCAGTTACCACACCTAATATGGTAGCATTATGGAAAAGCGGGCCAGACTGCGCATGCTCGCCATTCTTTCTTTTCTTGAACCCATAGCCTCTCTTTTGGATGACATATACCTTCGGCGCTTTCCTGCAAAGACATTGTATCTTCTCCAAATAAGCTGGATCAATCCTTCTTTATGACTTCCTCTGGCAAGTTTCTTAAGAAACACTTGTCTACGATATCTCCAGGAACAAAAGAAGGAACAGTTTATTTCACAATCTGACTTAAGCTTGAAGAGTTCACATAAGAACGAAACTACTAGCATAGCTTCATGGGTGAAATCAGGAACGGCTACCCACCACTTTTAGATTTCCAATTCTACTATTTATGAATCATTTTTAAAAAATTCACTCTAGCTCTGCTTTTAAATAGATGTTGAGTCACATTTTTTTGCTTGATTCCTTTTTATTGTGTGTCTAGTTGTTCAGATGGTACAAAAAGCTGAGGTCCAGTGTACACGATGCCGTGCATGTAAAAGAACCTGTAAATCATTTAAAAAAAATTCACTCTAGCCCTGCTTTTAAATAGATGTTGAGTCACACTTTTGGCTTGAACTCCTTTTCATTGTGTGTCTAGTTGCTCAGATGGGACAAAAAGCTGAGGTTCCGTGTACACGATGCGAGGCATGTAACAGAACCCTTGGTAAGGTTAGCACATGCGCGCTGTGTCATAAGGTCCGTCATCGAGTCAACTGGCATGGTTTCGATTCCCCGGTTGTACGTGACAAGGAGTAGGATCACCTGTCCAACCTCATGGGTTTTCTCCAGGTCCTCCGGTTTCCTCTCACTGCTAACGACCCCCTACAAAATTGAACCATATTTTAGTCCCGAAATGACCTAGTTTGTGTCCAGCGGAAGTTAAACCCCATTTCTCTCTCTCTCTCTCTCTTTTTATTGGCCTAAACTTGAAGTCAGGAAACAGCCTTTTTTCCCTAGTAGTTGATAGTGCATGACATACTCCAAGTTCATGCAATAAACCCTGATGTTATCTACTTATAAATACCACCGAGTAGATTATGTGACATTTTACACGGTCACTATCCTTGATCAAAAACCATCACATCGTATAATATAATGATAAAAATGTCTAATTGTCAAAATTTGGAAACAGAAACCCTGCTTCAAATATAATTGTTTTATATAATTTGTCGGACAAAAATATCGTTTGTGTAAAAGATATAAATTTAATGAAATGCATCGATGTCCATTAGAAAGTTGACCAATAATCTTTAAACAACTAATATTTCAGATATACAGTTTAAAAGAGAAGAAACGAAAGAAATTGTAACGGACAGTGACCTGGAGAAAACAGTAGACCTTAATTTAAGTGAAACAGAGACAATATGGCTACTAGATATGCCAGATATTTGTGTTTTTACCGAATCAGAAGAAGCTCCATCAATTAGAACAAGAAATGAAAAATACTTAGAGGTAAATGTAATTGTAACATGGACGGGAAATCTTCTCCCTTGTTCTTTTCATTAAATAAGCAGATTGTTTTCCCTCAAGTAGATTGGGTGGAGCTTAACCGTGCAATAACTAGACATGTTCAATGTTATTGCACACTTTTGCTGGTTTACACTAGTTTTAGTAGAAATCATATAGAGAAGTGGGGTGGGTTTTCTGTACAATAACAACAAGCATGTTAAGCAGTTGTCAATGTTACAAGTCAATATAACTTATTAAATGTGGTATTGAAGATAGTGGGAATAGAAAATGTTGTTCTCGCTGAAGACCTCTTCATACTGGTCTTATTCATGATTATAAACCTATTACAGTAAATCTTTTTGATCTTTGGGGTATATTCTATGCCCGGAATAACTTGCGGTCTGAATATATAGAGAGAAATTTGGGTTTTTTCTTTAAACCCGTAACGGGTTATTCTTCCAGCGTAGGTTGTTTTTTTCCATAAAAAAACATGATATAAGGTTTTACTGACCGGAATTCTGGGATATTCTCATTTTACGTACATGTAAACTTAAACGGTTTATGAGCAAGATAAAATCCTTGACTTCGGTTATGCTGGGAAAAAAAGACTTCAGAAAAAAGCCTCAAAAGAAAAACATTGGTTTGCCGGCCTCAGTTTTTTTTCTTTTTCTCAGGCCCCAATTTCACAAAGCATTTTTAGACTTAAGTTAAGAATTGACTCAAAATTGTTTGCCCTACTTTAAGTAAAATATAGCCCTTTATAAAGCTTGTGTTGCTTTAATGCATCAAATACATTAATAAGGAACTATATGCAAAGTTTTGTGTTTCTGGATCAAAGATTTTTATCATAAACAGTGATTGAAAGTTGAGTAAATTCTTAACTTAAACATACATTATGCAAGAGCTAAATCTGTCTATTGCAGGTCTTTCTTTAGGCCTGAAATGTTATCTAAATTATTAATTAGACATTAATTAACCTATCCAGACCATAATCAACTCAAGATGGCATCGCTAGCCTGTGATCTTTAGTGGATTATGAGCCGATTTACTACCTAACTTTCCGTCACGATTTAATGATTAAGTGGATAATCGAGACAATGCTGTTTATCGTATTGACTTAAGTAATGATGAACGAGGCTAGGCGGACATTTAAATCGCTTAGTTCTCGGTTCATAGTGGATCAATTTGAATGAAATTTTCAGCAAATTGCCTTTACATTTACATTGGCGTGCACCTAAAAGATCCATTGGCATTTAGAATTAGATATAAAAGTAGACCTTAGTGTCACTTCCCAGGCAAAATTTCCCTCATAGCACACTGTATGACGTATGCCCGTCTTCATTAGCCCAGTTGGAGCAGAACAGTAGGATGTTAAACCCCATTTCATTTCATTTCGTTATAGTTTATTGCTCTATCCAGTTACAAAATTACTCTGAAGGATTATTTCAGTAATTTTTTTACTAAGGGTAGTTATCCCCCTTTAGTCTCCAAATTTCTTCCATATGACAGATGCTCGAATTGACAAAATTGCAATCGAATGATATGGAATTCAGTCCTGTCAAGGTTCTTCAGTCCCGACAACGGAAGTGGTATGAGTAGAATCGTGACGTAATAAAACTATAAAAAGTTGAATACATGAATATCTCTTAAAAACTGGTATGTAGGCCCAATTGCTATAACATAACTATTTTCTTTTTCCAATTTTTTTATGCATTGTCTTTTTTTTTATTTAAAGCTGACTAAAAGTCGAGCTGGTAATGACAGATATGCTGAAAGAGGAATGAACACATTTAACGAACCACCAAAATTGAAACAAATACAAACAACTAAAATACAGAGCAATGTAAGTATAGTTTATATTAGTGATAAATAGGGTTATATGGCCAGGTTAGTAATTCGGATGGGACGAAAAACCAGGTCCCGTTTACAAATTGGCATGCACGTAAAAGATCCCTTGGCAGTTGGATTTCGATATAAGAGTAAGCTGTAGCGCCGATGCCCGGGCAAAATTTCCCTCATAGCACACTGTATGGCGTATGCCCGTCTTCATTAGCCCAGTTTAGGACCAAAAAGTAGGACGTTAAACCCCATTTCATTTCCAGATTAGTAATTAATAGGGTTACTGTATATGGCTGGATAAAAACAAGGCTTTTAGTTATTCATTGAAGAGGAATTAGTTTGTCCCAAAAAGATCTAGCACCTATTGCATTCCCTGGTGGATTGAATAGTTTCGCGATACAAATATTATCATCATCATCATCATCTGTAAGTGTGATATTGACAGAATGGTAATTGACAATGATGTAAGGTTAAACTTGAAAAATTATCAAAGTGTAAAGTGGACAAAATGAGCTTTAAGGATATGTTCCTTCACCAAGGTTTATTAGGGAATCCCTAGACCACCTTTTTTGCATTTCTGTAATTTTGGGAAATTATAAATTAAAATTATGTTAAATATTCAACATAATATTGTATGTATAGATTCTTTGCTTATATTTTATACAGGATATTGGTATAATGGCAACAACATGGGATATGCATGATACATATGAAGCATTAGATAAAGAAAATAAAGGTATATATGTCTCTGGTTTAGAACAGGTTTATCAATATCAATTAAATTATAATTCTGATTCAAATTTTCTTCCCCAAAGGCTTTTTGTTCAGAGTGAAGCAATTTGGCTGAAATTTTCAGCATTTTCTGTTTACATTATCTAATTTTTGACTATTACAGCGAGAACGGCCAGCTCTTTATCTAATCTTACCTAGTGCCCCTTTATCTGTATTTAATGTGTTTTAAGTTTAAAATCTTTCAAATTCTAATTTTATGATTTGTAAATTGACTGACAGGAGAGGCAAGTTTTCTAGTAGGTGAATTTCACTGCCAGTCAATCAAGACTGGAAAATATGACTGAATGAGAATTGAAATGAAATGGTGTTTAACGTCCCACTGTTCTGCTCGGACAGGACTAATGAAGACACCATACAGTGTGCTATGAGGGAATTTTACCCAGACAGCGGTGCTATGGCCTACTCTTATTTCAAATTCTGTCAATGGTTCTTTTACCTGCATGCCAATGTCTACACGGAACCTCGTTTTTTTTTTTTGTCCAACCCGAACGACTATACGTTTCTCTAGCCAGACCCTCTGTCCTACACCACTGGCAAGGGGAAACCATGCCAGAAAATCCTGCTGAACTTTCGCAACCAACACAGGAATCGAACATGGGACCTCCAGGTTAGCGAGCCAACATCCTGCCCACTGATCCACCATGGCTCCCAAGCTGAATGAGACCTTGTGTTCAATTGCCATTGAGAAATTTTCCTTTTTCATTATTTGTGCTAAGACATTATTTTATTTATTTGATTAGTTGGAAATGAAGATGATGAAGAAGAAGGTACAATCAGTCGACCATCGACCCCTAAATCTGGCGAAGAGAAAACAGATGCTGAGAAAGAAACAGAAGGAACAACATCTCGTGGTAGCAGTGCTAGAATGGGTGAGCTTATTTTTAAGTTAATGAAGTCACTTAAAGCTGAACTCCGATCACAAAACTACAGAATTAAACATGCATTATGCAAGAGCTAAATCTGCCTATTGCAGGTCTTTCATTAGGCCTGAAATGTTATCTAAATTATCAATTAGACATTAAATAACTTATCCAGACCATAATCAACTCTTGATGGCATCGCTAGCCTGCGATGTTTATTGGATTACGTTCTGATTTGCTGTTCGACTTCCATTCATAATTTTAAAAAAATATGGATAATCGAGACTATGTATTTTATTATACCGACTTTAGTAATGATGATCAAGGCTAGCCCTAATATTCAATCGCTAAAATCTCATAGTGGATCAATTTGACTGAAATTTTCAGCAAATTGCCTTTACATTATCTAGTTTTCAACTGTTATAGTGAGAATTGTCTCCCATAATGTATCTTTAATTAAATAAATAAAAAAAAAAGTTATCGGCCTAAACAACTGCCATACTTTGTAGAACAAACATGGTGATCGCTTAGGGGGTAACAAAAACGCAGGCAGGCCACCCCCACATCCAGTATATGCCGTGTCAAGCGAACTGTCCACATCGGATTCTACAAATTGAAAACAAGTATGACAGTTGTTTAGGCCAATAACTTTGTTTATTTAATTATTTCTGTAGTTTTGTAATCAGAGTTTAGCTTTAAGTCAGATTGTTTGGAATATATTTGAGGCATTCTTTGTTCGTGAGATATTAGCAATAGGGCATAGTCTTTGTTTTCTGGAATATTTATTTAATGTTCTGTTTAAAATACATAACTGTCCTGTTTGCAGTGGACACTTACAGCTAGCCCACCAGATCCATTCACTTGTTTGAGGTGTCTGTGTATCTTCTGTCCTGTTGATCTGTAGGTTTGTCTTGTCTATTCGTTTATGTTTTGTGCGGTCCCACTGCCCTTACTATTACTGCTGAATGAAATATGTACTATCCGAACTGGATGTACAGGTCCATCTTCGACCATGCCATCGCCTTAAAATGAATGTTTTATTTGAAAATGTTAAAGGTTCCATGAAGAATAGTACAATGATGGGTAAGTAAATAAGTCGACACTGCCTAAAATAAATCTGTACAAATTCTACCTGTGTACTATATTATTCATCTTTTCACTGCATGAATAAATCAACCCAAACCTATATATAATCTTTAGATACTGTCTATCTGTATTCATCCTTTCACTGCATGAAATAAATCAACCCAAACTTACTTGGTAGTTACCATCTGAAATGAAATGAAATGGGGTTTAACATCCTACTGTTCTGCTCCGACTGGGCTAATGAAGACGCATTTACCATCTGAATTTAACCTTTTACTGATGTATTTATATAAGCTTACCTACCTGTATTCTACCTTACCTACCTGTATTACTATCTGTATTCAACCTTACCTACATGTACCTGTATTACTATCTGTATTCAATCTTTCACTGCATGAAACAATTCTGTACAACTCCTCTGGAAGTTACTATACTTATTCAACCTTTCACTGCATGAGGGGTTGGATGACCGAATGGTTAGTAGGGTCGCCTGTCCATCCCCGTGGGTTATCTCCGGGTCCTCTGATTTCCCCCCTCTGCTAAAGACCCCTACACTCAATCAAATTATTGAAATAAAATTAAACCATATGTAAGTCACAAAATGACCTAGTTTGTGTGTGTGTGTCTCTCTCTCTCTGGTAGTTACTATCCCTATTCAACCTTTTACTGCAGGAAAAAAATTAGTACAGCTCCTATATCACACTGATCCGCAGTGAATATTTGCTTGGCCGCGACAATCACTGATAAGGATGACATTGATGCGGCTTTTCCTGTGACAAATTAAATTCTAAAACATTTTTTGTATATATTGGAAAAATAAATAAAGGCGTTTGACGTATTTGTAGTTAAAAATTATTTCCGATTTAGTGTAAATGGGTATTAAAATGACTAAAATGCAGCATTCTCTCTGAAGCAGTTATGTCTTATGTAAACAATGCACGCGCCATTCAGCCAATGATTCACACCGCGTGCTGTTAAGGCAGTCATCTATGACAGAGATATTATACGAGACTCATAATTCTCTGTGAAACAGATTGCTCCTATATACCTGGTTATACTATCTGTATTCTACTTTTCAGTGCATGAGGGGGTTGGATGACCGAATAGTTAGCGCATGCACACTGTATCACAAGGTCTGTCATAGCGTCAACAGGCATGGTTTCAATTCCCCAATTGTTGGTGACAAGGAGTAGGGTCACCTGTCCAACCTTGTGGGTTTTCTCTGGGTCCTCCCATTCTCCCCCACTGCTAAAGACACCTATGCACAAGCAAATTATTGAAATAAGATTAAACCATATGTTTGTGACGAGCGGATGTTAAACCCCATTTCTGTCTCTCTATCTTTCTGTCTTAACCCTATCCTACAATTTTATTTGGCTGTGGTTACTGTACTTGAATAGTTCTCTCTTTTATCTATGTATTCATCAGTCTTCTGTTTCAAACTGAATGAATAATTCCACGCAGTTTTCATCATTTTTTCTTCCGGGGTAATGTTATATTTATTTAATGAATATTTTATTTAATTCCATGGCAACCAAAAATTGAAAATTGTTTTTAGAAATGGTTGTTTATGTGTGCGGTTTCACTGACATGAGATTCAAATTGTTTGCTTAAGTACCGGTACCATCAGAGTGATGTCACACACTCCAGTCTTTCTACATATCAATACACACAAGTCTGTTTGTTTCTTTAATTAAAGATATATTATGGGAGATCAGATAAACAGCTGGCAGTTCTCACTATAATAGTTAAAAACTAGACAATGTAAAGGGAATTTGCTGAAAATTTCAGTCAAATTCATCCATCCTGAACCGAGAATTTAGCAATTGAATTTTAGACCTAGCCTCGATCATCATTACTAAAGTCAGTATGATAAAAACATAGTCAAGATTATCCATTTTTTTGATTTAATCATCAATGAGCGTTGAGCATCAGATCGGAGTCTAATCCAGTAAATATCACAGGCTAGCGTTGACCTTGAGTGTTGATTATGGTCTGGATAAGTTAATTAGTGTCTAATTAATACTGTAGATAACCTTTCAGACCCATGAAAGACCTTGAAATTTAGATCTAGATGTTTAATTGGTGAATAATCTATAATTAAAACATAGATATGACGTCACCCTTTGTTTTTTTTTAACCAGTATATAGGAGAATGTTTGCTTTTCTTAAACAATCGTCTCTTATCTGAAAAATGAACATGTATTTTGGGATAATTTATTCTCTGAACTAATTAAATTACAGAACATGAAATTACTTTAAAACCTCATAGTTATCGAAATGTCACATGACCGAATGTTGATTTCACATGTTTGTCTACATCAAGAATTGCACTCAAATCCGTTGGTTATATGTCACTTGTCCGTTTAACAGTACGTTCGGCACTAGATCGATGACACGATTTTATACGCCCACATTTTCACACCTTTGTGGACACTCTACAGGTCATAACTTGAAATATAGGTATATATCCCAAAAATCTCGGTTCCTTTCGATATTGGCTTGTATGGGACCGTACCTTCATGGATTATGACTGTACACACTAGAGGTCATAATTATTAGCCCATTTTGATGAAAATGAACATGTTTGTTTATAACCCAAAGATCTCAATTCCTTGCGATTTTGGCGCATATTGGATCGTGCCTTCCTGGATTATGGCCCATGATTGAACAAACAAAAACGTGTTTTGAGCCTGTGGAACCTATACAGGTCACAATTTTTGTCCGATTTTAAAAAAAAGTTCAAATATATCACCGTTACACCATAATGACAGTTGAGTTTGAATATCGTGAATTGGTTTGTGCCTTTGATCCTGTGTCCTGTCACTTATAAATCAAAATCAAAATTTGGATGGCTAGTAAACCTCCATATTAACCACAGTACCAAGAATATTATCAATACCTAATTCATTCCCGTGAGCAGCCTTTCCATCACAACTTTGATGGCTATTATTCCCCCATATCAAGAACATCACAATTTTTACGGCTATTATCTTCCATAACGAGTACATTACCAATGTAATCAGTATCCAAATGCTTATCACATATATTCTCATTATTAATATTTTTTTTTTCGACTGTGTTGTAAACATGTCGTCTCCATGTAGAATATTTTTGACTGTCTGTGTGACTGGAGTGTTTTGTCACATGCATTCATGAGGATGTGTATGTTGTTTTAAGAATATATCTATTATTTTATGGCTTGTTGTTTAGAAAACTATCCATTATTTGTATCTCTGGTGCTATGTTTTAAGTTTGATAATAGCCTCAGACTGTCCATTGTGTAAATACAAAGAAAAACTTCGGGGCTAACACCCCTCAGTTGTTCTTTCTATTTACATAATGGACAGTCTTCGGCCATTATCCATCACTTAAAAGCCTCTGGTATTAAATCCGATTTATCAATAAAGTTATTATTATTTTCTGTATTTATGTCGCTAAATACCCTCCAAAATCGGATTGTTGTTTATCATACTTGAACTATTATATTTACAGACAGTAGAGCTACTATGGTATCTAGTACAGCAGGATCTGAAAGTGTTTTTGCAGGTGGAGATACCAGTTTATCAGCTACAATACAATCTGAACTACAAGCAATGGAAGAAGAAAAAATAATGAAGGTAAGACATGTTTTGGACACCATTTTCTAAATAATCTAGTAGGACTTTAAACTCCATTTCATTTCATTTCTAAATAATCTAGTATGATGTTAAACTCCATTTCATTTCATTTCTAAATAATCTAGTATGATGTTAAACTCCATTTCATTTCATTTCTAAATAATCGAGTACGACGTTAAACCCCATTTCATTTCATTTCTAAATAATTTAGTATGACGTTAAACCCCATTTCATTTCATTTCTAAATAATCTAGTAGGACTTTAAACCCCATTTCATTTTTAAATAATCTAGATGCACATTAAAACCCATTTCATTTCTAAATAATTTAATATGACGTTAAACCCCATTTCATTTCATTTCTAAATAATCTAGTAGGACTTTAAACCCCATTTCATTTCATTTCTAAATAATCGAGTACGACGTTAAACCCCATTTCATTTCTAAATAATCTAGATGCACGTTAAACCCCATTTCATTTCATTTCTAAATAATCTAGTAGGACTTTAAACCCCATTTCATTTCATTTCTAAATAATCTAGTAGGACGTTAAACCCCATTACATTTCTAGATAATCTCATAGGACGTTAAACCCCATTTCATTTCTAAAAATCTAGTAGGATGCTAAACCCCTTTAGTAAGGCTTATGATAATTATTTATTAATTAAATATTCATTTGTATTTAATCTATTGTAACTGTAAGGATCATATTCATATAATTGATCTTGATATTCCCCAAAATTTCTTCATTTTGCCTATCAATAATATTTTCTATACAACATCAATTATCTGTCAGTAATATTATCTCTCGATGACATCATTTATCTGTCTATGATATTCTTTCTGTGACATCATTTATCTGCCTATGATTTTCTATCTATGACATATTCTGTTTATAATATTCCATCTATGACATCATTTATCTGTCTATAATATTCTCTCTATTACATCATTTGTCTGTCTATAATATTCTATGACATCATTTATCTGTCGATAGTATTCTCTCCATGTCATCATTCAATTGTCTATAATATTTTCTCTATGACATAATATTTCTGTCTATAATATTCTCTCTATGACATCATTTATCTGTCTATAATATTCTCTCTATGACATCATTTATCTGTCTATAATAATCTCTCTATGACATCATTTATCTGTCTATAATATGCTCACCATGACATCATTTATCTGTCTAAAATATTCTCTCTATGACATCATTTATCTGTCTATAATATTCTCTCTATGACATCATTTATCTGTCTATCTATGACATCATTTATCTGTATGTAATATTCTGTTTTCAAAAGTTTATAATATGTGATATAATGAGATTAACTATTTAATTTCTTAGTTTCCATGAATTGTCTATATTATATTATGTGATTGTTGTTTTTGTCTTCTAGTCTGAGAATTTAAAGAGGGATTTGTTTAATATGGAACGAGTTATTAATTTAAATACATATCAACCTAAACAAGCACTATACAGAGGATTCAGTGTCATGACAGGTATAGTTTAAATATATTTAACATTCCTTTAGAACATGAATGGTGACAGGGGTGTTGATTTTACCCGTGCGCTGCAGATCATAAGGTCTGTCATTGAGTCAGGTGGCATGGTTTCGATTCCCTGAGTGTACATGGGAAGGAGTAGGGTCGCCTCTCCAAGATTGTGGAGTTTTCTCCGGGTCCTTTGGTTTCCTCCCACTTCTAAAGAGCCCTATGCGCAAGCGAATTAATGAAATAAAATTGAACCATATGTTAGTCGCAAAATGACCTAGTATGTGTCGAGTGGACAATAAATCCCATTTCTCTATCTCTCTCTCTTCACTTTTTAATACTTCAATTGACAATTTCAAGATGACAGAAATTATGTCATGGTTGGTTCCTGGATCGTATAGTATGGTCGTACTTGGTCAAGTCCATATTCAATTTTTTTATTTTTCAGATATAGATAAAGAAGTATCTAATGTTAGTACAATAACAGGATCGGATATGGGTCCGAATCTGGACAGATTATGGTCGTACACGTGTCCATTAACCAAAGGTAGAAACGTCAGCAGTATGTCGTGGAATAAAGTCAATCCTGTAAGTTTTCTAATTTATAAAAATTCAGTTGTACTTTAAATGATTTGCTATGTATAATTCTAAAAAAAAAGGAAATTTGTATAGATCCACATTTTATGTGGATGTATTGCGACCACACAATCTGTCAATCAGTGTTTGTCCACAGTTGTTGTAAACATTAATATCCTAAATTCCCAAAAGTAAAATTTTTAAAATTAAAAGGAGAGAGAAAGAAATTGGGTTTAACGCATGGGGGTCTTTAACAATGGGAGGAAACTGGAGGACCCGGAGAAAAAACATGGAGTTGGACAGGCGACCCTATTCCTTATCACGTACAGCCGGGGAATCGAAACCACGCCATTTGACTCAGTGACAGACTTTATGATACAGTGTGCATGTGCTAACCATTCGGTCATCCACCCCCACCCCATCCCAATATAAAGGAAATAGATAAATGCTACCCGCCTTACTTAAAAGGAAATGTATATATAGATTTGTTGGAATACGAATAAAAGAATTGAAATTGTTCTTATTGTGATTACTGGATTGACTGTTCTGGGGCCATGGTGGCTAAGTGGGTAAGACGCTGGCTCGCCAGCCGGGAGGTCAGCTGATCGATCCCTGAATTGGCAGGGAAATTTCCTCCAGATTTTCTGGCATGGTTCCCCCTTGTCAGTGATGCAGGACGGAGGGCCTGACAAGGACAGCTGTCTGCTAGTCGTTCGGATGGGATGAAAAATCGAGGTCCCGTGTACACATTGGCTTGCACATAAAAGATCCCTTGACAGTTGGAATTCGATATAAGAGTAGGCCATAGTGCCACTGAGCGGGCAAAATTTCCCTCATAGCACACTGTATGTAGTATGCCCTTCTTCATTACCCCAGTTGGAGCAGTTCAGTAGGATGTTAAAAAAAAAACCATTTCATTTCTTGTTTGGCTGTCATAAGGAGGAGATTTATAGTTCACTTTATTACTTACTTACAATTGCTCTGCCTCCCTTTAAAAAGCCACCATTGGTCGCATTTTGATTTTCTGGCAATACTGTGATCATGGTATGTTTTTAAAGGTTATCATCCTATATTATAAGTTCTTCTCTATTCTTTTTATAGGATCTAATTGCCATTGGTTATGGTCAGTTTGAATTCACCAATCAAAAAGCAGGTTATGTGTGTTGTTGGTCTTTAAAGAATCCAGAGGTATGTAATCACAATCTTTTAATGAAATTATTGATTTGAAATAAATACTACAATTTGTTTTTATTTGAATGTAGAAAATTCTTCTGATTCATCAGATAGTTATTATGGCATTTATATTCATTATTCCTGCAATCAGGACATTCAATGCATCCTTTAATTTTAACATTGAATGAAAGAATTCGACTTAATAACAAATGGGGAGCCACAGTGGCTAAGTGGGTAAGATGCTGGCTTGCTAGGCCGCATGTTCAATGCCTGCATTGGCTGAGAAAGTCCATCGGAATTTTCCGACGTGGTTTCCCCTTGTCAGTGGTGCTGGACGAAGGGCCTGACAAGGACAGCTGTCTAGTCATTCAGATGGTATGAAAAACCGAGGTCCCATGTATACATTGGCGTGCACGTAAAATATCCCTTGGTAGTTGGAATTCAATATAAGAGTAGGCCATGGTGCCGTTTCCCTGACAAAATTTCTCTCATAGCACACTGGTTGGTGTATCCCCGTTTTCATTAGCCCGGTCAGAGCAGAATAGTAGGACGTTAAAACCCATTTCATTTTATTTCGTTTTATAACAAATGTTTTGATAATATTTATATTTATAGTTTCCAGAGAGAGTGTTTACATGTAAAGAGGGTGTAACAGCAGTAGATTTCTCCACAGCAAATCCTAATTTGTTAGCAGTAAGATTTTTATTTCTTTTGACCATAAATTTGAATTGGTTTTGACATGAGTATTGTAGTTTTTAAAAATTTGACTTGTGTGAATTTAATATTAAACATTAAATCTGCCTATTGCAGGTCTTTCTTTAGGCCTGAAATGTTATCTAAATTATTAATTAGACATTAATTAATTTATCCAGACCATAGACAATTCTCGATGTCACCGCTAGCCTGCGATATTTACTGGATTACGATCAGATTTGCTGCTCAACTTTCATTCATGATTTAATCATGAAATGAATAATCGAGACTATGTTTTTTTATCGTACCGACTTTAGTAATGATGATCGAGACTAGGCCCAAAATTCAATTGCTAAAATCTTGGTTCAGAGTGGATCAATTTGACTGAAATTCTCAGCAAATTCCCTTTACATTATCTAGTTTTTAACTATTATAGCAAAAACTGCCAACTCCTTATCTATTCTCCCATAATGTATCTTTAATGTTTACAGTCTTGGAAATAAAGCACCCACCACAGCCATTGTCAGACACAAATTCAGGTTTTGTCAGGCATAATCCCACAGCTGCCTGTTATGTTCGGCACAGATTTGCTGTTTTAAATGTTTTTATTGATATGTTTAATAAATTTCTAGAACATCAAGTTAAAGATACATTATGTAAGATTTAGATAAAGAACTGGCATTTCTTGCTATAATAGTTCAAAAATAGATAATGCAAAATGAATATATTGAAAATTTCAATTAAATTACTTTATTCTAAGCCATGATATCACTGTTTGTAGTTTTGACAAGATGTGAGCATTGATTGTTTATTATCGTAACAACAGTACTGGTATATTTGAGTCTTAGCCCTGCTTCTCCATTTTTAAATTAAATCATTAAATGTATTTATATATCAATTCCTGTTTTATACATAAAAGAATTGATAATTTAGTGGAATGAAGTTTGAATGAACCAGTGATTATTTTATTATTGTAGGTAGGTTTTTATGATGGTAGTGTAGCTATATATAATGTTAAATCTAATCTAGATGAACCAATAGTTGAAAGTGTGTAAGTATTAATTCAATTATAATAAATATGCTCATCCAAAATTATCAAATTTTATGTGTTCCTTTTTAAACAAAAAGTAAATCTTAAAATCTGTTCTCCAAATTCATGATTAATCGCAAAATTCCAAATATCATGTTGGTATCCTGAGGGGGATATTTTATTTTACATTAACCCTTTCACTGTGTATACCCGGTAGTACCGGGTATTATAAAATGTCGGTAAAATGCACGTACCCGGTATTACCGTGTACTCAGTAAAGCCCTCGCTAAAATTAGTACCGTAACTGCAAGTGCCATCTATTGTATTTTCTATACACTAGAACATATTTCCATGTGTTTCAAAGCAGCAAACTGTAAAATGGCGGAGTGCATAGTGACAACGTAGACGATGCACTCTCGACGAAGTCGTGAATGACGTCTTGCTGACCAACACGTGGACAATTTCGAGGCGGGTGATACACATAATTCGTTTCCAGTTACTTGATAATGATAGTAGTCAGGACAGTGATTGGTATTATGAAGTGTGTGATTTGTTGCGCGACGTTCCGCCCATGGCTAGCTATGTCTCCCGTGCATGATGAACAATCCCAATGTGAACACGATAGCCCTGTGTCTGCAGTAGATTCTGACAATAATTCTGATGCTGATAATAATGCTGGCCTGCTGGATCGTAAAAGACGTAGGCAATTCCTGAGTCCCGAACGTGTAGATCTATTGACTGACTATATTGATAATGATATGGGACTTGGGGATGAAAGTGAAAGTAAAAACAAGGTATTGCAATCCGCACGTGGTCATGGCAGCGGGAGACGTGATGCGCGTGTTCGTGATGGCATTGCTCATGGCTGCTATTGATATTTTTGTTCATTTTATATATCTTTATCAAAATCCAGTGAAAAAAAACAATATCTTTTAAGTATTTCATGGAGAAAAATTCGTTTTCGTGTTAGCTTTAGTGAGAAATGAGAAATCCAAGATGGCCGCCATGACGTCACGTAACTACATTATTATGCAAATTTCCAAAATTTTATTTTTTCCTCTTAGCCCAACCTCATGCCCATCCCAACAGACAAAAAGATTTTTCATAAAAGCTTCCATAAGTACTGCTTGGCATTCAGTTCCAACCTCCCTTTTTTCCTCAAAAAAGGGTCTAGCACAGGCAGTGGATTTACGTCTAGCATTGAAAGGGTTAATATAGATTCACTATTTTGAATCTGGACTTATTTATCTGTTGCCTGGAGTAAGAAAGGAGCTGGCTCACTAAGTAGAGGTCCTGGGTTCAATCCCTGTTTTGGTTTTTCAAGCCTGGTGTTTCCCCTTCTCAGTGGGACTAGCTAGACAAAGGGCCTGGCAAAAAAAAAATGTCTAGTTGTTTGTATGGGACAAAAAACCTAGATCCGAAGTGCATTTTAGAGTGTATCTAAAAGAACCCTTGACAGTAGGACGTCAACTTATTTTCATTTAACGGTTGCTGATTTGAATTATTTTTATATATGAGTTTTCCAGCGTGGTTTGCCCTTGCCAGTGGTGCAGGAAGGAGGGCCTGACAAGGACAGCTGTCCAGTCGTTCGGATTAGATGAAAAACCGAGGCACTGTGTATACATTGGCGTGCACATAAAAGATCCCTGGGCAATTTCAATTTGATATAAGAGTAGGCCATAGTGCTGCTGCCTGAGCAAAAATTCCCTCATAGCACACTGTATGGCGTATTCCCGTCTTCATTAGCCCAGTCGGAGCAGAAAAATAGGACTTTAAACTCCATTTCATTTCGTTTCTGTTTACCAGGGTAAACATACAGTAGGCCATTATGCACTTATCACTGGCTTCCTATAATTTTTAGAATTGAATATAAGATTTTATTATTAGTTTTTAAATGTATAAATAACATTGCACCTAATATATATATAATTATCTTAGTAATGTTTTATGAACCTAGTCGATCCCCGGTTGTACGTGACAAGGAGTAGGGTCGCCTGTCCAACCTCATGGGTTTTCTCCGGGTCCTCCGGTTTCCTCCCACTGCTAAAGACCCCTACGCGCAAGCGAATTATTGAAATAAAATTAAACCGTATGTTAGTCCCGAAATGACCTAGTTTGTGTCGAGTGGACGTTAAACCCCATTTCTCTCTCTCTCTTTGAACCTAGTCGACAATTACGGTCTTCTTAATGAGAAAAATGCTACAACCCACCTGTTTAATAGGGCGTTTAATTAATCATCTCTGTGATAATTATATCTATAATTTTATACATTAAGTTATGTTTATAGCGCCGCTTTCATGATTTAACAGGTTTAACCAGAGGCCAACGGCCGAGGTGTTAAACCTGTTAATGAATGAAGCGTGTTATTAATAGCTTGCAACATTGACAGCTGCTCAATGTGTTGTTATTGCACAGAAAACCCACCCCACTTCTCTATATGGTTTCTACTAAAACTAGTGTAAACCAGCAAAAGTGTGCAATAACATTGAACATGTCTAGTTATTGCACGGTTAAGCTCCACCCAATCTACTAGAGGGAAAACAATCTGCTTATTCAACGAAAAGAACAAAAGAAGATTTCGCGTCCATGTTACAATTCCTTTTACTCAACTTTTATGTATATTATTCACTTTTTATGTTTGAATCCTATATTTGTTTTGTCAATTTTTTAAATATCATATTATGTTTAAAAACACAACACAATTTATATGGAATACAATCACTGGTTTATACACATATAGCACGACGTTTCGACAAGTATTCTCTTATCGTTATCAAGTACAAGTAATCATTTGTACTTGATAACGATAAGAGAATACTTGTCGAAACGTCGTGCTATATGTGTATAAACCATTGATTGTATTCCATATAAATTGTGTTGTGTTTTTTAATGTGCTCAATCACTAAATGCCACTCAAGGATCATATTATGTTTATTGTAAAGCGGGGGGGTTGGATGGCTGAATGGTTAGCGTGCGCGCTGTATCATAAAGTCTGTCATTTAGTCGACTGGCGTGGTTTCGAATCCCCGGCCGGTTGTACGTGGCAAGGAATAGGGTCGCCTGTCCAACCTCGTGGGTTTTCTCCGGGGCCTCCGGTTTCCTCCCACTGCTAAAGACCCCTACGCGCAAGCGAATTATGTAAATAAAATTAAACCATATGTTAGTCCCGAAATGGCCTAGTTTGTGTCGAGTGGACGTTAAACCCCATTTCTCTCTCTCTCTTATTGTAAAGCGCCATTGAGCACTTTTTTGTATATGGAAATGGCGCTATATCAACGCTTATTATAAATAATAACAATAAATAATTATCTATTGCCTAATTAAAGTTATTTCTATTAACCAGAGAATGTCAGGGTAAACATACGGCACCAGTATGGCAGGTGAAATGGATAGAGAAAGAACGAGGATCAGGAGAGGAAGGTACCGAGGTTATTATATCTGTATCAACTGATGGTCGTGTTACACAATGGTCTGTTAGAAAAGGTTTTGAAAGTTACGGTAAGAAAGCACAAATACACATTATTTGAAAAGAAATGTACATTGAAAGATTGAAGCATTATATCTTCTTTGATTGACGACAAAGTAATTTTAAGAAATAGATTGACACACTGTAACTTCTATAATTGGAAGCAAGGTAATTTTAGAAATAATTACTTTCATAGCATATTCTCCGAAGACATTAAATTTGTTATTGTTATTGACATTTGGGTACATTGGGTAAGTGTGTTCAATCCCTGCTATGGCCAAGAAAGTTCATCAGGATTTTCCAACGTGGTTTCTTCTTGTCAGTGGTGTCCCGTCTTCATTGTCAGTGGTGCAGGACGGAGGGCCTGATAAGTACAGTTGTCTAGTTCAGATGGGCCGAAAAACCGAGGTCCTGTATATACATTGGCGTGTACGTAAAAGATCTCCTGAAGGTTGGAAGTCGATATAAGAGTAAACCGTAGTGCCGCTGGTCAGGCAAAATTTCCCTTATAGCACACTGTATGGCTTATGCCCGTCTTCATTCGCCCAGTAGGACGTTAAACCCCATTTCATTTCGTTAGCGACATTTATAAACAGGGAAACAGCACAAGAGTTAGAAAGCTAGAGATCAGTAACCACATAGTTGTACGGTCCATCCTCAGTCTAGCTGTGTGTTGAATCCTTGTGTCCTTGAATATACCCATCTTCATTAGCCCAGATGGTTCAGATAATTAGGACATTAAACCCCATTTCATTTTTCATGTCATTTCTTCATATCATTTTTCATTTCATTTCATTCCTTTGAATAAAACACTTTATCCATGTACTCCCACCTACACCCAGCTTTAGTTGGGTACAGGGAGATCAAATTAATGTAGCACAAAAATTCTGTTTGATGATGACAAATATGAGCTTTAAAGGGAGGTAAGAATGATATAGTATGTTCTGTCAGGAGACTGGAGAAATGAAATGTTATCTAATTAGCTCCCTTTTATTACTCCTCAGGATTTTCAATTCAGGTTTCCTCAATTCTGCACACAGAGAATTATCTACTCTTCTTCATGAATAGATCTCTGCCCTAGATGGATGTCATATCCTAAAATTATTATACTCTTTTTTTAATGCGGTCCTACTCCTCCGGTTCACATCTGTTATACACAAAAAGACTAATTAAACCTTTCAATTTTATTATAATATATACTTCTCAAAATAAACTCAGTGTTTTTTGACTAAAATTGTCGATTTAGGACTTAAAATGTCGGATGATTAGCTTAGTGTCTGTTCTCGAGTGGAGCTAATTGTAGACGGACAGTATAAGTTTAGTATAAGGTTTCCCCATGTCAGTGATACAAGATGGATGGCCTGCCAACAAAAATCATCTAGGCCCTATGTAGCCTTTAAACAATTGACAGCAAATAAAAGATCCCCTTATACCGGTAGTTGGAAATTAAGCAAGAGTAGTGCTGCAGTGCTGGCAAAATTTGCCTCATAGCACACTGTCCTGTCATTTACCTGTCTTGATTAGCCCAGTTGGTGTAGAAAAGTAGAGTGCTAAACCACATTGCACATCATTTCATTTCATTCATCTATGACATCATTCATCTGTCTAATTATAATACTCTATGACATCATTTATCTGTCTATAATATTCTCTCTGTGAGATCATTTATCTGTCTATAATATTCTCTCTGTGACATCATTTATCTATCTATAATATTATCTCTATGACATCATTTATCTATCTATAATATTCTCTCTATGACATGATTTATCTGTCTATAATATTCTCTCTATGACATCATTTATCTGTCTATAATATTCTCTCTATGACATCATTTATCTATGATATTTTCTGTGACATCATTTATCTATGATATTCTCTGTGACATCATATATCTATGATATTCTCTATGACATCATTTATCTATGATATTCTCTGTGACATCATTTATCTATGATATTCTCTCTGTGATATCATTTATATATGATATTTTCCCTATGACATCATTTATATATAACATTCTCTCTATGAAATCATTTATCTATGATATTCTCTCTATGAAATCTTTTGTCTATAATATTTTGTGATATTTATCTTATTCTCCCTACGGCATCATGTATCTATGATATTCTCTCTGTGGCATCTTTTATCTATGACATCATTATCTAAGACATTTATTTATGATATTCTCTCTATGGCATTATCTCTGACAAATAATTAACATATTCTCTCTGTGATATTATTTATCTATATTCTCTATGACATCATTTATATATAATATTCTCTCTGTGATATCATTTATCTATGATATGACATCATTTATCTATGATATGACATCATTTATCTATGATATGACATCATTTATCATCATTTATCTATGATATGACATCATTTATCTATGATATGACATCATTTATCTATGATATGACATCATTTATCTATGATGATATGCTGTCTATGATATTCTATATATGACATCATTTATCTATGATATTATTCTGATATGACATCACTTATCTATGATATGACATCATATACATATGATATTCTCCATATGACATCATTTATCTATGATATTTTCTATATGACATCATTTATGTATGATATTCTCTATATGACATCATTTATCTATGATATTTTCTATATGACATCATTTATCTATGATATTCTCTATATGACTATATGACATCATTTATCTATGATATTCTCTATATGACATCATTTATTTGTCAGTAATATTTATTAATTACTTTTTTTTTTATTACATTACTTTTACTATATTTGTAAATTACTGTGAATATGGTGAGGATTATTTTTGTATTTCAATCAGTTCTGGACACATGTTTTTATACAGTGGTGTTTATTTTTATATTTTTTGTTCAAGATTTAATGAGATTAAAGAAAATGCCAACAAGAATGGCCGGTAGAACACGAGAGAAGAAAGGTGGTGCTTTTATCTGTGGTTTTGCTGGTGGTTTGACTTTCGACTTTCACTCTAGAGATACAAATATGTAAGTTAAAATTCAATCCTGTATTATTATTTTATTATTTTAAACGGTTACTGTTATGAAAACGGTGACTGTTTATATCTCAAATAGAATTAGTTTGTGATTTTCCAGTAAAAATTTAGAATTTAATTTTTCTGAAATGGCCCATTTATATCTTGTTTCAATAGTCAAAACTGTGTATCAATTTATTTTCTTGAGAGAAGCCCTATTGACTCTAGTTTTCTCTTTTTTTCTCATGTCTTTTTTGTACTTGATAACTCAATTGGGATCTAGTATATTTGGTATATGTATTCTGATTTTAAAAAATCTATTTGAATTTAGGCTTTAAAGTTTTCCATGTTTATCCTTAGATATAATATGAAATTTTATCCCTTAGATATTTATCCCTTAGATGTTATGTGAAATTTTGTCCATGGATATTGTTATATGGAATTTTATCCATGATTATTACATGTAATTAATGAACCTTTAAGCCAGGAATCTTATGTATTTATAATTCATGTACAGTGTTTATAATTCATGTACAGTATTTATAATTCATGTACAGTATTTATAATTCATGTACAGTATTTATAATTCATGTACAATGTTTACAGGGTTCCCGCAGTCCTTGAAAGTCCTTGAATATCCTTGAATATCCTTAAATTTAAAATTTCATTTTCAATGTCTTGAATATCCTTTAATTTCGCGGAAATAGGAAAATATCCTTGAATTTCAGTTGAGATCCTTAATTTTGTTTCAAATGTCTTCAATTCTTTTTAAATATGAGATTATAACGATAGATGGTAATGTTTTGGTTATTTTTAAGATGAAAAATTGTAACTTTAGGCTAAAAAATGTCCTTGAAAATCCTTGAATTTGACGTATATTTATCCTTGAATATCCTTGAAAAAATGTTTGACGAAGCCGCGGGAACCCTGGTTTATAATTCATGTACAATATTTTGATATTATGTACAATGTTTATAATTCATATACAATGTTTATAATTCATGTACAATATTTTGATATATGTACAATGTTTATAATTCATGTACAATGTTTTGATATATGTACAATGTTTATAATTCATGTACAATGTTTTGATATATGTACAATGTTTATAATTCATGTACAATGTTTATAATTCATGTACAATGTTTATGATTCATGTACAATATTTTTGATACATGTACAATGTTTATAATTCATGTACAAATATTTCATTACAGTTATTTAGCAGGTACAGAAGAAGGTTACATACATAAATGTTCCTGTTCTTATAATGAACAATATTTAGAGAGTTACACTGGTCATACGGTATGTTACTATTCATGATAAATGCAAATTTTATTTGCTGATTATTACATCCATATGTTAGCCCCGAAATGACCTAGTTTGTGTCAAGCGGACGGTAAACCCCATTTCTCTCTCTTAATTTGCTGATTTTTACGTCCAAATTCTTGTTTATGATATTATATGAGTGTATCATATCAATACATGTCTTCATAAACAAGTGGGGGGTTGGATGGCCGAATGGTTAGCACGTGCATGCTGTATCATAAGACCTGTCATTGAGTCAACCGGCGTGGTTTCGAATCCCCGGTTGTACGTGACAAGGAGTAGGGTCGCCTGTCCAACCTCGTGGGTTTTCTCCGGGTCCTCCGGTTTCCTCCCACTGCTAAAGACCCCTACGCGCAAGCGAATTATTGAAATAGAATTAAACCATATGTTAGTCCCGAAATGACCTAGTTTGTGTCGAGTGGACGTTAAATCTCATTTCTCTCTCTCTCTCATAAGCAAGTTTCGTGCAGAAAAGTAGGACTTTAATTAATCCCCATTTAATTTATTTCAATTACATATCAATTTATTAAGGTAAATGAAATGAAATAGGGTTTAATTGGCTGAATTTTAATTTTTTAAAAACTCAATCTAAAATTTGTCCCTATGTCTGAAATTTTAATCCATAGTGTTACCAAGTTGGATTTTTCTAATATTGAGCTTTGGTAGTGATATATATTTAAATCAGTTTGGAAGTCAAGTGTTCTGATACACGGTACTTTGTTCTTATCTAATTATTTGGTGGGGGTGGGGGGATGGTCGAATGCTTAGCGCATGCGCGCTGCATGTTTAGGTCTGTCATTGAGTCAATAACTAGATTGGTTTCGATTCCCTGGTTGTACATGACAAGGAGTAGGGTTGCCTATCCAAGCTCATAGGTTTTCTCCGGTCCTCCGGTTTCCTCCGACTGCCAAAGACCCCTAGGCGCAAACGAATTATTGAAATAAAATTGACCTAGTTTATGTCAAGTGGACGTTAAACCCCATTTCTCTCTCTCTCTCTCTCTCTCTCACTCTCTCTCTGTCTCTCTCTCTCTCTCTCGCTCACTCTCTCTGATCTAATTATTTGAATAAGTAACAAATGATGCATGGTTTATTTGTATTATTATTTTACAGGGTCCTGTATATAAAATACAATGGTCGCCATTTGTACCTGATATATTTTTAAGTTGTAGTGCTGATTGGAGTATTAGATTATGGCATCAAGATCGAGTTAAACCTGTTTTAAGTTTCTTTTCATCTACAGTAAGTAAGCTTATATATTTATGTGAATTATTTCAATATTTGAAGTGCATGATTTTAATTTCTGTTCTGTAAAAAAGATCCAAGGAATCTCTTCGCAAGGTTTGATCTCGGTGTTGGCCGAAAAAAGCTCCTTATAATTTTACCATCTAGGGTTTGATCTTTAAAATTTGGTTATATAGTCTTTTTGTATCCTTACAATTTGGTTATAATATAGTCTTTTTGTATCCTTACAATTTGGTTATAATATAGTCTTTTTGTATCCTTACAATTTGGTTATAAAATAGTCTTTTTGTATATATTTTCTGTTATATAGCAGAGAGGTAATATAGGCCTAGCCTGTTCCTCAATTCTTTTCTGTGAATAAAATATTATAAAAAAAAAAAATCCTTACAATTCTCTAGCTAAGTTTCCCAGGGTTGAGAAAAAACATCCAGTCATTCAGATGGAATTAAAAATCACAGTCCCATATAAACCATTAACAGCACATTAATGAACCCATGACAGTTTAGAAATCAAAATAAGAATAGGCTGTAGTGCTGCTGTTCGATCAATAGCACAATGCATGGTGTAACCCTGTTGGTGGAGAAAAGTTTCATTGAATTCATCTAATATAGTTTTACTGTCGGTGATATTATCTCATGGACGTCTTCTCTGGGCTATAATATTTTCTCTATGACATCACTTATCTGTCTGTAACATCATTCATCAGTCTGATATTCTCTCTATGGCATCATTTATCTGTCTGTAATATTCTCTCTATGACATCCTTTATCTGTCTATAATATCCTCTCTATGACATCGTTTATCTGTCTATAATATTCTCTCTATGACATCATTTATCTGTCTATAATATCCTCACTATGACATCATTAATCTGTCTATATCATTTGATTATAAAGAAAATTGCCGACCATAGTATTACTTGTAATTTGTAAAACAGGACCAAGATATTAATGTATAGATATTTATTATTAACAGAAAGCTGTAAATGATTTATGTTGGTCACCCCGATCATCAACAGTATTTACTTGTGTTAACGAAGGTGCTGTAGAAGTCTGGGATCTTAATACTAGCACGTAAGTTTATATTATTTATTCCTCTGTACAAGAGCCTCAAGAGAGCAAGTACAGCTTCGGGTCATTATGGATGGGATAAAAATGTTGATGTGCACTTAAAAGACTCGTTGGAGGTTAGAATTCGACTTAAGTGAAGGCACCACGCTGTATTCATTACCCCAGTCAATGCAAAAACATAAGATGTTAAACCCCCTTTAATTTAAATTCCATCTCTAGTCGTTTTGATGGGAGGAAAACCACAGGTCCTGTGTACTTTTGACATTTGGCAATCGATATACATGTATGAGTAGGCTGTAATGCCTCTGTGCAGGCAAAATTTGCCTCATAGCACAATGTATGGCATATACCCGTCATCATTAGCCCAGTCATAGCTGAAAAGTAGGACGTTGTTTACATTTAGCAGGTTGTTTGGTCTATTCTTCAAATCAATTCACCAGACTGTAGTGTATTAATATTTATAATTTTTAATGTCTTTTCAAATATTCCTAATTAAACATTATTTATCTTCTCTTCTATTTCCAGACTCGATCCTTTAATTATTAATAATCCTACATCAGGTGCTAAACAAACATCTGTTACATTTGCTAGAAACTCAGAGGTAAGCTCATCTCATTATTTATTGATTATCATGTTGGAAGACCAATAATTTAATTTTTGTTTAATCTTAGGCCCATCAAAAGATTTCAGTGAAACTTAAAAAAGGGCACCGGCTTGTTTATGACGTATATAGACAAAGCAGCCTCAGAATTATTGAAATAAAATTAAAACCATATGTTAGTCCCGAAATGACCTAGTTAAACCCCATCTCTCTCTCTCTCTCTCTCTCTCTCTCTCTCTCTCTTCAATGCAACCATAAAAGGAATCAAAACAATCAATTTATTATTTAATAAGAATCCGTCCTGTTATTCAGACCGGCGGGTCTGACAAGGACAGCTATCTGGTCGTTCGAATGGGACAGAAAACGGGGACCATGTACACATTGGCGTGCATGTAAAAGATCCCTTGACAGTTGGAATTCGATATAAGAGTAGGCAGTAGTGCCGTTGTCCGGGCAAAAATTTCCCTCATAGCACACTGTATGGCATATGCCCGTCTTCATTAGCCCAATTCGGAGCAGAACAGTAGGACGTTAAACCCCATTTCATGTCATTTGTTATTCAGACTAATTTTGACCACACTTTTGGTCGTTTTGACTAAAGTAAATATCGGATGTTTACCGTTTACATCTTATCCAGTTTTTAATATTTGCTGTGGCTGTCGAATGTTCCAAAATTGTTATTTCATCATATTTTTGTGAATACTGACTGGAATTGAACCATTTTTGGTCTGATATTCATTAAACAGATATACAGTCGCTCAATTAATGTTCAGAGACTTTAAAAAAGTTTAAGGCCAAACCAATGTAATTTTCAGTTCATCTTGGGATCTTGATCAATAAACAGCCATTTGAATCATGTGATAGATTTTTTTTGTCATGTAAACAATATTTTATTTCATTTGAAAGATGCAACATAGTATCAAAGGATGTAATGATAAGGAAAACTGTGGAATTGACGTCTTTATTTTAACAATACAGGAACACATATTACAAGTTATTACATCTATAATTTTAACAACCAATACAGCAGATCATTTATAGCAGTCAAGGTGTTATCAACAACCTTATTAGTATTTAACAGCCATTCACGCGTTATAATACATATATATTAGTATCTTTCATTTAACGGGCAATCCTATAATATTATCTAATAATATTGATGTGATGTCTTTCTAAATAACTTAATTTTAGATGTGTGATACACCTGCCAATATGGGGATTGTGTGGCCAAATGGTTAGCATGTGTGCGCTCACTGCGCTGTATCATAATGTCTGTCATTGAGTCAACTGGCTTGGTTTTGATTCCATGGTTGTCCGTGACAAGGTGTTGAGTAACCTTTCCAACTTCGTGGGATTTCTCTGGGTCCTCCTGTTTCCTCCCATTACTAAAGACCCCTACACGCAAGTGAATCATTGAAATAAAATTGAACCATATGTTAGTCCCAAAATGACCTAGTTTGTGTGAGTGGACATTAAACCCCATTTCTCCCCTCTCTCTCTCTCTCTCTCTCTCTCACACACACACACACCTGCCAATACCATTGTCTTACAAAGATGTTTAGTTTAAGATTTCAAAAGACAAAACTTACAAACTTGTAACTAAAAGCTTTTAATAGAACAGCGCAACCAAGTATTATTCTCCCCAAAAAATAAGACGAAAACAGGTGTTCCCAAAAAACAACAAATCAAATTGTTGTGGCCTAAATGTTATTTTCTATGGTTTATTTTACTGTGTATATTAGTTTATTGTTTATTTGTTATTTTTTACTACGGGAGTCACAGTGGCTCAGTGAGTAAGATGTTGGCTCGTTAAACAGAAGGTCTCATGTTCGATTCCTTTGTTGGCTGAGAAGGGGGGTGGGGTTTGGATGGCCGAATGGTTAGCACATACGTGCTGTATCATAAGGTCTGTCATTGAGTCAACTGGCATGGTTTCGATTCCTCGGTTGTACGTGACGAGGAGTAGTGTCGCCTGTCCAACCTCGTGGTTTTTCTCCGGGTTCTCCTGTTTCCTCCCTCTGCTGAAGATCCCTACACTCAAGCGAATTATTGAAATAAAATTGAACCATGTGTTAGTCCCGATTTGGCCTAGTTTGTGTCGAGTGGACATTAAAACTGAAGGTCTCATGTTCGATTCCTTCGTTAGCCTAGAAAGTGCATTAGGATTTTCCAGCTTGGTTCTTCCTCATCAGTGGTGCAGGACAGAGGGTCTGGCATGGCACAATGTATAGTTGTTGCGATGGTACGAAAAACTGAGGTCCTGTGTACACATTGGCATGTACATGTACATAAAAGATCCCTTGGAATTCGATATAAGAGTAGGTCTTAGCGCTGCTGTCCAGACACAATTTCTCTCATTGTGTGGCATATCCTCTGTCATCATTATTTCAGTCGGAAGCAGAACAGTAGGACGTTTAACCCCATTTTATTTCATTTTCTTATTTTTTTTCACAGTGTATATTAGTGGGTGATAGTGAAGGTCAGGTAACAGTTTATCAGCTACGATGTATGCCAACACCACCTGAAGATCCGGTAAACTTTTCTACTTTTATTTTTATAAGTTATAGATATGTCAAATATAATCACAGAAATTGTTAACCCTTAAACGGTCTTTGTAGACTAGAGTCACCATAACGTTATACAGCTAAGTGGTCGACTACAGTAAGAACCTTTTTTATAAGCCACATTTGAGTATTTAGTTTCGTATTTAACTGATATGGCCACGCATGTGTGTCAGACAGTAACTTGTCTTGTCAAGGGCATTGAGAAAAACATGTCTTTGTTCAACATTTTTTGACAAAAAAACGTAATTTTTTAACGCTGTCGAGAAGGTTAAAGACTAGCAAAGTGGTTGAAATGCTTATGAATGATTCTGACTCGGATTATATCGATGAAACCGATTCTGAAGGCGATATTTCTGATGAAAATGATTTAGAAAACAAGAGAGAACCTGCAAATTATAGATCAACTTATCCCCTTAAACTTTTTAATTGGTGTCAAGGGTCTATCACTTATAATTATCCAGCAGTAGTCTTTTGAAATAGGCATACAAAATATTTTTCACTTGAGCCTTTATTTAGTCTGACCACTTTACTTCATGACGTCAAACTGACGTCGACCAGTTAAGGGTTAAAGACATAAAATAATTAATTATCTGCATCGTTCACTTATATTTCAAAAGTCAAAAATTGAGACTATGTTAAAGATGCATTAGGTAAGATTTAGATAAAGAGCTGGACGTTCTTGCTATAATAATGCATTATGTAAGATTTTGAATGAATGAATGAATAAATGAATGAAATGTGGTTTTATGGCAGTAAGATTTAGATAAAAAGCTGACCATTCTTGCTATAATAGATTTAAATAAAAAGCTGACTGTTCTTGCTATAATTATAGTTCCAAAATAGATAATTCAAAATTAATATTTCGAAAATTCCATTCAAATTACTGAATTCTGAGCAACGTTATCACTGTTTAAAGTTTTGACTTAGATTGTTTATTATTGCAGCAACATCACTTATCAAGGCTCAGCCTCGCTTCCTGTTTTCTAAATTAAATCATTAAATAGTGATTATATTTTAATCTGTTTACATCTCTGCCATTCGATGATCTAGAGAGTTGATTACAGGCTTGTCATGTGAATAAATGTCTAAATAATAATTTATATATAATAATAATAATAATAATGAGGGAACATATTTAGTACACAAGTTCTAATTTTCATTATGTCCCTCCTACTCTATAAAACAAGCAACTTCACAGTAACAATATTTACAAAGTGCATATATATCATTTATAAAGGAGAAATATCAAACAAACAAGAAAGAATAAAATGGTAAATATGCATTCAGAGGACAACAATAACTAACAAGGGTTAAAAGATTTGACATGTTTTACGAACTTCCTTTTTTCACAGTTTGAGGCAGTGAATTCCAGAATAAACTTATATTTTGAAGCCAAAATTAAAACCCTTCTATATAGGAAGATTTAGCTGTTACATAACACATGTTTAATGTAGAGATTGCGTTGTTATTAAGAGATTTATATCCCTCTTATTTCAGTCTGAAGCTCTAATGAAAGTAATCGGGTCTTCAATAACCATAGCCAATCAACTACAGTCACAAGAAACATCAAAAGCACTGGCAGATCCAGAAGATGAATTCTCGGCTGAAGATAAAGAATAAAACAAACGTAATATAGAGACACTGTAATTTAAAATATGAAATATTCTACAGTGGGATTTTCTCACCCGAAAAATATTCAACACCGGGGGTTTCCTACATGAAAAAAAACAACAAAATATTCTACAGTGGGGAATTCCCTACCCTAAAATATGAAACTTCACTACAGGGATTTTCATACATGAAAATAGACAAAATATTCTACGGTAGGGAATTCCTACCCTAAAAAATATGAAACACTCAACGCAGGAATTTTCTTACCCTAAAATATTCTACATTCAATATAGGGATTTTCATACATGAAAAAAGACAAAATATTCTAAAGTGGGGAATTCCTACCCTAAAATATGAAACACTCAACACAAGGATTGTCTTGTATAACAAAAGACAAAATATTCTACAGTAGGGAATTCCTACCCTAAAATATGTGGAGAGTAAGAATCTGTAACTAAACCTACATAGAGACACTTTAATTTAAAATATAAAATATTCTACAGTGGGGAATTCCTAATCTAACATATATGGAGAATAAGAATCTATAACTGAAATGTAGACAATCACATTGTTTCAGGAAGTAAGCTTTAGAAACAGCAGAATAAAAGATTAGGACTGTATCCACAGCCAAAATTACAAGCATTGGGGGGTTGGATGGTCGAATAGTTAGTTTGTGTGCGTTGTATCATAATGTCTGTCATTGATTCAACTGGTGTGGTTTCGATTCCCTGGTTGTCCGTGACAAGGCCTCTACGCGCAACCAAATTATTGAAATAAAACAAAAAACCATTTTAGTCCCAATCTCTCTGTAAAATTATCATTTTAATTTCATTTTGTAGATTCTGTTTTTTGGCCGCTTTAATAAAGATAATTAACTATAATTGTTTATGAGAAATGTAGTAGACCTAACTCACTGTAAACTCATTCCTAACTTCACTAGGCCTACATACCATCATATAGCCACTGTCAATCAAGGTGATCTGCTATTTTAAAGATACATTATGGTAGATTAGATTAAGAGCTGGTAGTTCTCACTATAATAGTTAAAAACTAGATAATGTAAAGGGTATTTGCTGACTATTTCTGTCAAATTGATCCACTCTGAACCTAGATTTTAGCGATTGAATATTGGGGCTAGCCTCGATCATCATTACTAAAGTCGGTAGGATGAAAAAACATAGTCACAATTATCCATTTTTTGATTTAATTATGAATGAAAGTCGAACATCAAATCGGAACCTAATCCAATAAACATCCCAGGCTGGCGATGCCATCGAGAGTTGATTTATGTCTAATTAATAATTTAGATAACATTTCAGGCCTAAAGAAAGATGTTCAATAAGCAGATTTAGCTCTTGCAAAATGTATGTTTAATGACCGATTCATTTGATTTGGGCTATAGGAAAAAACGTCTTTCCTTTTCTAGCAAAAAATGAAATTTATGTACGTGGATAAGTTATAACCAAATTACCCCACTCCATCTACCTCGATTCAGGTCGTATCTACCAGTATTAACTTGACTATCAGTGAAATTGATCTGAATTCTGGAATGATGTAAATGCCTGAATCCTGAGATGATGTAGGTGTCTGAATCCCAGGATGATGTAGGTGTCTGTTTTTTGCTGGTTGATGTCATATTTACAAGTCTTGACTGACTCTCAGTGAAATTGATCAGCTAGAGAACAGTTAAATTTATAGTTTTTATTGGAATGTTGCTGAAAATTTTCATTCTTTGGAAAAAAGGATCCAAAGCAAACAAAATTTGTGATATATTTATCAGATGGGAAAATTTTTGAGTTAAGCATTGCCCCAGACTGAAAATAAATAAATATGGCAATGATTCAACTGTCTAATTATTGTTTCCTTCAAGAAATATTTTATTTTTTATTTTTCTCTATCTCTTATATTGTTAGTGAATTGTTAACTATATTTATTTGTATATATTATTAATGTAATTATTTATTAATTTTAGAAATGAAACCATTGCAGCATTCTGTCATTCCATCCATATACCAGTGTATTGTATCTGATTATTAATGTATTCAATTAAATCAAATGACAAGAGTGTTGTTGTCTGTAGTTACCATCTGTCAATATGTAGCACCATGGGTCTTTTGTCTGACGTGGAGAGCGGATTAAGGGAACCGGTCGCCACATCCTACATAGAACCCATGCACCTTTTCTTACTACATATTTCTGTAGCCTTGTGATCGTCTAGAATTTGTCTCTAGCTGTCTTTACTTCTGCTTCACGTTGTGTATTTACTTCTTACAGTTTCTTAAGACGTTGTCTTACCAGGAATAACAATGCGACAGTTTGCTTCTACATTATATATATATATATAGCTGAATACAGTTATACAAGCATAATAGATAACAATACTAGCTAAAACCATTTCTCCACCCTAGCCAGCCTCGCGGCTGTCTAGGAACTCAGATGGAAGCTCTCTGGAACCTAATAGAAATCTGGCTTGAAAGGTTCAAATAGATATCTTATATAGCACCCAGGTTTATCACGCAGAAATAAGCGTGTTCATGGCCCTGAACCTGTGCAATTAACGATATGATTGGTTACTTTAAACCAAATGATGCAATTAGAATAATTCCACTCACGTGTAATTCTGGTGGTAAATTATTGATTTTTGTTTTCGATAAATAGCTCTTTTTATGTGTCAACTGTCAATTACAGACTAAGTTGATTTAAGTATTTTAAGTACATATCACATATTATGCAAATATGGTATTTCTCGAGCAAAAATTCTACTAAAAGTATTACACCTGTTATCCAAGTTCATCATCTCGTTCATTCATAGTAGGGTTGGATGACCGAGTGGTGTTGAACTTGTGCACAGACCTGTAACTAGGGGGTGGGGGCAAAGTTTCGACCCCCCCCCCCCCTTGAACAAACCAATTGTCGATCATAGATATACATTGTCTGTCAATTTTACAGCACCCCTGAGAACACTTCCCGCCCCCTCTCGTTGTTCTGAGCTAGGTACGGCCCGCACTTTAAATCACAAGATCTGTGGTAGAGTCAAGTAGTGTATTTCGATCCTCAGTTTGTAGTGACAAGGATTAGAGTCATCTGTCCGATCTTGTGTGTTTTCTATGGGTGGGTAAGACGCTGGCTCGCTAGCCTGGAGGTCGGGTGTTCGATACTTGCATTGGCCGAGAAAGTTCATCGGGATTTTCCGACGTGGTTTCCCCATGTCAGTGGTGCAGAACGGAGGACCTGACAAGGACAGCTGTTGGATGAAACCAAAAACTGAGGTCCCGTGTATATATTGGAATGCACGTAAAAGATCCCTTGGCAGTTGGAATTCGATATAAGAGTAGGCGATAGTGCCGCTGCCCGGGCAAATTTTCCCTCATAGCACGCTGTATGGCGTTTGGCCGTCCGGTATAGGAGAAAAACAGTAGGACGTTAAACCCCATTTCATTTCATTTCACTTCTCTGTGTGCTCCGGTTTCCTCCTATGCGTAAGCAAATTATTGAAATAAAATTAAACCAGATGTTAGTCCCCGAATGATGTAGTTTGTGTGGAGTGGAGGGCAAATCCTATTTCTCTGATAATCTGAATGATCAGTGGCAACAGTAGAAGAATACAGATAATGCCAATTTTACAATGTCAACACTACAAACAATCTAATTAAAATATAGATCTATATTTCGTTTCGTTTTTTATACTTTCGATGGCCTACACTACCAAGTGTAGTAAAGCCAAGTTAAATCGAAATTTTGAACTATAAAAACGAAACGAAATTGGATCTGTGATTTAATCAGATTGCTCAACAAACAGTACAGAAACACAGATAATGCTAATACAACAGACAGTTGGCCTATAAGCATACAGGCAATGCCATCATTACAGTGTCAACAGTACCATAATAAATTACAATAATACGGACAATTCAAACACCTTAACCAAGGCAAACACCACAGACAATGCCAACACTACGAATAGTGCCAAGACTACAAACAGTAAAAGAAAATAGAAAATTAATATTACAGACAATGCTAACGTTATTGTTTTAAACAAGATGTTTGTTCAAGCTATCTGAATGGAAAAAATGCTTAGCCAACATTTCAGACTATACCAACCGTACAACCACCATTACCGACAATGCCAACACTATGAATAAATAGTAAGTAGAAGAATACACACAATGCCAACACTATGAATAGTAGAAAAATACACACAATGCCAGCACTACAGACAATATTACAGATAATGCCGGTACTATGAATAATACCAGAATCTAGACGATGCCAGCACTAAAACCACTATTACTGACACTGCCACCACTATGAACAGTAAAAGAACACAGATAATGTCAGAATTACAGACAATGAACAATTCTTCTTTAAACGGCATTTAGTAATTGAACAGTAACACACTAAACGGTGATACTCTCATCACTGGCTTGATAAAGATAAAAGTGTGATCGTCGAAACGTTGCATGTTAATAAACCAGTAATTGTTATTCCATAAATAGTGTTTAGAATGTGAACTATGGTAACATTACAACCAATATTACAGACAATGCCAACAGTACAACAAATAACAGGCCCAATACCACTGTCAACACCGGAATCGAGACCTGGACCGCCCGGTTGGCGAGCAAGCGCCTTACTCACTTAACCACTGCGGCTCCATCTCAATCAAAGGAGTGTTGCCGAATATTATCTTGACTATTGTGCCTTTAATGTAACCTTGTATGTGCTCCACCCACACACCCGCAACCCCCCCCCCCCCCCCCAGGAAACAAATTACCACTGGCACAATATTATGTAATCTAGGGGGTCTACTTCATTTATCGTTTCCCCTTGTCAGTGATGCAGGGAGGAGGGCCTGACAAGGCCAGCTGTTTAGTCGTTCGAATAGGACGAAAAGCTATGTCCCGTGTACACATTGGCGTGCACGTAAAAGATTCTTCGGCAGTTGGAATACGATATAAAAGTAGACCGTAGCGCCGCTGTCCGGGCAAAATTTTCCCAATGACGTATGGCCGTTTTCATTATCCCAGTCGGAGCAAAACAGTAGGACGTTATCCCCGTTTCATTAGTCCAGTCTGTCCAGAACAGTAGGACATTAAACCCCATTTTATTCATTTATCACTGTATATATTAGCTTTTACTGATAATACAATATTTAATATGTCTACCCTTGTAAATCTTGAAACCACAGCCTGTCTACTGTTCTTATTACTGTGTAAATATATTTGACGATGTAATTTCAGATACCCTGAAAAACAAATGTAAACGGCTGGAATATAATATTTCTTTATAATGTTATTCATAGAAAACGAAATAGCCAAATAGATGAACTACTATAACTGTAAATAAACCTCTTAATGTCCGTCTTTTGTTTTTTAAATCCTCGGTTTTGAATATATTTTCTACCCACAATGACAGCAGGATGATATTTGACATTTGTTAAATGCCTTTGACATCCTATGAACTATAAAGATGCAATTCCCAAATCTAGATGACACAATCTAGTAATTCTCTTTCCAGGCCCGGATCCAGGATTTTGTCGAGGGGGGGGGGGCGGGCATACATTGGAGCAAAGGGTAATCATCAGAGTGCCGCATGCATTAGTGGTTTGGTGTAGTCCCTAGAGTCTTCGTCACGGCCTCATTAAACAGAAACTAAAATCTGGGAATCCCATCCCCCCCCCTGGATCCGCGCCTGCTTTCCGTCAAGCGGAAGCCACGGTGTTAAGAAGAATAAGGTGCTGGCTCACTTGGTCTACGATTCGATCGCAGTGTCTCCCGAGGAAATGAAAAGGACTGGAATGGGGTTTAACGTCCTACTTTTTTTGTACCAACTGGCAGAGCCTATTTTAGCGTGCCTTGGAGCATGTCCGTGCTCGGAGAGGTCCATCAGTGTACAAAATCTGAAAATTCGTTACGTCACGTCGTACGTGTGACCAATCTCCCCCAGTCTCAGAAATTGCCTTTTCTATGTCGCACAAGAGCGATGTCTTCACTCTGGCATGTCTTCAATCGTGAGGGATTAAAAATTTAAAAAATTCTAATTTCCGCCGGATCATGAATTTAAACTTCGAGCTTATTATTCTTCAGTTGCATCAGTCGTCGGTACGAATTAATCTATAGGTATGAACCATAGGCTCCCGCACAGTCTAGTTTGTCAGTTTTCTGTGTTTTGGCAATGACCTCGTCGAACCTCCGCAGATACGCGCCAAATTGACGCTAGAGAACATGTATTTTTCAAAAAATTCAAAAGCGGGTGGGGAGGCACCCTCTCCCCCACCCCTTCTTGAATAAAAGTTGTCAGAAAGACGTGCTCCGAAAAAATTGCCTTATAATAGGCCCTACCAACTTGGCATGGTTTACCGAGAACGTATCTCAGATCATTACGAATCGCACAATTGTCAGAGTTAAGTCGCGGCTTTTTTGTAGAATAACCGACTGTAATTAGGACATGGGACCTTGGTTTTTCGTCCCATCCGAACGACTAGACGGCTGTCCTTGTCAGGCCCTCCGTCCTGCATCACTGACAAGGGGGCAACCACGCCGGAAAATCTGGATGAACTTTCTCGGACAATGCAGGGATCAAACACCCGACCTCCAGGGCAGCGAGCCAGCGACTTACCCACTTAAGACGGACAGTCTGAGTGAGCCAGAACAGTAGGACGTTAAACCCTATTTCATTTCATTTCATTTGTTTGAATATAAATAATTGTTGTTTTCGCTTACACGTCTGGCCGAAAAGTGAGATCGCCCCCTCCTTTTTTTCTGTGTGTGTGTGCGTGTGGGGCGGGGAAGGTGGGGGGGGGGGTATATTCGCTTTAATAGAATAATCAATTAGATTGCCCATAATATCATATATAATGTATTGGACGTTAAATTTGTAAATAGCAACACAGAAAGTTATCTAGAGTAGATCTTTTGCCAGGGGGTGTCAATATCTGCTCTCCCGTATCACCGATCATCGTTCAGCTAGCGTGATTTATCGTCTAAGCGAGAGATACGACATAATATTGTTGAAACCGGGAGTAACAGACGGATATATTATCTATTTAACCGAC